ACGAAGTTCCCCCACGCGTGCAGAGCTCGATTGGCGAAATAAACATAAAACCTTTCATTTTTTTACACAGATTTTTTCCTTACCGTCCTTCTTTTTTTTTGGTATCATGGGCGTTTCTTGTATAAATAGCATCATTTCTCACCTTCCTTTCATGTCCCGCCCCCCTCTTCATTCGATTTCCATGATTATCAACAAAATCCGGTACCTCATTCTTACCCTCGTGTCCCCTCTCCTTCTTTTACCCGTCCGCCGTCACTCGCCATTCCCCATACCAACTTGAGTGTGTATATGTACACACCCTTCGACCGAGAAAGAAAAAAGAAGAATAATCTGCTGTTTCCGACATTGCGAATTCCAATGTGTGGCTTGTATGTGTTCGTCCTCTTGAGATAGATTTTATGATCCCTCCTCTTTATTTTTAGACCCGCTCTCTCATCGTCTTTCTCCATCCTGTACTACTTAGCCGCTGTTATTGAAACATATCATCCTTGTTATTATTAGTAAAGAAGTTCTCTCTAGTGCCATCACTTCCCCCTGAGTCACCATTTTGTGACGTGCCTCTTGCCGCAGAAAACGTTTCCCTGTGACGTGGAGGAGGTCATCAGACCCTCTTTGGTCTATAATCCTGCAATGCTGAGCCACTTATGCAGATAACCGCCGAGGGCTTGATGTAATTCAGTGACAATGAGCTTCATGACTTGGGATTCCACTGGAAGCAATGAGCTATAAAATACAAGTGATAGAACCTCGTACAACTACATAGCAATGGCCCAATTACGGGCATAAGGAAAATGCTAATGCTTACATCATGGCCAGCAGATATGTCGAACTACGGATGGGATGGGGCGGGGGCAAGACTAAGAATAAAGGATTTTGAAGGTGTATACTTAAATTACTGCAAGCTCCCCTTGTGTAGACTAATATTCTTATTTTTGATGAAAATAAAAGAATATAATGACAAGCCTGATGAACAAAGAGTTTGATCTCTTTGATCCCAAGAATGCTCACTGAATCAGTAGCGTAACGAGGGTCGCCAGTCTATTGCCTGATGAAGCTGACACATGATCAAAATTTCACTCGCGGCGGGACATGAGTTTTTTTTTATTACAATTACTCATAAAGAATGATTAGATGGTGATCAAGTAGTTCAAAAGGGCTAAAAGTGACAAATCGTTTAAACGAAAGTAGGCGAAAACATGTGTCCATGCTTTTCATCATAGCATTAGGTGTGTAAAATTTCGGCTTGCAAGAATCTTGCGTCTTGCGGAAATAGAATTAGTTTGTGAGAAATGGTGTATAAAGAAGGCAACAGAACGGTACTGAAACTATTATTATTATGATTAAATATGGTATGATGCGTTTGCGTTGAGCGGCTTTGGAAGCTTAAAAGGTGAATGTTGCGCTCGATTTTCCGCTCCCAAAGGAATAAACGACAAACGAAGAGAAAAACAGACCGACGGTAATCCCGATGGCAACTTGCACCATACGAAAACCTGAAACGAAAACAAAGAAAAGGAATGGGTTGGTCGATGGGGTGACTTTTATGAAGAGCAGATGCTTCACTAACCGATTATCAGCCCATTGCTGTAAGAATCCCCTGAGGTAGAGTGATACGTCATCGCAAGACCACCAGCCGCTGCAATTCCGGAGGGCACCAAGAATAGAACTCCAGTGACCATACTATCGAAACAGAAAATAAACCCCCCCCTCATGTTAGTCAGTTACTTATCGAAGGTTGGAGAAACCAGCGCTTAGTGACTCTCACCTAGTAAAAGCCGTCCCTTTGAAAAATCGTGAGTACATATTTCCCAACAGACCGATCACAAAAGCCCCCAAGAAGGAAACAACGTCTGATCGATCGAAGATCTGGGTGAGGCACAGTCAAAGATGAGGACTCAGGAGGTTTAAGTTCATCCGCTTCGAAATCGATGAGGGACTTACAAATTTGTTGGCAAAGAAATTGCAAACCCATCCGATGCAGGCAATGATAACCATCACAGGCATCTGCTTCGTCCAGATGGGTTGCAAGTTCCAGAGACTGAGAAAGAAAGAAAACATCGGGACGAGTAGGAATGACCAATATGGGCTCGCAGGTTGTCTCCACCACTCCCAATGGGGCTCTCGATAACATTGAATTCTTCCTTGGTGAAGCTCCCCTTCCCCCGTCACACCAGCCGTGCCATTCGAGAAGGTAAAATCGCCGATCATCCCAGGAATTGTCCCGTTCATCCCATTGAATGAACCCGACAGTGTGTAGACATGACTCTGAGTGGCTTGTTGCATCTGGGTATTATGGCGGGCTTTGGGATCCAAAAGGTAGTAAAAGTCAGAGCCTATGGAGATCCCGAATCCCTGTCAATCAAATAAGCATCAGGATCAAGTATATAAAATGTTGGGGTGGTTTGCGAAGAAAAGATGTACCAGGAAAAGAGAGTAGATCACAGCGTAAACCATCTTAACAGAGCCAGCAATCAAGTTTTTCGACGCCAATTCCAAAGAACCGCACACTAAGACGATATGTAGACGTTAACCAAACAATGCACCGCTTATCAGGAAGACAAGCGAAGGAAGCACATACGAATGATATAACCAGGCAAGATCAACACCACACCGGCAGATGAGAGGGACTCGTAGCAGAAGTAATTGGTGGTCGAGAGCCCTCTGGAAATAAAGGATACAATGGTTGCGACAGAGATCTCGAAGATGCTGGAGTACATCTGATTGGTTGAAGCCTTTAACTGCATGAACGCCAAAAAACTCCCAAAAGCACCGGCAACCCACTGTAAAAATAAACGAAGAAGAACGAAAAAAGTTGAAAGAACGGTCAGTTAAAAGGTTATGTTAAGCGATGTGATCCAGAGAGTATTCCATTTACCCCATCGACGAAGCTTCCGGCAAAACCCAGGATGGCAATCGTGCCACAGCAGAAAAAGGCGATGACCATCCTTTGCCAAGGGCTGTAGAGCGGACTTTCATTGAGAATCTTATGTAGAGCTGCGCTCCCTTGGCCGACTCCGGTATGGTCATGAACTACAGACTTATAGACATGATGGACGCGATGGAGTTGGCCCAGATCGATCCCGCCATTGGCTTTGACCTGAAACCAACAAGTCAAAAATTGTCAATTAGAATGGAAATCATACATACTGTTGCACCCACACAGTACAAGGTCAGATTGCATACAAAATGTGTTTCGGAGGTCCGGGTGTCTGCGTCCCCAAAGGTCGCGATTACGATCGATGGAAGATGGACGAACTGAGCATCGATCTCTAGCACTCGAGCAGTCGCACTGAGTTGGGATTCGAGTCGATGACTTGGTGCGCCAGTTGTCATCAGCGCTTTTGCAAGCTTGAGGATAAAATTTTGCCTTTTCAGAATATCTATAGAATTAAAAAAAAAAAAGTTAGTTAAAGGAAAAGGATCAAAAAGAAAAAATAGAAGAACTGACCGGCTACATGCCGGGTGATGGTAGCTCTCCGCTCCCGGCTCTTGGTCTTTCGGTGATGAAATTTCTCCTGGACGGCGCCGACAACCTCGCGGAAAGTTTTGACAGAGTAAGTGCTTCGGACACTAGCTCCATCGCTCTCAGCGCCATCTGAATCACGCGCTTTCCGGTTTCGCTTAGAAGATTTGGCGTGATCGCCATGTTCGGAAGACTTTGGAGGCGAATGAGAATACATTTTTTCATTAGAGTCCCAAGGCGAAACAAAAGGAACTCTTCGATTGGCGACACGCGAGTCGATCGAGGTTTGTCGACTCGTCGCAACGCTCCCGCCAGCATAGGTTGTGGCCGAGGTTGCTGAACCGGATCGTTCGATTGGACCGGCCCTGTTGTTACCGTAAAGCTCTAAGAGATGGGAGAGTACGCCGCCCTTGACCGAGGAAGCGGGAGGGGGCGTATCGAATTCATCAACATCTTCGAAATCTTCCATCAGCGAAGGAGGCTTGAGTCCAGTGTTCCCGACTGACTTTCCGCGACGACGTTTGATGTGGGAGCCCACGATATCTGCCGCCTTTCGGTTCGGCTCCTTTTCAACCACATCTTCCGTAGTCGCCCTACGGAGGGACGGTTTGGCAGGCTGAGAAGTCCGGTGCCGAGGATCTCCGCGTCCCGCCGGATCATCCACTCCAGAAAGATTGATTGCCGGATAGCCAGACTCAAGATCACCGCGTTGGTGCGGGATGTCACTGTCCCGTCTTGCTTCATCGCGTAGCGCTCTGAACCCTTCACCTGAGTCATACATGGTATTTGATTGAGGTAGACCAGATGAAGCTGGGGGAGCGGGTTGAAGAGAATTGACTAGTGCTTGATCGGTATAGTCAGAATTACGATAATCATGGTTGTAATAAGTTCTCTCAGGGTAACTTGGCGGTTGTCCATCAAGAGTTGACCTTCGAGGTGAGCTGTTTTGTATGATGCCTTCATTAGCTCGAGAAAGTGGGGGCCGACCTGGAAAAAGCGCGTCGGGATGATGCTGGTGCGAGGGTGGTGCTATGCTGTTCGAGGGAGGCTGAGGCACAGATGCATGGAGGGTATAAGGGGGTTGAAAGGTTGGCAAGGACGTTTGGGGGAAATATTCGACCGCCAGATCAGTCTTATTAGACTCAAAGTCGTGTTTGGGTTTTTGAGAAAAAGATCCTTGTGGGCGAGTGTGGAGGCTCTCGGATGCAGACCTGAGCCGGTTATTAGATTTGAATCCAGGCTGACTGGTAGCTACTGAGGGTTCTTTGCATGCGGGCAGTTTTCTTTGGACATCGGAAACAGCTTCTTCGAATGGTGTATCATTGTCTGAAGGGGATGGGAAGTAGGCACCGGGCAGCATGCTGGCAGCGGGTGTGGATGGTCGGTCTCTGAAGGATCTGCGCAGCGCGTCACCATCGGGCACGCCAGTGGTGGAAGGGGCGAATGTGCCCTCTGAAAACCTGACTGAGCTTCGACGCCGTTCAGTAAGACTTTGACGATTATTTCCAGACATAACGCGACGGGGGAAGAGTGAGTTAGAAGAAAGGATGGACCGAAAGCGAGCAGGTGTAGTAGCTGGTCAAACGCGTCAGTGAAGGATTGAAATAGGTGGAATATGAATTGCTGTAGAAGGAGTGATTGGTATTAGGTAAGTAAACTCAAGTATCAAGGTGAGAGACAGAAGAGAAAATGTAGTCTTGGAAATGGCAAGACGGAATAGTCAAGACCCATGTAATATATAGACCGCCTAGTCATTCGCTTTCCAATCAACTTTCATGTGTGTAAAGGACTCTTGGCATTACATCTGATGATGGTGAGGGGGCCTGTGAGAATAGCGCTCAGGGAACACTGCACTAGTGGACTGTGGAGGAGTTATGTTTCAGACTACCTGCCGGGCAGTCACGCTCAACATTTTGTGTCATGTGCCTGAAGCAAAGCGCGAGGAAGACTGCATATACTCTGGCATGCTCATTGAAGAACGAGCCCCTTCAGCAAGATGCTAGAGACTCAAGTGGCCCGGCCCCATAGCCGACTGACCCGACGACAAAAGACGATGGACTTGGAGAGCAACCCGCCTTAGTTCAGCACGGGGTCACGTGGGCGGGGGAGTCCTCGCTCCGGGCGGCACCGGACTCTCCTGCCACTAAGGCCAACCCGTCGGGCCGTCCTGCAGCTCGGCGACCAAAGTTATGTAGCTGAGATTTGGGTGAAGCGCGCTGTCTCGAGTCGTCGACGCGCCCAAGTACAACATGAGCAAATTGTGGATACTAAATTTTGGTCTTCAAGGTAGTAAAATTCAGATAATGAATTATAGATAACAGCAGACAGATGCATGAGTAATCACAGATGTCGGCTGCAGCCTTCTTATTGAGCCAAAGAGGATTGAATCGTGGGTTGGTCTCACATAGATCACTTGCGGAGAAGTGATGCCAATTTTTGGCCAGCTGTCCGTAATTATTGTGTAGCGCTGGGCAGTTACACAGTATTTCTGAAAGCTAAAATGATTTTGGTTTGGCACAATTCCGTACAACGCTTTCGCATATCGAAACGATTAGCAGTTGAAATTATGAGCATTCATAATCTGAAATCTCATGGCTGGTTGCTTTCTTACACCCTTTTTTTGTGTGATGGAAAGAAAGGAGTTGTGCATAATATGAGCTTACAGTTAGACAAATAGGGTTGATGAGTGCATAAAAGAGCATGCTAATATGAGAGATAAAGCTGGCTGATCAGATGAGAGTGAAAGGTCATAACAATAGCAAATAAACCAAACAATCCAGAAATCATATGTACCTAAATGTTGTTTTGTGGAGGGGGTAGGAGGCTGGATGATGTAATACGAATCGATGTCTATAGTGGTACAAATGCTTCAAAGAGACGTCAAGACACCAATGAATAGGCTGAATAGATTCAAAGCGAAGCGGCAGGAATGCTATGGTTTTTGATGTCCAGTTTTGAAGAGGAATTGGAATTGAACAGAATTATCTCCTTAGAGGCTCCTCTTCACGCTCGTCTTCGTCCAGGAGAATGATTCTGTTTCTTCCAGATCCGAATTCAACAAAACTCGCTATGAAGCAAACCACACATGCGGCAGCGCCGGCAATCAGAGCAGTGATTACTTGGGGTGCATCTGCCACTTTCTGGAGGGTTCCCTTGCTGTTGATCAGCAGACCGATCGATAAATAGACGACCGCAAGCATGCGAACCAAATCCTTGGCACGGTAGACTGCTAAGGCGTTGGCAAGCCCAATCAATAAAACGACGCCGAATATGATCTGAATGCAAACATTGAAACATTTTGATTGGTCAGTCAGACACCACCAGTCAGGAAAATTACTTGTGAGATAAAAGCTGGGTACCCAAGCATGAGTCGAAAAATGCCTTTCCCAGGTGTTGTCAATCGGTGATCGGTACCATTTTAAGGAGATGAGGATAGATTGAGGAAGATCGACAGTGAATAGGATGGTCTGAAAGAGCTGGACGGGAATGTAGATAAAGATAAAACTGAAAGGCTTGGAGGTGAAGGAGGGCGGCGAGTGTCTCCAGATCGAGTGAAGTGTATAGGTCATCAAAAGAAACACCACGAGAAGAAGCGCAGTCGACACAACGAAAAGTTCTGCTGCCTATCATGTGCAGAAGTAGAAGAGAGTGGCGAAAAAAAAAAGAGTCAGAAGGACTCAGGGATACAGTTGAAAACGTCCGACACAGCCCAGATATCGATACGGATGAGAGAGAATTTAATTGAACGTCGTACCCAGAAGATGGGCCAAAGAGCGAAACCAAACAGAGCGACGACATAGGTCATTCCGATTGCATGGACAAAGGTCTGCTTTGTTTCTTCGGTTCGATAGCGTTGATTGGAAGTGCAAACGACCATGAAGGCCATACCGAATTGACAGGCAAAGATGACCAACCAGTAGAATCCGACGAGGATCTTACTGGGAGTGAGTAAGGTGTAATACCGATCATTGATGTCGCCCACTGCGTTACGGATGAAAAGACCATTAAGTGAGTGAGAACGACTTGGACTATGAGTACAATTCGAGATGGAAGTGAAATCTTAACTTGAAGGCTCGATGAGCAAGGCGCATACAAGATTAGAAAACATGGCAGTCAAGGTGGCCAACGGAACGAAGATCTTGAGTCTGATGATGTCATTCTGCTCTACAGGCTGTATGGACCAACAAGACGAAGAGGCTTGATGGCGAGTCAGTAAGAATGCTGATGATGAAACAAGTGAAACACCAGACTGACGATGATATCTGCCGCTGGATCGTAGGCTGCTGGGGCTGTTGGTGGATGGGTGTAGGAAGGGTTGGTCATTGTGGAAGTGAGTGATGTTTTTTGTGAGGTGGTTGGTTGGGTTCAGTTGTCTCCTGTTGACCGCTTTTGTATTCAAGCTTGCCCAAACACCCCGACATCCCGCATACAACCTGCTCCAATCACATTTGATCACACTGCCTCCGAATCCATTGACGTCACATGATCACTTCATCAACGAACCAAGCACAGCTCAAAAAACCACACTCCACATCCAGCCTCATCTTAATTAACTCCCTCCGACACAGAACGAGTTCATGAGGTAGATATCATCCAGTTTGGTGGATGCAGAGAGGAAGCTTGCCGTGGTCTTGTTTTTGAACATGATTTGTTCATACAACTTCTGAATTAAAGAAAACTTTCAAAAATGGTTAGACTCACATCCAAACAAAAAAAAAAAAACATCAAAAGGAGCTGGTAAATTGGTCCGAAGTTTTACTCTTCAAGAGAACAGAAGAGTCAAACCCCATCAAAACAGACAGATTCTATGTCATATGTACACAGAATATCTGTGCTTGCCCATTTGAAAACCCCTGATTGAGGGAAACAAAAACTAAAACGTGCAGTAAGATCAAAATGTGTATATGTTCGTTAGATACCATCAACAAAGATTGTTTTTGAGGAAATAGATGGAAACAACAAAATTTAAATGACTGATCCATATCTGCCACTCAGGATAGTAAATAGATTAGATTAAGCAATGCACAACTTATCAAAGAGTCAGTCTTGGAAAGCAAATTTCAGGAGTGTCTGATTCAGCAAATCAGTGGACTCATTGGATAATTAGTGGATGGGAATATCAATGTGATTTTTTTTTCTCTTTCAGTATTCATTCTGAATGCTTGGAAAACCAAGGCAGAACTTGGATTGGCTAGACCAAATTCAGTGAATTGGCCCAAAGAAAAATATCTATCCTGCTTAAGATTTTATCAAAGGCCTCAACCTGGGAGTAGATACCTATCAAGGGGGCAAAAGCTCCTAGAAAGGGCCAGAAGCTTTTGAACCAAACAGGGTTATTTCTCCTCATCAAGTTATATATATGGACTTTATCCAGTGAAGATCAGTTTTTGCATCAGAGAAATTTCTTCAAGCACAATTCATATATTGGAATTTGAAGAAGTGTAGGCAATAATGAGCAGCAATTCAAAAAGAGATGCAACTTCAAGAAGAAAAAAAAACATTTTTTTGGGGGGATTATAGTGTTGTAATCCAATATGAGTGTCTTTAAACATCAATCTTCCAAGTCTGCTGCACTAGCATTGGGTCGAGAATTGCAGGATCACCCTTGGCCAAGGCATACCAATGAAGGCTTATGATTTTTTAGAGACAATTGAATCATCTGGTTCTCTGAGTGAAGATACCTTTTCCATGGCCCTAGAGCCATTCCAAGGCTCCGGCCTGTGAGTATAGAACATGGAAGATGGAATTGCTCGTATCTTTCTTTTCAATGAATAGGTCAATAGACTACTCACACTCATAAATAATTAGCTTAGGATAGGCCAATTAAGCAAGTCCAGTCTTGCATGTGTGGAATTGAAAAGATTGATGTTGAGGATGCAGAAACAAAAATTGAAGGGCTTGAAGATCCTATGGAAATTCACTTTCAACTTGATCCCCAAGCCTGACCGTGGTGAGGGCTGTGGTTTTTTTCCAGATTGAATTTTGGTTGTTTTTCGGTGGATGGGTGGCCGGATTTGTCAGTTCCCGGAATCGGATCCCCCGGTCGATCAGCCTGGGGCCGTGGGAGGTCGAGGTGTACTGGACCCGGTGAGGCCCGTGCCCAGGAAAATAGAACTCACCTCACTGGTCACCGGACTCAGCCACAGGAAACCACCCAACCAACGACTTCATCAGACTCAACAAGCAAAGCAAACAACTACACAAACCAAGCCAAACTGTCAAAGATGGTTCTCAACAACTTGACTGCCAACTGGGCTAGCCTATCCAGGAAGTCCTTCACCTTACCAACCACAGTGTAAGCTCAGAACAACCAAAAAACAGCCTTCAATCATCAAGATATTAATCTCTTCTTAATCGATCAACAGGGCGGCATGTCCCAAGGGGATCCCGATCGCACCCCGAGTCAATCTCGCCGCTCGATCTGCCCATGACGCTCATGGCGAACATCATGATGAGGCCCATGGTCCGTCGAGCATCAAGGATCGTCACAACTTTCGCATCCCTTCCTTTGCCGCCCGAGTCAATGTGCCCACCTGCTCGATTGCTCAATTATCATCGCGAACACCAATCAATGGTATATGTCTTGTCTCTCCCTCTTCCTTTTTTTCCCCACTGGGCATCCATATCTGACCCTCACTTTTATAAAAAAAAAACAGCCAATCCGACACTCTCTCACCACCGCCAATTCGGAACAAGCACTGCGAAAAACAGCATGATTCCGAAGAGCTCGGGCTCGGCAAGCTTCCAGGATACACGAGAAGTACCAAACTACAGCAGCTACAAGACGGTCTCTGAAGATAGCGGACGAGTGTTCTCATACCTGATGGTGGGCTCGATGGGCTTAGTGACTGCATCGGGGGCGAAGTCGTTAGTGTCGGACTTCTTGACGAACCTATCGGCCTCGGCGGATGTGTTGGCGCTGGCCAAGGTGGAGATCGACCTTGCGAATATCCCCGAGGGGAAGAACGTGATCATCAAGTGGCGTGGAAAGCCGGTGTTCATCCGTCATCGTACGCCGGCTGAAATCGACGAGGCTAACTCGGTCGATATCTCCTCCTTGAGAGACCCCCAAGCTGACTCTGACCGAGCCAAACGTCCCGAGTGGCTCGTCATGTTGGGCGTCTGTACTCATCTCGGTTGTGTGCCGATCGGTGAGGCTGGTGATTTCGGCGGATGGTATTGTCCTTGTAAGTCATCTCACCCCCTCAGTTCTTCTCTGAGAGAGATCGATGCCAACTTACTAACTTTCTTCCTTATCTTCAGGCCACGGATCTCACTACGGTTTGTTGAATTTTGTCGCTTTGAAATCTGCATTTCAAAAGACAAGTTGCATTAATTTTTTTCTGTAACCTTCCTAATTCCAGACATCAGTGGTAGAGCTCGTCGAGGGCCTGCTCCCTTGAACTTGGAAGTACCGGCCTACGACTTCAACGATGAAGAGGGAAAGTAAGTTTTTCTTTTCTTTATTGGCATGTGGGATATTCGTTATCAGCTGACGTTCCGCTTCTCTCTCTCTTTTATTCGATCAAGGCTGATAATCGGATAGAACCCAGAGAAGAAATGTATCGGTAGGAGAGGGAAAAGAAGAAAGGCATAAGAGCAGCAGAGCGAATTGCGCATTCTTTTTACGTTCATATATTCATAGAATTGTCATACACATTGTTTTCTTTTTTGCTTCTTCTCTCGACACACATTAGGCCTCCTTTCTCCTCCTTCTACTTTACCTTGACATATCTTTTTTTTTTTGTTCCCCTTTCTTACAACGCGTTTCGTTGAGTCCTTCGATCGGTTGATGGCCCATCAATGGAATTCATTACTTAATCATTTCCTCCCCTCTCCTTTCTCATGATCACAAGAGAATCTACCTCAACCTACCTGCAGATGATTGTTCAGTTGCAATACTCATTCGTGCTTGACATGACGAGGTCTTACTCCTCAACTGCCACCACCACCCAGTGTGGGTATGTTCAACCCAGCCAATTTGAATATATGTAGCTCATGTCTTGGCTCCCGAACCAAGCGAGGACATCCAGAGCCGCTGTGTCCTTAAACCCGCATCGGCACCAACCGAGTCCATGATCAAGCTGGCCCCTTCCAGCTCATGTAAATATCAGGAGGGGGATCATCACCTTGGAGGGTTTGTGAGCAGCTGAAGGCCCTGGCCAACCCTTGCAGATTACTTTCCCTCAGAGCACAAACCACACTGCAGACAAGGTCGTCACTAATAGAACTTTCGTTTGGTATTTTTCTGACAGGTTTATACTGGAAACCCTGTCGAACTTCCGCAGCAAGCCTCAGTAGCCCAGTGGTAGAGCGTTTGCCTAGTATCCGTTTCCTTCGGTGATAGCAAAAGGTCCAGTGTTCGACTCACTGTTGAGGCAAGCGTGAGGGTTTGTGCCCTGTCTTTTGCAGAATTGCAGCCCATGTTTTTTTTTTTGTTTTAGAGAGCAGCTGATTTTGCCTATATGTAGCATTGACTTGGATCCCGCTATGCTCTTACATGATGCATGATGGTAGGCCGATAAGAGATAAGACAACTTAAGTAGATAAGAACAAAAAAAAAAAAAGAGAAAAAGAGAAGAGAGTTTAGATGAAGGCCTTGTCGAGCCCCTTTGGATGGAAGCTGACGGAGTGATCTTGGATCTTGAACTGGACGGTCCTATCGGATGAGGTAGTGATTGGCAGATTGAGGTCGCCGAGATATCGGGGGCCTCTCTGAATGATCAACTGTGTGTGTGTGTTAAGTTAGTTTGATTGTTTGGTTTGAGTAGAGTAGGAGTTCTTTACTTACTTCGCCCTGAGTTTGTGCTTGTCCGCCTAGTGCTCTGGTTCTGAGGATGATGTCGGATGAGTTGATGAGCTGGATGAAGATCTCTCTGTCTCTGTTGTTGTTGTTTTTGATTAAGTCGTTGTGGAATAGGTAGACGAGTGAGAAGTCGTGCTGTTGAGGTTGTGTTTCAGTGTGAGTTTTGCTTAGGTTGGTTGGTTGTGCTTACGTTGAGTTGAGAGGGTAGTAGTGCTTTGAATGATTGAGTGAGTTGCTGGGTGGGTAGGTTGTTATTCCAGATGATCGAGCTGAGGTTGTTGATGATGACGAGTGGGTTTTTGTTCTTTGATTTGGTGAGTTGTTGGGTTAGTAGTAGTTTGATATCCTCATCCAGTTTGGGTTGGATGATTGTTAATAGTAGCTGGTTGACTCGGTTCTTGTTGAGTAGGCTGAGCCAGTAGTTCTGGTCGTGGTCTGTTAGTAGTAGGATGACTGCTCTGTGGTTTCTGAGTGCGTTGCTGATCAGCTGGAGGAGGATGAAGTTGGCTGGGGAATCGATCGAGTCGACCAGGAGCAGGCTGAGCTTGGCTGGGATGGAGTAGTCTTCTAGTGGGAAGTTCATCTTTTCCTGCAAGTTGCACTTATAAAAACCAACAACAAACCAACAAGAACAAGAAGAAAGAGATGGCAGTGATGGAGGACGAACTACAACGACTCTGGCAACTCCTAGCCGAACTATCCTCACAACTCACCCAGAACAGAGAACAGACCGAACAACTCAAGAAACAGGCCCAAGAACTCAAGACTCAAGCCATCCACACCGGAACTGGCTATCCACTCAAACGATTCAACGTCGACCTCAGCAAGGGTAAGCAAACAAACAAACAAACAAACAACTAATGAATCACTAACAAAAAAACAAAAAAACAGAACAATTCGAATCTGAACTCGAACGCATGAACGCTCAACTCGTCATCGAAAATCAAACACTCCAACACGAGAATCGCCATCTGACCATCCTACTCAAAGATCACGAAACTACCCTAGAACAGATCATGAACCGATTCAGGAATCATGCAGTTAAGACCCATCTTACTCATTTATATTTATATACTTAAAAAACACTCACATCCTTCCTTCATCATAACAGCATTCAACACAACAACACGAACTAGAACTCACCAAATACTACGAATCCATCCTACTCTCCCTACTCGAGAAACAACAACAACAACAGCAGCAGAGATACCCAAACGATGGCCATCCAACCGAACTAGATCCCAACACCTTCCAACTCATCCAAAACCTATCGATCCTCATCCAAAAGGCCATCCGAGAACTCTCGGGAGAAGAGCCCTACCTCAGCGAGGCCGACGAGCTCGAATCCCAGCAAGCCCTCATCCAAGCCGAGCTATCCCACCAGCAATCCCAGACACCCACCTCCACCGAGCCACCGCCGAGCCCGTTTGCCTTCCAAGATCCATTCAAGAATCCATCCCCTCCACCCAGCCACCAATCATCAACACATCAACCCAAGATCATCGACCAAGAACAGAGACGCAAGTCGATGTCCGTCATCGACTATCGTCCCCGGCTCAGAGACCCCTCCAGCGGAGGCTATGTCGGCAAACGCAACGGCTCGCTCTCCGATCACGCCCTCCTCAGCGCCATCGAATCCGAGCGGCTCCGGCGCGAGAATGCCTGTCTCCGGGAGATGCTCGGGATCGCCACCGACGACTGTGGGCCCATCCAGCCTTCCGCAGTCCATCAACATCCTCCAACCCACCACCACCACCACCACCATCAAGAACATTCTCTCACCGGCAATCTCCATACCGTCGTCTCCCAGGTCATCAAGGAAGAGGACGAGGATCCTCTCCATGATCTCAACCATCCCCCTCCCCCGCCTCCCATCAACCTCGACCTTCATCAAATCCTTCCCCCTCCTCCTCCCCCTCCTCCACAACAAGAACAAGAAGAATCTGAGCAACAAGTCCCGAAAGACCAGATCGGGTCCTCTGATCAACAAGCTGGCTCCTCCTCCTCGGACGATAATGTTGATGCTCTTCAGAATCACGACTCTCATCAGCTACCCGCTTGATCCTTTTCCACTCTTCTTCTTCTTCTCTCTCTCTCAAAACAACACATCCTTCATCTCTTTCTCTCCAAAAACTAGATGATTAATTTTTTTTTTCTTTTTGTGAAGTTCATGTATGATCATCATCATGTACTTTGTACATTGTTGTTTTTTTCTCTCTTCTTCTCTTATAATTCCACAGTATATTGTTTGCTGTGCTCTTTTCTTGGGGGGGGGGGGGTGAGATGGATGGATGGATGGATGAGGGAAGGGGGGAGGGTGTGGTTCTGTTTCAAAAAAAAACAAAAAAAGATCAAAATCAAAGGAAAATCTAAAGAGGACTGGATTCTTTAGACTGCAATGATAAATAACCAAGAGGACAAGAATACACATCCAACAGAGAAACCAGTTTCAATTTTTGTCTAGCTTATCCCATTTTTTTTTTTTTGACTTGAAAAAGAAAGAATTGTGGGCTGGTGGGTGGACCAAGAGCGATGGTGGGCTGCTCCGCTCCACAATACACAACAACAACAACAAACCGCCCACTAAGGTTATTGCCTTCCTGACATTCCATTCTTTTTCTTCTTATCTAGGTATCAATCAATCTGTTGAAAGTGTTTTGATTAGATAAATATATTTATATAGGTTGTTGACTGGACTGGCTAAACATCAGCCGGCTATCCTGTATTCATTTCTTGTTTTGCCAGTGCTTATAGGTATACATGCTTAGCAACCTTTCTCATCTGCAGACTGCATTGTTCTCCTTTATGTTTATCATACTTCTTTTATGATTTGTTGGATTTTCAGCATGGTTTTTGATTTTGATTTTGATTTTGTTTTGCATCCTTTTTTCGATTAGTATGATGAGCTTGATCTTTTTTATCTCCTTGCAATTCTTCTTTTCTTCATTCATTTGTTGACCTTGTTTTTTTTTTATCTTTTATCTTTTTGTCTTCTGGACTCCAAGCATGACACCAACAAAATCAAAATTCCTCACTGCATCAGTTCTCTTGTTCCTCTCTCTCTTGAGTATCTTGTTACTCAGAACATTGTGCTAGCACTGTGGGTGGTATCATCCTGTTAGTCCTACTAGGCTGTGCTACAGTACTCATTAGCAGCAAAAAAAGAAACAGCCAAAAAAAGAAACCTCCAGTAGTGGGTCCTTTTTTGGGTCTGAACGTGTAGTGTTAGCCCGGTTGTGATGATGGAATTATGGAACATTATAACCCTGCACTAAGACTACGGTTAACTTAACTAGCCCATCATTCCCAACAGGAACCCATGAACTCCTGGATGCCAATGTGATGGAGGAGGACTGGACTACATATGTAGATAGGACGTGGTAGCCCGGTGGATGGACAGATGCTTCTTCACTCCCTGCCCCCTCTATCTGGTCCAAGTTTTGGAGACTGAAAAAAAAAACATGGGTTTGTGGTTTGGGAGATGGAGGAGATCTGGAAGATGGCTGTAGGTGCTCAAAAGAGCCTTGCTGGATAACTTGAGGGTTGAGACCCAAGATTAGATGTGTTTATTTATTTATTTTTCTTGTCAATAGTGCTCTTCCATGGGATTTGTATTTTCTCCATACTATAAGGAGATATTGTGTCTCAATAAGTATGTCCTAATACAGCAAGTGTTTCCAAGATTGTGAGTTTGAAATTTTTCACCTGTTTTTTGGTGGGTGACACTGCCATGAGAGCCTTAATGTGCCATAAGTTATGGGATTCTGCTACTTCTGTACTAGAGTCTTTTAATCAATATTAGTGAAGGACTTTCCAGTTGGCCCGATTGGTTTGGATTAGAGGGACTGCTGAAACCTCAAGGCCAAGTGATGTTCACACACAAATAAGCTTTATAAGCCCTTCCTTCTAAAAATCAACTCATTCATTAGACCACCAGATCAAGTCCTCTAGTGGATGAGTTACACACCAATTCAAACCCCCCATACATACACCCCCAATCTAATTCTTTTTGTTTTTGCAGACAGGCTGTCTTGCCCACTATAGAATTTATAATCTTGTTGTTGTCAGTTGATGATCAAATAAAAACTATGTGAATGTAGACAGAGAGAGAGAAACATCATGAACAGGAGAATAAAGAGGAAGTAAACACATAGCTGGGAGAGTGCTGTACAGACATCTATGAAAGGACAAGCAGAATACACCACCACCACCCAAATTACTTTCCCGTCAATGAAAGGCCATCAGTGGCACTGGCTTGAAGAATATTGTGTGCTTGCTAAGGGCAGGGGGGGGGGAAATGTGGAGCTGATCAGCAAGGAGTAAAGAGCTTGGACAGGATAAAAGGAACTAATCAAAACTATAAATAAAAGAACACCTGAGGAGGTTGGGATGAGTTTGTTGAGGTATCTGTGTAACAAGGAGAGTTCTTTTGAGAGTTTTCTCTGTTGATAATTCTGTTTGTTATTAATTCTCTATGGATATCTAGTTTCTCTGGGCTCTGAAGAAAGTAAGCTTTATTTCTCTAATTTCTGCTTAATTATAAGGGTTGAGGAGGCCTAATTATAAATATATCTTAAATATCTTTTCTAATACTCAAAATAAGAGGGTGATGAATGTTGAATAATATCTCTAATTATCTTTCTGGTGCAAAACATGGGGAGGAAGGAAGAACATGGTCCACAAAACCATGACTGTTGGAATGTCACTTGCTAGCAAGTCACATCAAGGCAGCTTTGGTGGAGCCTTCTTGGGTGAACCTTGCCTTTGTAAGTGTTCAAACTGTCCTACCACCCCTTTGTCTACTAATCCGATATGAATATGTCTTAATTAGGGATTATCATTTATGGAAGATCTGAAAAGTTCAAAAACCTCATTTTCTCTACAACTGTTGCACCCCCTTCCATGAAACTACAATGAAAAGGTGGAGTTTCATGTCACAAACTTTGATCATTACACTTTGTTTTTAAACATTTATTGGTTCAGGAAAAAATAGATGTTTTAAGTTTCATTAAACATTTTCATTTTTGATACCCCCTATTGGGTTTGATTTAGTGAGATTTGAGTTTGAGAAGCCTTGCAGAATTAGTTAAGACAGGAAGATTGGGAAACTGTTGTGGATGTTAGGGAGGGATCACAAGATGTTTCAACAGATTGAAACAATGATTCATATGGTAAATATGTTTCTACTCTTAAATTATATGGATGTGATTGATCTCACCAGAGTGCTTGCTGAGGGGGGGGGGGGGGGATCGGGGATGATTATAGGCAGGCAAGATCCACAAAACTGGGATTAGTTTCTGTGTTTTTTCCTGGTTTTGAAAATGTTTGAGCAAGATGACTGGATCAAAAGGATTGGGAAAAGTTTTCTCTCTCCTTGGATAAGTTGAGGATCTGTCCCTGGGGAAACTGAGAGGTTGTGCAACTGGGATTTCCTGAGTGGGTAAAAAAAGTGGGGAGGATAAATCTCCCAACCTGTCCTAGTCTGCTTGCACAGTCAGATTGGCCAACAGATTTACCTAGCCACTGCAACATAGCTGCTCACATTCAAGGAACCATCTGGATCAACCCAAGACTTGATTGTCCATGGTTTTCTGTTGATTGTTATTATTTTATCTTATTTTGCAACAAGTCAGGATTTTTTTTCATCTCTCCTCTTGATTGATTTTTGGTAGTGCTGGGAATTTTGTACCTCTCTAAGGCTCTTCCACCATCTTTCCCGTTGTTATAAACAAATTTAGGAATACACTGGGACCAGCTCACCTATTAGCCTCAGGTATTTGGTATCCGCTTCCGCATTCCAGCATCAAGATGATTAGAGAAAAATCAAAGAATCTGTTGAAATTGAATCACCACAATGATTTTTGATGACACATTTTCATTCATCAGTACCATGAAGATTCTTTTCCTTTGTCTTGATGATCAGAGACTCAGAGCTGGATGAGCCATGGCAATCAAGTCCAAGACTCAAGCTAAGTCATGATTAGCTACAATTCCATTAAAAAAAAAAAACGAAGCAAAAATGATCTCCCCAGTTCACCTGACACACACTTGATCAAGACAAACTTATGAAACTGTCTCAGAATCTAGCCCCTGCTCCAGCCAAAGAAACCAATTGGAAATCAGTAACTGTTAACTGTGGGCACCCAAATGAATTCCAAATTCAGATTGGCCTCTCTACCCATGGTTCTCCTCACTTGTTTTTTGTTTTAGAAAGCTCTGGCCCAACCACCATTGTAGTGTGCCAATTGTGTTTCAAGTATCAAATTGCATAGAGTCAGAGTCCTCTACTGAGAAGGGTATATATTCTTAGTTGTGTTATGGCATAATCAGATTCTACAGGCCCTTTTAACCCATAGTCACTCACTGGAACCACTAGGCTAGCTACACTCAGTCAAATGTGATTTGGGATTTAAATTCTATTTGGAATATAATGAATGCTTATTGCATATTGCAAACCACAATTTGGCTTTAGTTTGTTTATGTATTCAATAGGGGGTATCAAATATAGGAAATCCACCATTAGAAACCAGTCACTTTTTTTAAAAAAAAAATTGCATCAATGGGCCCCAAAAGGGGTTAAATGAAGAACCAACATGTTTAAAAAAGGGTGGATTCTTTCAAACCAGTCAATTAAATAATGGTGGATTTGGTTATATTTGATACCCCCTAATATTAATTTCATAGTGTAACCACAAGTTGTCCGCATTGTTTGTATATTGTACAGTGGCTTTCCTGTGATTTTTGGCTGCTTGTTATGGATTCCAGAGACTCAAAGACCAACTTTGAAGTCACAAGACTTGGTCAAGTGGTGCCAAATGGGTCCCAAAAATGAATATTAATAATAATAATAATAAAAAAGTTTCAAAATTTGTCAATTTTTTTCCAAAAGCTTTTATATTCATTTTGGGGGAGTGGGAGTGCTGAGAGAAAGAAAGAGTAGAATAGAGATTGTTTGTTTGCACTCAGGTACCTGTTCAATTTTTTTTTGTTTACAAAAATAGGTACCAAGTACCGCACTCGGCACCACCTGGCGGGTACCACCAGTACTTTCCCTCTCTTTCTCACTTAGTTTCACTGGTATTTAGTCATTTTTTGAATTTTTTCATATTTATTATAAAATATGCAGCCCTCCCTCCCACCCTATGTTAGGTAAGTGGGGTGGTACCCGCGGTAACTCCTGTTTTTTCCCCAAAAACAGACACCTGGCACCGCACCTGGCACCTCCTGGCAGGTGCATAGCGGGTGCCGGAGGTACCCCCCAAACGGTACTAGGTACCTACCAAGGAGTACCACAGAATGATCTCTACTGGAAAAGCTTCAGGACCATAAGGCCCTGGGTTTATGAGACATTCAGTTTCAGCTATCATCCAGGGAACATCATGAAATCCCTTGATCACTCTTGTGGTGTAGGCAACGGTGGGCCAGTTACACTAACTGTAGTGTTAGTGTTACTATGCACCAGGAAAAAACCAAGAGTTGCTTGTTGACAGGTCACATTGATCAACAATGGGCTTGGCTCTGTTACAACTACAGTTGTATGACCAGTGGACTGCAATGGCCCCTTTGTCCTCTGTGGGGGACTGTAATCACTTGCAAGGGGGTAGATGATGGGTAGCAGGCTGAAATTAGCCTGATGTCACCTGTAATCTAGTGATCATTTATTTTTCCTGGTGATGTGTGCAGGCCCCCAAAAGGTGCCCACCACACTGAGTGAATTAGTGGCATTTTGGCCCTGTGGTGGCTGTTAGTGGCCCGTAGGGCAGCAAAAACCCACTAAATTTTTTCTAACACTACATGATTTCTGTGCACAAAAAATCCCACTACACACTAGGCCTGTTCTAAAAATGATACTCATTTGATGATCAGAATGATTACCTCTAATGAGCTTGACACTAGCTCTCTATGATACAATCTCCACCAGTTTTCAAGCAAAAAGATACCTTGTATTTTACCATGTCAATTGAAATACGGAGAGCAGGATGTACCCAATTTCCAGAGACCATTATCACATTTTCTCAGCTAGTGCAGAATAACCCAGTTTTCCTGTTCCAGGAGCCAGTGCACCTTGACATGTCCATAAGCTAAAGTGTGGCCCCTCTCAAAAATATCTGGTAGTGCTAGAGGTTGTAGCAGTTGAACAAGAGGGTTCTAGATTGGTAAACTAATCCAAGTCTGACCTTGATTTCTCAAGTAGAGAATCCTACAGGTACATTCTTCATCAATTTGCCAAGGAGTGGGAACCCTTGTTGAACTGGTATTTACAAAATTGGTCAAAGGAGTGAATCCCTACCTGTCAATTGGCCACCACCTGTATCATTTTTCCAAGGTAAGGAAGCATCTACAGAAAGATAGCAACAGCATTTGGTTGGGATTAACAAATAAAACAGGAAAAAGCTGTCAAAAATTAATAAAAACAAAAACAAATTATAGGGAAGAAGACAAGTGATCATGAATTTGATAGACATTAATAGAGACTGTTCTTCCAGGTTCTTTGACTACAAGAGACTGTGGTAGATGTACCATTCAGAACAGAAACATGCTACAATCTATTTTAAACATTACAAAGAAAAGAGATGGTGAGGAATATCATTTGAAGTTTGAGCCAGGAGATGTAAATGCCAAACAATGTAGCACTGAGTCACACAATTGTAATAGTAACAGTAATGGTTATCCAAAGGGATGCCCTTGGAAAAAATAGAGTGCCTGACTGTCTACTATCATGAGTCTGGTGAATGTGAGAGAAACAAACAGAAGATAATTAGAGCAGAGTTAAAAACAAGAGAGAGATAGACAACTCAGAATGGCTTCCCAGGAAGTATGATCAGCTGTCAGGTTGGGTCCAAGAAATGACCCAATGTGGTATGTAGATTACAAAAGACTTGTGCAAATGCATGTGAGATTCTTTGAAGAATCCATCTTACCCAAAAATTGGCATTTAATTGTTCTCAATGGCCTGGTTTTGCCATAGCTGCAAATTGGCAATTGATCTCTACATTTTTTATGGACAGGGATGCTGGCATCAATAGGTTGGCTTTTGAGGAGGAAGACCTTTTGCAAGTACCATTTGTTCTTCTCTTCTTAACCAAACTCTAGCTCATAAATAAATTCTTAGCTGCAGGAGGGATCGGGCAAAGATACCCGGATCAAGAAGCTGAGGATGATTCTAAGTTCTAAAGGTGTGACCCGAGTGTTAGGGCGGGGTGTCAAGGCAATCCCGACGCCCGCACGTTTTTTGCAAAATCTACCTCAACCCACCCTGATCGCAACGACTCCGGCTCCCACTCCAGTAAAATTATCAAAATTGAAAGGGGGTTTAACTTGTTCCTCCTCCCAAGTGCACACTTTGATAGGTACACCCCAGGGGCACTTCTTGCCGAGCGGGATCGTGGAACCGACGAAACTCGGCCGATCCGTGGAACCGACGAGATCAGCTCTGTAAGTCTTCGGTAAGGACTGATTTCGTTGTCGGTTCCACGAAGCGAGCTTTTTTTTTCGTCGTCGATTCCACGAACCCAAGTCCGAGCCGATGTGGAGCAGGTGGGCTCGTTGCCCACGTTGATTCCACGACGGCCGACCATCAATCCACATACAACCAGGACCCACCGATGTGGGTCCTGACAGTCTGAAAACTCGAGAAAACCGAGTGTTGAAAAAAAAAAAAAAAAAAAAAGAAAAAAAAAAACTTTACTTTTTTTTTGGGGGGGGGGGGAGTGAAACAAATGATCACTCCGAGCCGATCTAATCTCGGAAGGAGGAGAGCGTTTCAAGACTCACTACGGGCAATTAGGTGACGCTCCCGCACGGAACGTCACCTAACCCAAGGGGGGCCCCTTTGGGTTAGGTGACGCTGCGGGCCGCAGCGACACCTGTTTGCCTGTAGTGACTGCTTGGACGAACGGTGGAGCAGCCTCCTGCAGGCTTGGCCTCGGTCCACCGCCGGAGTTCGACTCCGTGTGCGCTCCTTTTTGGGGCCGCTGCCGATTCTCTATCTGCGGCGCTGCTAGCTTCCTCGTCGGCTCCACCGGATGACCTCGGGATGGACCCGTGGAATGACATGTGGAGTCCACGCAAAACTGTGGACCGTCAGGAGCTGGTCCGACCCGCTGCAGTGGTCACTCGTGGAATCCACCGAAAAAATCGGTGTCCGCCCACGTCGAACTGCGCCCGAGGTGTACAACATCATGTCCAAGCCAACTACAGATCATTCCTCCACTCAGGTACATGGAGAATGACTTTGTGACATTGAGTCCAAGCCAAAAAAAAGCTCATACCTCCCATTAACCCATATTGCACTACCACCCAGGTGTTCGGGTGGGTCCAGAGACCCACCCCGAGGACCGACACCCGGGTGGCACCACCCGTGAAAACACCCGGGTGGCGTCTTTCGGGTTACACCTTTAATTCTAACGGAGGTCAAACGGTCACTTGAGCATGAAAAGTCAAATCCCTAGAGTCAATCTGGTAACGGATTGGTCCGTACTTCCCAGCAGAGCTCACAATCAGTTTTCTGTTCCGGTTCGTCTTCTCGGCGGCCTCGGAGGCGCACCGCGGCCGGGTTAGAGATATCGATTCTTCATTGCCGACTCTCTGCGGAGGTCGAACTGAACGGAAGCCCTGATCATTCCCTGCTGTGGAGGGCGTTGGGATGCGAGTGGCCTCGGGACTGACGCATTGCGCCGACCGCAGGGGCTGCCCTCCGGGCTCTCACTCAGAGGATTGTGTTAGGCTCGTGCGGAGGTGGATTGGTGTTGAGTTCGTGTGGCCCACGGGCGATGCAGTCGAGGGAACCACAACGAAAAGTTCCAAATCTTCATGTGGAGGGACCTCGCCGTCGTATTCTGAACCATGCGCCGAACGCAGGGATGCGGACACAGACCCTGTGTGGCCTTCGGAGGATACGGCCGCCGATTCCTGGTTGGATAATAACACATCATCAGGGGAAACTCAAACTACCCGGTGGCTTGGTGAGCAAGCGGGAGAGCCCAGCTAGCCTGCCGCCGCAGACAGTGAATTTGTTGGATTTGTAGAGTCCTTGAAATTAGATATCAATGACACAGTGATGATGCTTTCACTTGATCAGCTGATTTTGATGATGTTTTGTTTTGTTTTGTTTCGACACCCGAGCTCATTCGACCGCCGGCCGGAAGGAGGACTAGAGGCTTGTATGCACGATTTCGTGACTGACCAACCGAGAACCCAGTCCTCTAAGCACAGCCTGTTCTCTGCGTCACAAACTGACGTGGTTTATGTGTTTAGATAATCCTTGAAAATGAGTGCCTGCCTGCATCCAGCTTCCGGCTGCTTCTCGTGCTTCCTACATATTTACAACATATACGATAGTCCAACGTCTTTTCCATCCTGACGGATCCACTGATTCTGAGTCTGAGTCTGCTCGGTTGAAGCGATAACTTTAGATTGAGTCCTGAAGCTCTACTCTATCATCTGAGCTTCTGTTGACTTATAGCACACTGAACCAAAAGCAGTGGCGTTCGAGAGCGTCGATCGACTCTATTGTAATCGGGCTTTTTCTTTCTTTGGGTTGTCGATGGAGCTCTTCTTCTTGTGTGATCAGGGTAACGGTCAAGAGGAAACTCTAGTTGAGTTCCTTAACCAACTTCTTGTCACCAATCTTTCTCGATCACAGCCTTGATACGGTCAACAGAAAAACTTGGTTCAAATATCCTCTAGTCTTGCTGTTGTTATTATTAGCAGTCAACCTCCATCATCATCATCATCATCCTCATCTAAAGATATATATCCTAACCCTCCTCCTCCTTTAGCGATCATAGTAACACTAATAATAATACTACATAATTGTTTAACCCACTTTCTTCTTCTTCTTCTTCGTCTTCTTGAACTGTCTTTTTCTCTTTCTCTCCTATTCTCTCAACCAAAGCGTGCATTGTAAATAAGCGTATGAGCAGTTTGGTAGCAACGGGGCACAGTTGAACTCTTCTCCTCCAGGGAATCTCAATCAAATCAATATGTATCGTCAGTCTTGACTCTATCCTTATCGAGGAGGCTTTGCCCTCTGAATCCAGCTTGTTTACTTACTCGTCCTTGTCTTGCTTGATCCCCAACTCCACTTCAGCCCTTTCCTTCACCACCAGCCATGCCAGCGATTCTTCTTCCTCTTCTTGTCATCATCCTCCTACGGCTGGCCAATCGCCAAACCAAGTACCCAACTATCTCGATCGAAATACCATTGCCACCCTCCTCCAACCCCATCTGGTCCTACTCAGCCTTCAGGACTCCAGACTGAGTCTTACCCAACCCATCATCCTCAGCACTAGCTGCTACCATTCTATCAATCAGATCATCGACCAGCTGATCTACTCCATCCTCAGATCCATCTCCACCAACCAACACTCAGCAGGCTCTAGTCATGAGAACCACTCCAAAGCTGAGCAGAACCAGGGAGTCGGGGATGATGATGATACCATTGAGAATGAGAACCCGATCATCTCACTGCCCATCGACCCGGGCTACCTCAAGACTCATGGGATACTCAAAGTACTCAACCGGCCACTGGCCCAGCGATCCATCCAGGCTGCCGAGGTGGGCTGGATGGTCTACCAGAACAAGCTCAACTCCAGCCAGCAGTCTCAACCCTTCTCATCCGACTACTCCCCAGCCCAACAGGACACTACAGCAGCAGCACCCATCCAGCTCATCAGCCAGTCCGTCACCCTCTCGGATCTGTTCCTCCAACTACAGATCGACTGTCAGGATCTTATCACCCTATACCAGCCATCAGCCCCTGGGTCAGAGCTAAGAATAAGAACAATTATAATAACAACACTAATAGCACTAATAGTAATCAGCAGCAGCAGGGCAGCCGGACTGCTGCTCAAGCTGACCCAATTGATCCTCACGATGACACTATCAACCCACATCTCAACCAACCATCTGCCCATCTCTTCAATCAGTCATTGGACCTCCTCCTCGACCCTTACTATTACGATAGCCTGCTCGAGCGCTACGACAGTCTCCACCACACCGTCAACCTCCCACTCCGTCAACATCAACAGCTTGCCAACCAACGTCCGCTCCAACAGCACCACCACCACCAGCATCATCATCATCATCAGCAGCAGCACTACCAGCCTCCTCCTCGTCTTCCAGCCATCAAGAAGGCCCAGACTACGATCCTCGAGGATCGTCTGGTGATCTACTTCCTTGGTGTCATCCAAGCTTTTACCAACTATCTCCTCGAGGTCATCATTGCTATCGTCCAGACTCGTCTACCCTACCCATCAGCCATCCAAGCCCACCATCTTGCTGGATTTATGGCCCAGGATGACCAGATCATCAACTTCATGCCCATGCTCGAGACCATCCAGGCCAAGGCTTCCCTCTTCCCTCATTCGCCCCTCTCGCCATTCTGCTTGGTCGAACCGGGCAATCACCACCAGAAGTCCTCCTCACTCAAGCCGCTGATGTTGACGCCGACGATGATCAACAAACTAGGGCCTGCCTCCCACTTCCTCAACCAGATCCCTCAGCCCCCCGGCTCATCCTCTGCAAGCCTCACCCCGCTCCATAGCCCCTTCTTACCCGTCTCGCCTCGAGCCCGTCTACAGACTGCCTCCTTAGGCAACCGAGGCACTGTCAGTGGGGCTCGTCTCGAGCAAATCACCTCAGATTCTAATCATCATATCCCCTTCCAGTCCTGGAATTCTTTCTCCCCACCAGCAGCCCCTGCTCGTAGGTCGGTCTCCCATCGCTCCTTGAACTCAATCCCAAGCCGTTCATCTGTCCCCAATACCCCTCATATCGACTACCCCTCTCCCGACCTCTCCCTACATCCTCTCCCGTCAACCAGACCCATCCCCATCAGCAGTCCCCACTCGACCAGCAGCACTGCTATCAGTCGTGCTGATCAACATCCCGCTCTAAGTCCTCGCCAGTCCTCGCTCTCTCATCTGGTTCACTCCCCACCCCTATCCAGCCCTGCTGGGTCCATCCCTCTTAGTGAGAATCAATCCACCTATCGCTCGGTCACCATTAAGAGGGCACCGCCTAAATCGAAGACCAGAAAACCTGTCCCAGGAGGCAAAACTCTAACGCCCACGCCACCCATCGCCTTTCCAGAAGGATCACACGATCTTGTGTGGCGTCCGCCACGTGGTGGCAACATTGTGGATATCGTGAATCGTCATGGTGATGATCGTGAGAAGAGAGTCGACATCGGTTTACCCAGTTCTACAACCTCCTCAGATTCCGTCCGCCTGCCAGCATCCAGTTCACTGCCTTATCGTTCTCCCTTATCAGCCTCCACATCCTCCATCGCTTCGCCCCGCTCGACCCGCACCACCCCTCTCAACCCATCTCGGCACCATCGTCTTGACTCTCAAACACTAACAAATTCCTCACCAATGAGACATCCGGCTGATTTGGCTCTGCCTCATCATCGCTCCAAGAGCATGACGGCTACTTCTAGTCCAGTACTGGGCCAAGCCGTCGAAAGCTCCAGCTCTCATGCTGCTGTTGTGAGCTGAATTGTGCAGTAATAAAAAAACCCATGCTGGTAGAATCTGACTTCTTCCTTTTTCTGTCAATCTTTCGTCAATCTTTTATTTTCCAATGTAAATCAGCAGGTCGATCCTCGCCCGAAATCTGTCAAATCTCACAAGAAGGGTCACTCCGTAGCTCAACCTGTGGTTAGTCCTATCTTCATCCCCTGTCCCAGCGAAATTTCAAGTGCTTCCCCTGTCCCAGCGAAATTTCAAGTGCTGGCCAAACCTTAATTACATATATTCCCACCCCCGCAGGGCCTAAACACGCGCATGTCCTTCGAGCAATTAATGCGCTCCAATGAAACTGTCAAATTTTCCCTAACCCCCGGGCCTTGTCTCGAGTCCTCGGACTCCCCAACGGTGTGTACAAATCTTCTTCCCCCAGGAAGTGCTATGTGGCTTGTATACTGACCATGAACCCTCGATTCTTAAAAAAAAAAACTTAGAGTCAACACTCGAGTGACTCCTTATGCAGCCCGGACAAGTCTGCACGGATCTTGTCAGATCCGATTGAAATGATATCTCCCAAGAGCCAGGCATCTAGCCAGCTTTTTCCGCGCTCTGAAGTCTTGCCGCGTACCCGGTATCAAAGTCAAACCTGTGCTGACACACCTCCTCAGCTGCCGGACTTCCGGAAGTTTGAAGATCAAATTTCAAGTCCCTCTTCAAATTTTAGCTCATCCCGCTCGATCTACTCTCAAAACAACACTAGTCCCCATGGGTCCTTGTCCTCCAAGAAGCTGATGGCTAACAACATGACATCCATGAGCCAGCGAATTGCCGCGTCTCGGTCGACGGATGTCAACACATCTGGTGATTTAGTAAGGAAACCTCAATTGGAATCTTTGGCAGAAATTCTGAATTCCGATCCGCCCTGGCTGGCGGGCCCAAAGAGCAAAAAGAGTATCCCTAAAGATCCTCAGACGGCAGACCTAGCGAATGTGGTTGGTGCCTTAGGCTTGTCAACCCCACAGTTGGTCCGATCTGAAACGGTAGACGCAAAACAATTTTACCCTAAGGCATCGACCACAAGTACCGGATCGGATTCTTTGAAGTCACAGATTCGATCACAACCTGCTGAGCAGACGCCAACCTCATCAGGGCTACAGAAAAAGCTAAGAGGCTTCAAATCACTGATTTCTCGTCGGATTAAGGTTAAAGATGAACCCCAACCCATGCCAAGCATGCCCGCGCTTCAATATAGTCGATCCCAGGCTGTTGAAACCGACTCGAATTCTACCGGCTCATTTAGTGAATCATGCGATGTATCAGTTCCAACTATTGCCCCGAATCCGCAAGCCGACTTGCATCGCGATGAATCTGCTTTGGATAAATCGAGCCAATTCATCGGTGGGGTGAATGAACTAGGGGCCCTCAGTTTATCTCGGGTCAGCCATTCCGAAGAAGGTGTAGCACCTAAGACAAAACCCAACTCCACATTCAATACGGTATCGACCGCTTCACCAGTCCGCCCGGCAGCTCCGCCCGGCTTCACTGAAGACATCACAAGCACTGATTCTGTCAAAGAAAATCGATCAAAACTCCGTAGGAGTATCAGCCTCTCGTCCCTGGTCCGTCGGCCACCCCCTCGTGACTTGCAACAAGGCCCCAGACTCTCTCAGACCCTGATGCGTACTCGATCGAAAAATTCCAAATCGAGGACTTTGACTGAAAACTCGAACTCTTCTGGAACCAGTCGTGGGACGATAACCGATGAGCGAGGGGCTGGAGGCCAGGAAAATCGGAGTGACTTGGATGAGATCATGGCCTTAGCTAGTCGTCTTAATCGCCGATTCAGAGGATCATCTGACCAAAGAAGAGCAGGATCATTCGACTCACTTCCTGAGGTAAAACCGGGGTTTGCTTCTAAACGTCGTGAGAGACAGGAAACTGGGTCGAGTGTCGAAGATAATTTCGAGATTTCATTTGCTCAAGAACTCAAACCAACAATGGTCAATAGGATCATCTTTACCAGTCCTACCAAAAAGAAACCAGTCTTCAAGAGCGATGACAATCTCTTACAATCCTACTACGACTCTTCAAGCCAATCGACAGCTATCGATGAAGACGGAATGAACTTTAAAGAATTCCTTCTTGACAAGAGCGATCGAAGTCAGAAGAGTTCCCGAGGGCCAGAAGACGAACACGAGGATGATAGGGGCGCTCGAGAGAAAAGGCATGAGCGAGAGGGAGAGGAGGATGGTGGTGAGGAGAGTCGGGACGAATACATTAGCTTACAGGGACTTCAGCACATGATTTCCAAGCTCAATGCCATTGTCGAACAGCTCTCCAAACCAATGCCCCCTGGTCAGGACCAAGATAGTCGGGCATCCAATCATCCGATATCCGGCTTGGGTATCAAGCGCGTCGATCTTCTTAAGATGATGATCGATCAAGTATGAGTTCATTCTCCCACTCCCCAAAAAAAGCCTTGGGACCAGGTTCCTTCAAACCTTCCAGCATGACGACATAAATGATGATAATGACGACGACGATGATGATGACGACGGCGATGTTCTTGATCCTTGAGTGTGTGTGCATAGTTTCCGTCGCTTGTTTGGTTGGTGGCTATACGTTTCTTGGTCTTTGCTTGTTGTCTGTCTGGATACATCCATCTGTAAATATCAGTCTGTTACCATTACATCCTTCTCGTTGAACAACCGTTCATAATTATTTTTGCTTGCCGTTTTTTTTCCTTTAATCATCTCTTTATTTTTTTTTTGTGTATCTTTCCTCTTTATATCCTGCGTTGATCTCTTCTTCTCTTTTCTTGAACAACCTCAACAACAAAAACAAGAAAAAAACCCACTAATAGCAACACCTTGGTGTGGATCCAGGGCCACTATTATCAGGACCAAGATGTGGCTTCTTCGTCGATATTAATATTTGTTTTAACTTTATTTAATTTAATCTAATCCTCTTTTCCTGCTCTCTTCATCATCATGCTCATTGATTGATTGACTGTGTAAATACATACCCATCACAACTCTTGCATCCATTTTCAGCTATCTTGTGTGACAATAATTTGTCTGTATACAGAAACTTCTTCAATGCATTCTTATATTATTATTTCTCTTACATGTATGTCCCTTTCAAACTCCACAGAATTCATATTCATTTGAGCTATCAGAGTCTCAGTATTGGGACAACATTGATGGGTCTCATAAGTTTCAGTTGCGGCTCAGCACAGATCGTGATCCTGATCCTGAGAAATCTTATCTCGTTCACACTGTTTTCAGAATTTTAACAAAGTCATCCAGGCCTGGGTGACCCGCAACTTGAGGCTGCACCCACCAAAAAAACAACTCTTCCAAAACTGAAAAAAAAATTGGACCAGCTGATCATTATTGGGTTGGTTACATAGTCAAGAATTTGGGTCACCATGTAGAGGAAGAGTTTCTAGATTTGCTCTTGGTCCTGTCTGGATAAACTGGCTCTCCAAGGCCTGCAGGTCTGATGTTTGTGGACAATTGGGCTCCATCATCTATTTTTTGGTGGAGTCTGAGCACCACCGTGCTTGTCCATCTATCCCCTCCCCTCTCATAACCCATATTGCTTGAACCTATGCCATCATTCCTTTCTTGGTCTTGCATTTCCTACCAATGTTGAAACAGAGTTGAGCCACATCATCCACCAGTTTATTTACTTCTGAATATTCAGCCATTAATCTTACTCCATTCTTTTTGCAGAGTGGCTTCTTTCTCTGTGTGTAGTTGATCACACTTTCTTCAATACAATTTTCATTGTTCTGGAATGGGTTACAACTTATGGTTTGGATAAAACTGAAACATATGGTTGGATCTTGAGAAACCCCTCTTTCTTGAATCCAAGTAGGTTTGTTTTTTTCATAGACACACAAGGAAGATTTGATGGTGGTCAAGTACTCACCAAAGCGTGGAATTGTTTACATGCTTGCAGTACTCACAGCTGACATGCATCTCCAAAGTTCCCCAAGCCAGGCACAGTGCAAAAGAAATATCACTACTTTGTTTCTAACCATTAAATCAAATAACACCTTCCTGCATGGAAAGAAATGCAAATTTTGCAATGAGATGGCTGAGGAAGTTTGCTCTGAAAATTGGGTTTGTTGAGGAACATTTACTGCTGGAACGTGCTGTAATGCAACATAAAACACTGGGCTTTGTTTTGTATGCTGCTATTCCTAATCAAGTCCTCCTCAGCATTGGAATTTTACAGACACTTTTGACTCAATGTGATGTTGATTGTATTGACAAAAATAAAAATTGGGTGGTTAAAAGAATGACTCCCATTTGCTAGCCCCCAACTCCCAACTCCAGGGGTTTTGGGAGTTGGCCATCCAATTCCTTTTTTATTTTTTGCGTTTTTAGGGAGCTGGCCACCTAAACCTCCCATCAAGAATGGGGGGGGGGGGGGAAGAGTTGAGTTGCTCCCTCTTGGCCGGAAGGACTTCCTTCTGGTTTATGAGGTAGCCTTTACCTCATTCACTGGAAGGAAATCTTGCTGTTCAAGTGGGGCAACTCTTAAAGCCCCCTCATGCTTCAGTGGGCCAACTCTCCCCAAAAATGCACAAAAAAATCAAAAAGAGAAAAAAATGGATGGCAGATTCCCAAGTCCCGCCATCTATTTGGAAGAAAAAATTCCAAAGACCTTCAATGGATGGTCATTGAGAGCAGGGGCTAGAAAACAGGAGTTGTTTCTTAACCCCCTGATTCTGAAGCCTTCTGTGATTTTTGTGCACCAAACATCAAATATCAATCTGTCAAATCCATTGTGCATCCACAGGCCAGTCGCAGCATCCAAGTTCCATTTCTTTTTGAGCTTAAGAGCATCTATATTAGTTTAGCTAAAAGTAAAACCATGAATGTTTTGACTAGCAGCTATTGCTAGCTTCAATAGCTACCATCTGTCAGCTGCATTGGTGTGGCTTGTACAGTGTGGTTTGAAGCTGAGGTGTGTTATGTTTGTGGGAGGGCGCCAAATTGAGGCAGGGGAACTGATTATTTCTGGCCAGCTAAAAGCTGGCTGCTGCTTTATTTAGCAACAGTTTGCTGAAATTACTGCTACAAGCCAAGTTATCTTGGAGTTAGCTCAACCCAGTGCAATCCAGCTCAAGCGGAAATAGCCACCATTACAGATGCTCTCAAGAAGCCAAATTTGTAAGCACTACAAATCATATTCTCTCGTGAGTAGAGGAGACAAGTTTGAACTTCTTAGTTTCTCCAGCCCCAAAAAAACTAATTAGGATCTACCAGAATACCCCCAAGTAGCCAAAGGAAGTGTTAAAATTTCTTACAAATAATACTTCTTCACCTCCCATCAGGAGAGGGTAAGGAACGGCTTCACAAAGCTCCATGATTACTTTACTGGATCCAGCAAACCCTTTGGCAACCTGCAGTGCTTGCTGAAGTGGTTTGCCTTCATTTTGATTCTGTTAGTTTTCAAGCTAGAATTTACCACAGTGAGCATGCATAAATCTAATTGTGAACCGTGCTACTTTGATGTGAGTTTTTGCTGTAACTATTGATTCATTTATTTTCCTTTCATTGGAAGTAATAGTACTTTGTCAATAGATATGTTCAATCTGCTAATTCTCCATGATTATTCCCATTGTTTTTTTTTTCTTGCCTGCTGCATATATTCAACCTTTTCCTCTTCTTTTGTACCCTGCAGAGGAGATCAAGAGCATATTTAATTTGATGGATTTCTGTGGTTGTTCTCGGACGACTTCAGCTTGAAGACTTGAGCCCCCCTCTGAGTGAACTCGAAGGGGGCCTATGTGATATCTGCATGTATGCTGGGTCTTCAGTTTCTGAGTGTCAGTCCCACTCAAGCAGAACGCAACACTGGCAGCGGTCAACGGGAGAAACAGTAGATACATACATACCAAGTTCCTAAACAGAAGAAACCGACGAACGAACGAACGAAAGAATCGCCGATAAACGCAGGAAGCCAAACTATGTCGTTATTCGGTAAACGAACGGCCGATCCCATCCAGGGTATGTGAAGAGAATACGATCATACAAACATCACCATTACTGAAATAGGTACTAACAAATTGGTTCCCTCATCTAACAAACCGACAGGTTCACCAGCTCAAAAACCAAGTCCATTCTCAACCCAAACCAACAACACTGGCTCACTCTTCGGAAGTTCACTATCAACGCAAGCTCAAAATACCCCTTCAATCTTTGGCACTCAGAACCAAGCCTCATCCAACCCCACTCAAGCGAGCAACCTCTTTGGAACCCCTTCAAACAACCAATCAAACTCGCTCTTTGGACCATCAGCGAACACGCAATCCACCACTCCTCAATCGAACAATTTATTTGGAAGCCTCTCAAACAACAACAATAATAATAACAATAGCACTCAGCCTACTACTCAATCTAACAATCTGTTTGGAAGCCTTTCAAACAACAATAATGGCAATAATAACAATACGACCCAGCCTACTCCCCAATCTAACAATTTGTTTGGAAGCTTCTTGAACAATAACAACAACACCAACAACAATAATAATAATAATACTAACAATCTATCAACCACCGGATTTGGTACTCAAATCTCATCAACACCAGCCAATAGCTTTCTATACAATTCAACTAATAATTTGGCCCTGAATCGCTCAGCTCCGCCTACAACCAATAACGCGCTTTCGACCCTGCGATCGAGTACCGCTCAATTAGCCAGACGACCGATCACCCTCTCCGAGCTATCGATCCAAGATCGGATCATCAAAATCCATGCCAGTTGGAACGTCTCTGATCCTCAATGTCAATTTCAGGCGAGTTTAAACATCACCAATCCTCCTAGTCTCCTCATTCTCGTGATCTTGCTCACTCCTGACGACTAACGACGCGTTAATCTCGCGTTTTACACATCTCTCCAATCGATCAATCGAGTAGTTTTTCTTCTATAATGTCGTACCTCCTGAGCAAGTACACCTGTATGGCAGGCCAAACCAGCTGGCGCCGGATGATCCGAGATGGCAGCGCGCTAAAAGGAACAATCCTGACCCCAGTCGATTAGTACCTACGCTTGCCATCGGATTCGAAGACCTTTCAAAACGAGTAACCGTCCAACAAAAGCAGGCGCAAGTACACTTATTGAAACTCGGAGTAAGTAATCCGCCAGGAGGCCTGTTCTATGAATGTGTCAGTCGTAAAGCCTTACGCGATGACTAACTTTGGTTAATCAATTTAGGAAATTTCCAACAGGCTCAATGAAATAGCGCGTAAACATAACTTGGAAACATCCTCGAGATTGCATAAATTGAAGACCGAGCAAGTAAAACTAAGCACTCGACTGATGGGCTTAGTCAATAAGTTGAACGGGATCGTTCTACATTCTTCATCCTCATCTGCCTTGGCAGCTTACCAACCACATTCGCAACCGGGTTACCAACATCAGCAACTGATCAGGAACAACCACAAGGAAGAAGAGTTGATGCAGAGAATCAAGACCCTCAAGGCAATTCTCGATCAATTTGGGGGCAAGTCTAAGATCTCTGAGCTCTGGTCGGCGCTCCACCAGATCAAAAACTTTGGCGGCTTTTTTGTCTCGGGTAACGGAACCGGTCCAACCGGTAATCAGTCGGTCGTCAACCATGGCTCCCATCATTCTTCGACGGGCTCAGGTGCGGCTCATCAGCCCGGTCATTCCGGGTTCATTGGCGTCGGTTCCGGTGACGGCGGAGGCGGCAAATGGTCGGTCACTGACGACAAAGAGATCAAAAAAGTCTTAGAAGTTCGTTCTCGTTTCTCTCTCTCTTCCCAAAATCACAACTACAAGCAAACTGATTTTGAATTACAAAAAAACCACGCACGTGTTTAGATTTTGCTTAACCAACAGAAAGGAATCGACCATCTGATCCTCTTGTTGAGGAAATGTAGGGCCGACGTGATCCTGATGAGACAAGCTTTCAACCTGGAATCCAACCTGAAATCGATCGAATGGTAGTCCTTCTACGCCCTAACACTCGCCCTCTTATGTTGTAATTAATCAACCCTTCCTTAATCCTAGTACAACACTCATCTTCTCTTTTGTTTGTCTTGGGGTTTTTCTTAAGCCAACCATTTTGTTCTTATAATTTTCTAAGGCGTGGATGTCTTTTTTTACTCTTACTATCTTGTTTCCCCTTATTTTTTATGTCTAGAAGAGGAAAACAAATCTCAAATAGAAGGAAAACACTGAATCAACCAACCGAATTGAAAAACTTTGTTTGAGTGTGTATGTATTGACGAACCGCTGGGCTGTCATATCGGTGAACTTCGCCGCCAACGGGAACTATCTTGACGGAATGATATAGACTATGTGATTATGGCGTGCTCAGCCTTGCTCAGAAATTCTGACAAAAGAATTGGCAAGACAGCTCCCATCGGAAAGGAAGATTGATCATGATCTTTCTTGTGCGAGATGAAAAAGAAGATGAATGGACCAAGCATGCACATAAATACGTAGTTCTACTAATCGGGGGATCCCCATCGCCCGCTCTCGCGTATGTAAGTTCCAACTTTCCAAGTCAGAGAAGGTCTTAGACTCACGAGTCACAGCCACAGCACCGCTACTTGAAACTCGAGAGTATGGGCAAACTGTCTCGATCGTCTCTTGATGTATGTATGAGATCTTGAACAAGTTCCTACCGTGGGTCCGCGGAGTCGTTTTACCTTAGAGGCAACTCTATTTATTCAAATACGATTCCAAGTTACCAATTTTCATCACGAAGAATCTGAGAACATTTGAAGATGAGCGGATGGCACAAACAAGAACTATTTTTAGCATAATTGAAAATTGGAAACCAGACGATCTATCGTATAATCAGATCATTTCATAATGACTTCAGACCTTCGAGAGATAAGAGGAAGTCCGTACACAGAGTTTCCCAGCCTTGTTCTCCGAGCGGTGAAAACGTGGCACAGGCTGGCTGGCTGTTGTTTCCTGGTGGATCCGGTGCACACATGGAGACGAAGCTGAAAGAACATGTTCATGAGGAGTCAAGAATACTGTCGCCCTTCACCCCTCTCATGAAGACATTCAGACAAATCTGTGGCTGTTGCGCGCCAGGTGAACGATGAGCTTCACGCAGCTAGACATGTGTCACTCTCAACTTTCAAGCCTTGCTTTCCGTGAGGGACGGGTAAGAAGGCGCACCTGTAAATAAAATGCCTAGATAAGGACTCGTGGGAAGCAGACCAGTTCTTCATGACGAGGACATGCAATCATCAGCAGTCGTGACCCTTGTGTTTTATTTTATTCCACGCTCTCTTGGGAGTTTTTCCTCCAGGCCAGCATCACGGTTACATCATCTGAGAAGATAGCTTTACCTGGATACGATACACAATGCCTGTGGGAGGGTACGACTGCATGAAAATTTGTCCGTACCCCCGTGGCTAGGAGGCAGTTTTTTTTTAATAAAAAAATGCTTGAGGTTTTAAAATGTAACTTGAGCAAGTGCGGACCGGAGTTTGTTATTGTAAGGCAATGCACATGGTGAAACACCACAGCAAGCGGCTAGCGGAAGATTCGCGTTTCAACCAGGCACAGCGCATACATCCTCGCCATTGAGGTGGTTCCGGGAACTCAGAACTCAGCACTTTTGCTGTCCCGGCTTTCTGGCGAGACACCGGGGGCAGCCGGGGGAACACACTTTTAGTATCAGACACGCTTCCGGCTATAGAATCAGACACGGTTCACCCTTTAGGGGGCGGCCAGCACCAAGCTCCGGGTCGGCGTGGTCATGCTGCCTCAGGTGGTCCCTGGAAGGGCGTCGAAAATGTACAGACTCAAGGCAATGCTGAAGTCCTATATTCTGAATTCTGGAATCTGGACAGACCAGAACAGGCCTGAGCACGCACATCAGGTTCACTCACACGGATTCTCTTCTCTCGCGTTTGAACTGGGGAGAAGGGACACCACCAATTTGCATAAAGATTTTATTTGGGTCAAAGAGCCAGTCTGTATGAGAATGTGTGCTATAAATTAGGGTGGTCTCCTTCTCCATTTGTTGGACGATATCTCCTCCCATTAGATTCAGTCAACTCTTTCCCTCTGCATCACATTCTGCTTCCTGGATTTTTATTCCTGCATTACTTCAACAGATTGTCATCATCGTCATCACCGTCGTCAGCATCATCTTGGAACTTGTTTTGAATACCAACTTTTCCCGAAAGGAACAATTTGGCTATAGGCTATAACCTGTAAGGATCGGCCGCGGAGGAGCTTTCCCCCTCATCCACACCAATTCGGGCGGCCTACTTTGGTCATTTATTGTTTCTTTGGACCCGCTCCCCCGACAGTGACACGTACTTTTCACCGATATCAAGAAACTCCATCTCGGCTAGGCTCATCTACCTCTCTCACTGATCTTGGCCGCTTTTGGGCATTATTACCTCTTATTACCTACATTGCCGCCATTATCAGCATCCAAATCTACAGCCTCACAGCTATATAACCTTCTACAGCTTCTCCTCGCATTTGAATTTTCCAGGTTTCTTTCACACTTCATACCCGCCGATTCCAACTATCAATCCATACTTTCCACATCCGCACAATCCTTTTGATCTATTGGCAGATCTATTGATAAATAAATACCACACACCACTTACCCCGACGGCGCCGTTTCTCAAGACTTGTTAACCATACCTCTCCCTCAAATCCATTCTAGAATCACAAGTCTCCATGGCTCGTCAGACCGGTAGCAGCCCTTCCTTGAAAATCCTCTTCCTCTGCACGGCCCACAACAGCTTATCCCAAAGGCTGTCTCTGGTCCTGCAAGAACGTGGTCACCATGTCACAATTGAACTCGCTATCTCACCTGAGCTGATGATAGAGGCAGCCAAGTTGGCAGGAGTGAGTTTTTAGACATGTTTTGTTGCATTGCACCCAGGCATGCTACCAAGGATCCGCATAATTTCTGACTCAGACATCTCCTCTTCTACTTCCCTTTTTAGCCGGATCTCATTATATGTCCATTTCTCACAAAAAAGGTCCCCGCCGAAGTATATGAGAGCTATCTCACCTGGATTATCCACGTAAGACCCTTTCTCCTACTCCAATTCCCCATTTACTGTCAACGTTGACAAGTGCTAATTCGGATCACACAGCCTGGTGCTCCCGGAGATGCTGGTCCTTCAGCCATCGATTGGGTCTTACTCGGTGACGACGGCACTGAAGCTGACGCGCAAAAAGCTTTAGCCAAGATATCTACCAATGAATATGTCGCTAGTGGCCAAGGAAGGTCTCACTGGGGCGTGACAGTTCTTCAAGCCATTGAAGAGGTATGTTTTTTTGTAAATATCTGCCTTCCTCCCACTATTCTTTTATTGATTCCGTTTCTTTTCCCACCCTCGCGCGCCACAGTTTGATGCTGGACCTGTCTGGGCTTGGGAGCAATTTCCCATCACACTCGATGGGCCCGGCGCATTAACCAAAGCTTCACTATACCGTGGACCTTTGACAACTGCAGCAGTTGGGGCCTGTTTATGTGCTATTGATCGTCTCTTATCAGTCGCGGCTGCTCCATCTTTCCCTTCCATCAGCCCTAGCCTTCCAACTGAATCCACTTGGGCTACCAAGTCCGTCGCCACCCAGCAAGAATTTCTCGGTGGAAAAACGCACACTCGCCCGCTTCTGCAACCCGCACAAAGATCATGGAACCCTGAAACTGATTCCGCTGCTCTGGTCTCTCGCCGCTTGCGTGCATCCGACTCCCAACCTGGGGTACAAACCTCCCTTCTCTACGGCAAGAAGCTGTATCTCTACGGTGGTCTCATCGAAGAGAATCTGATCCCGTTCAAGGCTTCTCGAGCTGGGGAGGTCGTTGCGCAAAGAGATGGTGCCGTTCTGGTCTCGACAGCGGACGGCAAAGGAATTTGGATCACCCATGTTCGCAGGCTCAAGCCTAAAAATCAGGCGCTTCTTCCCGCCAAGCTTCCAGCTATTCTTGGGCTCAAGTCTGTCCCCGAGTTGGCTAGCGAAGTTGATTTCGACGCGATTCCCACATGGAACCTCACTGGCTTCACCAAAGTTCCCGGCACATTCCAAGAAGTATGGATTGAATACGACGACTTCTTTGGGGCTTTCAAAACTGCTTACATCTATTCTAAGTAAGCAACATGACTTTCTTGACTCTGCTCATAATATTTTGCTGATATACACTTTGCCTTGTAGCTTTTACAATGGGGCAGCTTCTACGCCCCAATGCCAGCAACTGTTGGCAGCAATCAAAGAAGTGACCAGTCAATCCAGTGTCAAAGCGCTAGTCTTGATGGGAGGCGATTACTGGAACAACGGCATTCACCTGGGCGTTTGCTCAACAGACGTCGCACAAGAAAGCTGGAAAAATATCAATGCAATCAACGACTGTGTTGAGGCCCTCCTCACCGCTAGAAACATCGCTACCTTTGCCGCCATCCGTGGCAACGCTGCAGCAGGTAATTTTTTCCCCCTCAATTGGTTATCTCATGCGACAAGGACAGTGGCTAACATACCAAATTCTTCTATGATAGGTGGTTTTGCTTTAGCTACCTGTTGTGACTTTGTTTTCTGTGTTGAAAATGCCGTGATTAATCCCCACTACGTGAGTACACTTTTCTTTAGTTCAACCTTCGCTCTGCTTGATACACATCCTAACAAACAATTGTACAAACAGCGCGCTGTGGGGCTTTATGGTTCGGAATATCATACCCTGACCTGGTATGCTCGAGCTGGTGAAGAGGTCGCCAAGAAGTTTACTCGTGGCATCCTTCCCATGAGCGCCAAAAGTGCCCTTCAGCTCGGGTTGATTGATCAAGTGATCGAAGCCGGTGCAAACCTCTGCGGAGATATCAAGTCTGCAGTTATGCGCACTCTCTTCACCGACGCCGACCAACCGTGGAATGGTGCCCCTTGGACAAAGCAGCGACTTCACTTATCCACTTATTCATTAGAACATCGTCGTTTGATGGACGCAGCCCCCTTACGCCGACAAGCTTGGTTGGATTGTTTGCCTCAGCCCCTCGCATCCTACAGAACCCAGGAGTTGGACTTCATGAAGTTAAATTTCACCGATCCTCGCTATGAAAGATGCGTTCAAGACTTCACCGGGAAAGCCGCCGCGGCCAGCACACCTCTTCGGTTTGCTTTGCACCGTCGATTCACTCAGTGGGAGAAGCCCATGCTGGATGCCGAAGAAGAAGCCGACTACTTCCACTATCCTGTTATTGACACCGAAGCTGTCCACGTAGCATTGGGCATATCCCCCAGCCAGCCCATTCAACTTATTTCTCCTCCACCTCTTCGTGATGGTCCCAGCCTCTTGGTTGCTCCTACGGTCGAGAAGAACCAATCGATGTCCCCAGTGCTATCTCCCTCGTTTTCGGAATCGGCAACGCTCAACAACAGTCTTCAGCTGTCTCCGTCCAGTTCTGATTCTCCATCACCGGAAGCAACTTCAGCAGTTCAAAATGAGTCACCACAATCCCCTGCCAGCCCGCGCATGGGCCTAAGCGAGTGTGATGCCAAAGCCTCTCACCGCATCTCTCGCGTTGTCCAAAAGCTCAAGGCCGCGCTGGTTCAGAAGCCTGAACAGATCGACGACAAATCCCAACATCGAACTTCAACCATGAACCGCAGATCTACTTTCAGTGTATCTGGCAAGCCGGCCAGCCGAGATCATCAGATGTCGTGTTATTACAGCGCCGTTGACGAAAGAACTATCAACTAGTTAGATCGCTTAATTCTACATGGTCCTTTTCACCTTATCAATCCTGTTCTATGTATCCCCCCCCCTCCACCCTGCTGATTCTAAAAACTGTTTGCAGTAGTATAGTTTAAGAACATTATAAGTCGTCCTGTGTCCCCATGAGTTTTTGTTTGTTTTTTTTGAATATGCTGAGTTTTACTTTACACTTTGATTACTTAACCGGTTCATTACTTGCGTTGCATGTGTACGAGTATTATCTTGTTTTTTCCATCATTTTTTTTTTGGTTCACTCTCACTCGTCTCATGTATGTATACCACTCTTGATCTATGTTGTCATTTGAGGTCTCAGTATTAGCACATTCCTGATTTAACTCTATTTCTCTCACATTGCTTTTGAAATCACAATTCTTTTACTATCCAACTTGCCAAGAAATTGTCCACCTCCATGCAACACTTTGTTATGGTTAGACATGCTGCATCCAAGGCTAATAGTAATGGACATGGGGAAACAGATTTCAGTGCTTTCACAGTATGAATTTTATTGGAATTTACAAATTGGCTTGAAAAAAATCTGAATAAGCCACTCTTTACCTTTGTTTTTCAAAAAAAAAAAAAAAATGAGTGACAAAAACCAAGCCCCTGAGGCAAAACATGAACTGGGGTTAAGATTTTCACACTTGACTGAAAACTTGAGTGATATTGGAAGGGAAGGCCATTTCTGAGTGGATAAAGTTTCAGAAATTCTTTGAAACAAGACTTTATAATGGCAAACTGAAAACTATTGGACAGACAGAAAAATTCAAATCCTTCAAAATTGACAAAGAAATCATGAAGGATGATGTTAGGAACCTTATTTATTTTTTACAGATATGTTGGGCTGATTTACCTGCTCTCAATGGAACTGCACCACCAAATTTGGTTAGATATATTTGTCAAACTTTGGTTTTTGTTTCAAGTGATGTTGGGCAAGGCATCATCCCAAACAAAGCAAAAGAACTTAATAATAGCAATAATTTGATTGACCTGATGAATCAAATCTTGAAATCTCAAAAAATGATTACATACTATAACCAGCAGAAAATTATGCAGAAAGAAGCAAATAATAGCAGTGTAGCCTTTTAAAACCACAAAGATGAATTTCAATCAATTTATGAAGTATCTCATGATCAAGTTGAACATGTTATCAAAGGTATCAAAAAAATCTACATCAATATTGTTTGAAGATGGAATCTCTGAAATAAATCTTATCAAACATCAAAATAACCCAAGTCAGCACAAATAGGTGGTTAGAACAATCAACAAAAAGGAGAAACTCAGTTCCAGAACAGCTTTAGACTTTAGCTTGAAACAATGAACCTAGACTATGAAACATTTTTGATAGGCTCTATCAAATTTTATTGTTGAATTAAATGAGATTAAATGTTTAATCAATATTACTGGGTGATATCTTAAGTTTAACCATGTTTTTCACATCTCAGCTAACTTTGTTGGATGGTCTACAGCCAAATGTATCCATCATCCAAGTTTAATTTGTTCTCTTTCCTCCAATCCCCATGAAAAAAAACATCTTCAGCTAAATCTGCAACATCCCCCTCCACTTCATCATTTGAATTAACTATTTAATTTCATTGAAATATCTTCTTGCCTTGTTTATTTCTTCTTCAGTATATTTGGTTTTTGATGAAGATTATATGCCTGTGAGAATTAGTTCCATGTTTTTGAATTGACTCATTTACTCAAAAACAAAATTTATTTCCTTCTGTTTCTCAATTCTTTTTTTTCTCTTTGAATTGAATTCATATTGCCTAGTTTATCTTGTCCTGATTGTTCATTCATGTCTTTGGCTTAGTATGTTTAGTGACATGATGAGTTGATAGATTCATACCCAAGGCTGGCAGTTGATCTGTGTTAAAAAGGCTCTCTTAGGCTTTTTCAGGTCCAGATTTAGATTTGTTGTTGCTATTCACCTGAAAGAAATATTCTGATGGTCTTTCCCCTGTGTAGCACCAAATTGTCTCAGGGGAAATTCACTCTGTTTAGGGCTACATTGTGAAATTTTCATATATTGTACTAGTATTTACCCCCAATTTTGGGGAGGTTGCTTGATTTTGCCCCGAATGTTGGGGGGTTTTACTTGATGACCTTCTGCCCCTTTCAGTGTATTGCTTATGAAATGGGCACCTGTCTCAGTCCAACGTCGGCGTCGACAAATGTGAATTGGAGGTCGACGCCGGCGTTAGATTGCATGACACTTTGTTTGGCTCTCTGAGCCTATTCTTTTAGTTATATGTAGATGATCTATGGATCAAGCCTAATACTGCATGTATTTGTGTTTTCACCTTTGGAACCACAACCTGCCCCTCTTTGTTGTAATAGCTCATAATTCAACTGTTTGGATAAGTGCTCCCCTGCATCTGATCCCCAATTTTAAAGGAACTTTGACTGAATTACTTTTGAAGATAGAAAACCAGAGCTGAACACAAGGTATTAGAGAAGCATTAACAAAGATAAAATGAGAAATAAGACTTGATCAAGGATACCCCAGATGTGATTTGTGACTGATGACGGACAACAGAACTGAATATAAAAAATGTTTTTTGATTTGTTAACAGCAACAGAGTGAAAGAGAGAGTGGAGGAGTAGGGTCTGATGAAGTGGTTTTATAGCAATTCTCACCAAGTTGAAGATAGGACGAGACGGCTTGGTCAAGTTGAGTGTCTAGGTGGTTTTTTTATTGATATACAACCTGCTGTAGCATTTGCACCTTTCCACCGCACAAGCTAGCAGTCTCCTAACCCCTGGTTAGGTTCTTTGCCATTTTATCTCTCTCTGAGTCTTGAGCCTTGTGACTCTTTCCAGCTCACCCATCCCATCCTTCCTTGCCTCCCGGTCAAAATTCATCAATTTGAAATCTAAACCAAAAAAGAACTCCAGTTTAGTATGGGCAACACCCTCAGAAACACACCACTAGGATTTAGCAGCAAAAGTGAATCTGTATTAAAATTGAATCTAGTGGATATTGTATTTTAAAATGACCACCCACTGTTTCCATTAGTGTAAGTCACAATAAAATGTTTATCAAAAGTGTAAGTCATAGTCCAAAGCTGATTAACAAAGTGATTATTAATCAATTCTATGTTATAATCAATTCTATGTTATAATCTCAGTTTCCAAAATTATTTGAACATGCAAATCAACACTGCTGATGCTAGGGTTGATTAGAGCCACCCTTTTTGAGTGAAGATTGGTTCTTTGTGAATGGTAAGGGATTTTTATGGCTATTGGTTGGCAGATACTGGTCTTGAATTCAATTGAGGAAATGGCAGAGAAGTATTGGAGAATGGGCAGGAATAGAACCCAGAATAGATTCAATCCTAATGATCATCTGATCAGGAATACCAACATCACAATAACTGTCAAGCAGAATAATAGAAGAGCTCCAGCAGTAGTGATGTAAATTAGACTGAACTAAAACATGGACTAGCACTTTCATTATTTTACAACTGGAATTGGGAAAGATGTGATTGCTCATGGGGCTAATTTTGTTGGTTATACTTTAGTGATACCTTTGAGTGATGTTAATGGAAAGTGAGGTCTACATGAGCAGCAGTAAAAGCTAGAATTTACATTTTTATACACTTAGGTAGAAGCAGGCGAAGTGATTATACATAAAAGATAAAAAAAGGGAGTTGAGATCTCATTGGAATAATACATATCCACCGGTTTTTTTTGTTTTTTTTTGGTTTGAGGTATGAGTTTGATCGCATAGTAACGTTTAAGTGAAGAGGAACCTAAATTGAAGAGGGAAAGAAGTCTTTCTCAAAAAAAAAAAAAAAAAAAAACGAGCAAGTAAGAAACATGGAAGCGGTTCAATTCCACCGAGAAGAGAGAAATCAGACCACACATGTATTCAAGAGTGGATTTGAGCATTACTTACAGGCTTTTGAATGCCTATCAGAACAGTGCTACTATGTCTACCAGGTCAAGAATTCGCGCGTCCAGCTCGCGTCTATGATGCGCCTCACATCCACCGTTCTCGAGATGATACATGAGGTTGCTCAATGAATAGAACTCGGCGCGTCGGCAGCGTTCCGAGGGGCACTTGTAGGGCCTGCGACCCCAGTTTTTGTGCTTCGGGCTCCAGACATGGGACATCAGTTGATTCTGAGTCCGGAATCGCTTGGGGCATTGCCTACAGCGGTAGCGACGATTCCTATCGCGATTGAACCTAGGCATCGGGGGATTACGGGTGATCAGGGATCGTCTAACAAATCGTCCATGGGGGTCGCAATGGAGGCTGAAATAATTGTCGACCACCTGGAGATCGACCTGGGATGGACATCTCCCTGTCTCGAAGTGTTGCAGGCGAGACGACTGGCTGGTAAAACCTCTCAAACAATCAGGGTGATCACACACAAACTCCGTGCCTTGGGAGGTGCAGGAACGTTGATGCTGCAAAAGGACAGGAATGAAGGTGCAGTCGAATGAGCTCAACTACGCTTTGGAAAATTTGAAATCTGGTGTTCAAGTCTCAATCTGACTGACTCGTATTAGATCGTGTATGGAATAGAAAATGTCTCTGCATGAGACACAACGCACTCCAGCATCAGCTGGCCGGAAATCGTGAGCGTCATGGTTATGGCGATGCCGCGGCGAATTGCGCAGATGTTGCTGATAATGCTCGGGTTGTCTGAATTGACGCTGGCAAGTTTCACAGTAGGTATCCATAGTAGATAGGTTTAAAGGTGTGGGAAGTCGATCAAAAGAAGTATGGAGGTATTGGGTCTATTGGGAGGGGTAAAAAGCGGCAGACTGGATGAAAAAAAAGTGGGAAGAACGGATCGGGTTGCAGCCTTCAATTATGAATCAAATCGAGTTGAAGTTGAAGCGATGGGGCCATCTATGTTTTCAGACTAGTCAATTCTAAATCTATACAACCGTCTATTTCTTGGAGAGTATCTGCTAAATATATCTTGTCGAAAGCCCCGGCGTGCTAGATTCTCCATGACCTGTATTCACTGGAAGCTTCCATCGGTGTGCTAGATTGCATGAGCAACACGCACGACTCGGCCATCACTCACAACTTGGGCTTTTTGGCCTTGCCACTCTTGAGGGCATCATTGATCTGGCCTTCGGCTCCGAGGCCCTTGCACCTGTCGTGTGCTGAGACTCGATTCTGGGTGCCTCGACCGATACGGGGTTTTATAGGTCATACAATGGCTAATCCATAGCCTTGGCCTAAAAAAATCTTGGTCGGTTTGTTGACGGAAGGATCTTAAGATGGTTGCACGACTGGCACTTAATCAACGGGGGGTGGACATGAACCAGGGATTGGCTGGGAGATGCAGCAGTTGTGCTTGGATATGACCAAGGGAGTTGCTTTAGATCCCTTCAAGGTGGATATGACCCAGAGGATTGGCTTATATATGTAATTGTTCCGGTCCAGAGTATGTAGGAGTTAGTAGGAGATACTAACTCAACCCTAGCCCCAGGATCGGAGGGCGCCCGCCAGCGCCCTCTCGCCGCGCGGCCCTCTGGAACGAGGGCACCGTGAAGCCAGGGTTGCCTCGATCCATTCAAGCCAAGTCCTCTTGACTGCCGACTCTCTATTACCGAGCCATCGACGGTCAACAAGCGACAAACCCAAAACCCACAGAATATGTAGGACTACCATCCTACTACATACAAACAACCATCAACCCAACCACCGATTCATTCAAGGAGTCATTGACGATCCGAACACTACAGGATGGGAAACTACACACACTCTTCAAGGTTGAACTGACCAGCACCGATCAACAATCAACCAGACCACTAGAGAGTCTCAAATCAAAGAACATCAACCAATTGAAGACTGACCTACTACCACTCTGGATCCTGGAACTTGTCGATCGATATGGGATCCATCAATTGGGTCTGAGTCTAGCCAGAGGCAGATGGGAGTACGATCGATGGACAGAGCCGATTCCTGAAGACTGGCAGGGTTATCCAAGAGGCTCAGAGTGGGGTCCGCTCAGAACCTCAAGCAAATGCCACCGAACTCACTAACATTCTTGCCGGGATCCTCTGCGGCCGTCTCAACCGATTAACGCTCCTCAAAGACCCGCCTCTCATCCTCTTCAATCCAAGCCCAGTTCTTTCTCTTTCATCGATTCTATTAGACGTGACCGCCGCCAGCTTTTCAGAAGGATTGTTTCAGCAAGCACTGCCAGAATGGTCGTCTTCCATTCCCTTGTTCCCCTCTTCCTTCTGTCCGCCTCGCCCGCACTCTCCTTGCAGCACGTTGTCAAAATTTCTTTTTTTTTCCCTTCGATCGACCTCATTTGTCTATTGTTGCGGTTTCTTTAGGGACAGGCATTATCATACTATCTTTGGGCTAATTGCGAAATTCAAAAGTGAAATAAAAATCATCCTTTTTTTGCTGTTTGAAAATTCATTAGCGCTTTGTATTACTGTAGATTGATGAGAAAAATAAAACGATTTATGTGTTTCTGGTGTGACTCAATCTTGAACAAGTCACCGAAAAGATAAAAATAAGAAGAAACCAGCCTGAATGTCTGACTAAAGGCTGAAACCCTCTACTGCCAATACTCAACATCAATCCTTGGACGATCTGATTCTTGACATCTTTGGCAATGAAGTCACTGCATTCATATTTCCGAGGTTTGGGCAAGGTTGCACATGGTGTGTGGTGCAGGCTCTTTTAGCTGAATCAAAGTAGTTTGTGTTGATTGTAAGACATACTTATGTAGCCACCACAAATTTCGGGAAGAGAATATGGTGGCTGCTGCCAGATCAACGAGCAACAGGATACGGTTTTATTCCAGTCTGTAGACCCCACTATTGGGAATTGAGAGGGAATTGATAATGCGATTCTAAGTTTACAATGGAATGGAATACTCTGCCAACTAAACTGCAGCTTGGATTGACATCGTTGCTTACGTTTTGGGCTACAGGACCAGCATGGATAAGATCTACAACACTGAACAAAAGGAAATTGATGGTCAAAGCATGGTATACTATAAGTAATCCAAAACGACGCCGGAGTCGCCGACAATGAGATTGGACGGGTTGGTAGTGATTATTAGAGCAAAATTGGGATGGATGGGATATCCGCAACGAAGACAAACCGCTGGCTCAAGTGACCGTAGGAGGAGCGCGTTCATTTCTAAGACAAGGACCAAATCAACCATGGATAAAAGTGAGTGGGGAAACATCTCGGCGACAATGAATTCGAAGGAGACGACGATCTGAAACTCACGACTCGACGAATTGCTTGGCATGTGTTTTTTCGATTTGCTTGATGGTACTGATCTTGCGTTGGTTGAAAATAACACCCCAGAACTGATCGGCATGTTCCAACATCTCCGGCCGGAAAGTCGTGCAGATCATCTGAGCTTCTTTGCCTAGCTCGCCGATCATAGCTTTCATAATTTGTCCATGAGATTGGAGTGTTCAGAAAAAAGAGATGGATTGAATCGGCATTACTAAATCTTGTAAGAATTGTCGAACGAGAAGATACTGGAATTTGCAAGTAATTACCTGCGACAGACGTTCGCCTGTCTGGGTCCAAGTTCGCATCAATTTCATCAAACAAGTAAAACGGCGCTGGATCACACTTCTGGATGGCAAAGACTACCCAATTCAAAACGTAAATTGGTCCATCCTCTGTAAGCATTGGTTGAACAGTAATAATGCAGATGAGGTGGGAGAACGCACTCGTGGCCAATGCTACCAATGACTTTTGCCCGCCCGAAAGCTGTTGGATCCGTAATCCCTCATCGGATTTAGAATTGAATGATACCTACGAGGGGGAAAGATTGTCAGTAATGACTCCTTTTGAGAAGCGGTTAGAAACTTACCTTTATGGAGACACCAGTGTATTGACTTATCAATCCGGCTTGCTGATCACCGTCATCTTCACTGCTGTCTTCGTCACGTTGTTCCTACATGATGTTACATGCAGTCAACAAACGCTGATCGTTTGATTACTGAGAAACATATATATGAGACTACTTACATCATTTAATCGCTTCTGCATAATCAACCTACCTCGACCGAGGGGGACTAATTTCTCAAAGACCTCCGAGAAGTTTTTCGACACTTGTTTGAAGGTTCGTTCGATCGCTTCATCCTTTCTCCTATCGAGAACTTCGATCAAGTCAGTAATCGATTCCGCCGATTTCTCCAACTCTTCACGCCGTCCAATAAGTGTATCACGCTCGTCCGTGAACTATATTTTAACGCACAAGGGCAAGGGTTGTCAGAAATTCCCTAACAGCAATCAGATCTTGCGCTTCTAGTCATGAGCTACCCTCCCCGACCATGTCTGACCCAAATCCTTTGAAGAGAGGGGTTTCATTCGATGTCGACATGGGGCTTTGTTCTTGCTCCATGACTTGACTGGGCTGATTGATGTGAACGAACTTACATTTTGATACTGTTCAATGGCCTTTTTGTTGACATGCGAGTATTTCTTGAGAGATTCTGTGACTTTTTGTAAGGATCTGAGTAACTAAAAACCAACATGGACATTCAGAATTTGGGAGTCACGCAATAGTTGGGTGAACCATTACCTTTTCTGTACGGTGTCTGATGTACTTTTCAAATGCTTCTTCTGGGAGAACCCCCAAGCTTCGGATGTTGTTGTTACATTCATCGCGCCGCTGTTGCAGGAGGAGTTTCTTAGACCAATATCGCTCGACGTTCTTGCTTTGTTTTGAGGCCTCTCGAGCATCATCGGCTTGTTCAGCTTGCAGCTTTTCGATTTTAGACTCATTTCGTTGGATACTGGTAGTCAGAGCTTCCATCTCGTTGGAAATGTCTATATGCAACCAATTGATCGGTAGACTTTAGATACTCAACATGAAGTGCCATCAAAATCATTTTTACTGCCTCAAACTTACTTGTCAACTGAGTGTTACTTTCGTCGATGGAGCGCGTTAAGGTTGACAACTCGTTTTGACCCAATTCAAGCTCATTCGAGCTGGGTTGTGATAGGGTTGAATCGTCGCCAATCCTTTCAATTTTCTTATTGATTTCTTCTAGCCTACGTCCCAGCCTTTCTTTGAGCTCTATTTCGATCATGTTTTTTTGATTGGTTAACTGCAATGCAAGAAGAATGGTCAGAATCTCTAGGGATCCAGTCCCCCCATAAAAGGGCTAGACACACCTCCACTTTGCGCTTATTGACATCCAACATCTTCAATTTGAGGGAATCCATCTCAGTTGTCGCCGAATTTAGTCTCTCGAGTTCGTCATCACTCAGTTCACTCCGCATTTTACTGCTCATCTCTGCTTCAAGAAGATTGATCTGAGTTGTCAAGTTTTTAACATCGAATTCTTGACCTTGCCGTAGTCGATCAAACTTTTGCAGTCGGATCTTCAAAGCCTCACTGTTATCTTGAAGTGAAGATAGTTCAGCTGCAAGGGGTGCTCTTTCATTTTGCTTGCGCTCGAACTCGCCCTCTAGATGTTTGATTTGGCCCATGAGCTGAGTAATTTGTTGATCCAATTGACGTATCAACGTTTTCACTTCTCGAGACCTCACGGATTCTTCATCGCACTTCTGACTCCAGACTTTGATCTCTTTGGCAGATTCTAACCTTGACCTACGGGTTTCGTGGTAACCGCCAGAAATGCTACCCTTCTTATCCACTTTATCGCCATCTGAGGTGATTCCGTTGAGATTATGAGATCGCATGTAGGCACCGGCAACCTCGAGACTGCGACACACGATGGTCTTGGCAAACACTTGTTCAAAAGCCAATTGATACTTTTGATCGTAATGCAGTTTGTGTATCCTGGTCAACAGTTTACCATGAAAAAAAAAAAAAGTTAGCAACTGTTCGAGAGCACAGATCGGATAGATCTCTTACAGTGGTATCGCATCATTATCTGACGGATATTGAACATTCTTAGGCTTAAGTCGATTCAAGGGAACAAAAGTGCAACGTCCTTTTTTTTCTTTTGCCAGGATTTCGAGAGCTCGTTGGGCGGTCCCGTCGTTATCGACCACAACGTGGAATAGGCTATAATTGGGGCATTCGTCGGCTATATGTGAGTCGATTTCCCTCGATAAGAACAAGACAGAGTGCTTACGCATTGCCAGCCGTTGCTTCGGCAGCCGTTTTATGGGCTTCATCAACCTCAAAAAGGCTATAGAGCGGGCCGTAGATTCCAGGCACATCGCCTCGGGCCATAAGCAGCTGCACCATGTCTAATCCTTGCGACGAGTTCTACACAGCAGTAACAAATGATATGTTGGTATGGGATTCAAAGACAAAAGTTGTAAAACAATCCAAGAGAAAGAGCAGCCTACACGATCCATTGTGACACGTAAGTCTTTCACTGCTTTCTCCTTGGCGTTTGTGGCATTTTGTAGCAGCTGAGAGATTCGAGTATCTTCTTTCCACAGTGATTTTCGTTTCTCGGTCAATTGATGATGTTCAGCCTTGATTTTTGAGAGTTCGGTTGTTTTTGTGTGTACCCATTGCTTATGATCATCAATCGTTGTTCGAACTGCTGATGTTCGAGATTCGATCTCAGCGAGACTGCCCTTGACGCGCTGTTGGTCCGATATGACTTGTTGTAATGATTCTTCGCGCGATCGAACGAGTTCGTTTAGCTTCTTGAGCTCTGCGCGTATGTGTTGGTCTCTCTCTTTTTGAGTGCGAAACTGGTGGGACCGGCCTTGCTTCTCATATAAGGAGTTAATACTGGTCTCCAGTTCGCTCAATCGTTCTGCAATTTGATTGTATTCTTTCTCTTGTGCTTCATGCTGCGGTCTGATAATTGCTAACTGCTTAGTTTTCGAGTCGATTTCCTTTTTCATTCGGTTGGCTTCATCCTCCCACTTCGATCTTTTACTCTGATCCTTCTCCTTCAGATCTTCTGAGTCTTTCAGCATGCATTCAACTTGTGTCCTAGCTTTAATCGATTCACGCCGTTCATGTTCCAGCTGAAGCTTATCTTGTGCGAGAGACTCCAATTTTTGTCTTGCAGTTGCTAGTTGACTTTCATAATTGCTGATCTGTCGCTCACGGTCAACCGACTGGCCACGTAGTCCATTTGCTTCTTCGAGGTCTTTACGCCGTGATGACTCGATATGTTCGAGAGAATCGTTGATTTCGTTCATTTCTCGCATGTAAATGCCGTACTGTAAACATCTTCTTTCGCGGTCCAACTGATCATACTCCTTAAGTTCCTTCTTTTCCTCCTCAAGTTCGTTCAAGCGTGTTTCGATTGATTCCATTAATTCATCGATTTTAACCCTTTTAGCCGATGTGTCGTCCATTATTTTGACAGATTCCGAACGACGTTCTTCGTACACCTGAGTTCCAGCAACTTCTTTGAGGAGGTTGAGCCGGTCTGCGTCCTTGATATTGGTTAGATGCGTGATCTGGAAGTAAATGAAAGAATAGAGAAATTATTAACAGATGAAAGGTTCAAAACTAATTGAATGTAACAGAATACCAACTCGTCCTTGTGGCACTATGTAATAGGGGTTACTTTTACTGAAGCCTGCGGATTCCAAGAGAGACATGATCTCGCCCTTGGGGGTCGATTTCTTGTCGAGGGAATATTCATCCTTTTTAGAGCCTATGGTTCGCCTGATGATAACTTGACTCTTTCCAGTCGGGAATCGTTGGTCTGAGTTATCAAATACAGCCTCGACGAAAGCTGAGAAAGTAGAATTGTTATCTGAGCCCTCGTGTAAGAGGCTTTGTCTATCTTCCCGGGTCAGTGAACCGTATTGATCGTTAAGGAGAAATCGGATGGCAGAGAAGAAATTCGATTTTCCTGATCCATTGCGGCCAACAACGACGTTGACTCCGGGGGAGAAGTGCTCGACTGAAGTGGCATCTCGGTATGATTTGAAACCTTGAATGGTCAATGACTAAGAAAGATTCCAAAACTTGGCTATCAGTATCAGATAGGGACATCGGAACGGCGTGTCAGACTGAATAAGATGACTTACTTCGATGTGCATGTTGTTACTGTATCCCCAGGAGATTCGCTCTAGCTGCTTTGGTTCATAACAATTTCGAAGTCGAGCGTTTGGAGAAAGGAGATGTGCTGATCGAAAATTAAATGGTCGCGTCGCACAGCTTGGGACCTTTGACGCGCGACGGTTCCGGGGTCCACCGCGTCCCGGTCACCCGAAAATCGGACAACTTCTCCTGGCCGCCACTGCGGCAAGACATCAACAATCCATTGCTCAATGCTATGAGAATTTGGAAATTTGCAAATTACACAAGGTCACTGGAACTTGGAAAATCTAAAGTCCTATTCAAGCCATTTTGTAAATTTCAGAAATATTTCCATATAACCACATTGAGATTCAGTGAGGTTACACCAATCTGAGAACTTGGAAGTTTGCATGAGTAGTTGATGAAACAACAATGATAAATGCTATATAGCAGATGAAATTAGAATTTCAACTTGGACTATCCTACCTACTGAAAGATTCACTTCCACATCGTGTTTGGGCATGTGTCAAAAATTACTTAATAACTCAAGTAAAATCATGAACTCAGTCTCCACCAGCACTTATGTCAACTGCTCAACTTAGAGCCCAGGCAGAGATTGAGCTCATCAGATGTTCTCTAAGTATCAATTCAATCCACTGGCTCTTATGTGCAGAATAAGAAGTTTTTCATTTCCTGCAAGGATTTGTTTTACATGACTGTTTTTTTTTTCTTTTCAACCACACCCTGTGTAGCTAAACCTATTTCTGAAACAACAAAATAATCAAGAGATAGGGTGGTCATGTGAGCTTTCAGACTTTTTGAATCAACATGAGGCTTTATGGAATGGGAACTGCTGGGAGGGTTTGGGTGAAACAGAACAAAAAAATAAATGGAATCTAGTGTAGTAGTGAAACTGAAACACAAATGAAAAATGTGACTCTTTTCAGAAAAATCAGAGCTGATAGCACTATTGAGAGCAAATATTGCAATGTTTATGTTTTTTTTTTGTTGAGGTTTGATATAGTTAGACAGGTTGAAGCTTATCCAATTCTACTGGATGCTGAAATTGGAAGGGGAAAACTTGCTGCTCTGATCTAATTAGAAGCTACTTTGTGCTAATGGACTCAAAATAGTCCAAATTGACATATTATATTACTTTCCTTCCTTGGTTTTGGGAAGATGTTTGGATACATGATCACAAAGGATCTTGGAGAAAACAAAAATAAACACAAGGGATGAATACAATACAACAACAATTTTTTTTCAGGATTAAAATATGTGAGTGAAATGTACTTTGGATTTGGGAAGGAGTATGACAGAAAACATAACCACATCATCTGCAACAAAGTTGTGATGCTTCGTCCACTGAGTCCACACCTGCTCACAAACATTCCTGGGAGGCTTTGCTTGAAAGTTTCAATCTTTCAGTAGGTCCGCACTGGATTTCAATCTTCTGATTGTAATGCTGACCCGAGTTCTGACTCGCAAAACCTTCCTTGTTTCGTTACTCGAGGAGTCACACACCCAATCGTAGAGTTGATTAGCTCGAATCCCATGGGTCCAATCATAGCGCGCCTCCCGGGAGATGATATATCCAGATCGTTGCTCTAGGTAGAGTTGCCGACTGGGGCTTGGTTCATGTTGACCGACGGGCTCGAATTCCATCGCCACATTTGATCCAAGAGAGATCCCCAGAATGATTTCGTCAAACCTTTCGATCAAGTCGACGTGTTGTTCGATCCCCTCTCCTGGTCTGTAGAGATTGATGATCACTTGCCAAGGTAGGTCCATCTTATCAGATCCAAAGAAAAGATCGTTCAGGCGCTCAAGGTTATCCGGATTGACAGCAGAAAGTAGAGATGGTAAACGGCGGATAAGATCGACCAAAAACGCTGGCCATCGTAAGAATGAATGTCCGTGATCTTCCACCAACTCTTGCTTCTCAAAAGGATCATCCTGAGGTGGTGATGAATTTGCACGATTGTTTGGACGAGAGAAAAACATCATTTGATTATTGGATTGGTTATTGAAGAAATTCAATTGGCTGATTTCAGACATCCATTCAGCTTCGGTCTTGTGATCGATCAGATTGGGCAAGTAGTAGAGACCTGGAATGGCTGGAAATGGTACGATCGAACGGCTTGTCAGATCAAAAAAGCATGCCGGTTCCGCGGAGTCAATGCCAGTTCCTAGCGACCTTCCTTCAAAGGGTTCCTGGTTGAGGGGATGATCATCAGCTGGATCTTGAATGCAAGCAAGTTCGGATGAATCGACGCTGAAGAGTGAATTGGGGCTCAGGGGAGCTTGATCAGGTTCTGAAGACGATGAGCCGATCGACGTCATTCGAGCTTGAGTGCCTTTCCTGTTGGAGCTCGGTAGCCTCGCTTAGCTTGAAGTTCTTTATGATGTATTTATGTAGGAACATCGCCCGGCTAAGTATCGGAAATGGCCCAAAAAGATGTTCCCATGTGAATCGTGATGATGAGACTGGATATCACTCACATCACCCTGATATTTGATACAATGAGGCAAGTGTCGTCGATGACCACCGGATGCAGAACTGGCCAGGGATCGAAAGAGCTCGGAAAAGTGTGGTATTTTAGAGCGACTCGAGGATGTGCAAGTAGAAAGATTGAAGTGCAGTCCAAGGTCAGGTGGGTTTTGAAGTATCCGCATTGGTCCGGTTCGGATTATGGTCAAGTTGACCCCGGATTTAGCGCCTGCCCTTAACATTTCACCATCCCATGATATAGCGACGAGGTTTGGACCGTTCCCCGGTGTCAAATGACAGCGTGAGCAGATAGTAGATGGTCAGGAATAGCACTCAATTTATGGTGCTTTGTTTCTGCTCTTCTTTCTTGTTTGCGCTCAAAGAGATTTACTGTGGGCCGAATTCTTGTAGCCAATAGGGCGCTGATGACTGTTTTTTTTGTTGGTTGGTACAGACACAGTAAGCAATGTCCTATCAAACTACACTTGAAACAAAAGCTGCTTTTGACCATGAAAATATGTGCTGCAAGTTGATCAAAGAAGATCAGCAGCCAAGTGTCATGCCTACCAATGCCGTCAACCAAGCAACAACTTGTTGTGATCCAATCATTATTTCTGGGCCTCCTTCCAACACTTGAAACAAAAACGAAAGCTCGAGACAGAGGAGATAAACTTGATTGTCCAATTTTTAAGCCCAAGAGCCGAAATGAATCAGCCAGACTCAATTCAGAATAGGTTTCAGACTTTGGAGATGTTTTGAAAGGTTCTACATTTCTACACCACATCATTTATTAAGGAAGGAGATGATTAGGGAAAAACAAAAATTCTTCCTGAGACAATTTGAACTAAAAGAAAGAGATACATCGTTACTTGTGTTACATAAATTAGAGACATTAGGGAAGTCCATACAAAAACTAGATATTATTCAGATTCTTGGATTCAACAACAATTGTTCATCTAGAGAGATCTTCTGAAGTATGTATAGTGAGTCTGGTGGATTTTCAATCAAGATGAGCCATTAATTTTGTATTTTTTTTACTGTATCAAAGTATGAGAGAGGTTCTTTAACCCTGAGTCCATGTGGGGATCTAAAAGATTCAGAGAAAAAAAAGATAAGTATCAGGATGTGTGAACATCTGTTGAAAGGAAACTACCGCGGATAACAGAAGTGACTGACGTGTATGACTTGAGAAAGCCTTTTGGTAGTGGGGGAAGGTTTTCGATCCCAACCAACATAACCATGGTCATACCCATAATTGCATGGACCTAATAAATAAAGCCAAAAGTTCAACGATTTGAATAAAAAAAAAACTGGATTGATAAGTATTGTTTCCAGATATGCTATCTTGTTCCGATAAAAAACAGTAATCTTACCTGGAGATGGCAATGTATGAGAAAGGCTCCAGGCGTCTTGGCAACGAGTCTAATGACTAGCCATCCAACATGCGATCCGCTTGGCATTGGACCTTTGAAGTATTTCCCGTTCTTTCCAGCAAAAACGACCTGGGTATCCCGCTCGATTGACCTCTTGTTTCTCCGGTGGTCATCCTTGTTGATTTTCTCGTAACTTTCCTCGTTGAATTCTCCATATCCTTGACCAATCACATAAAACTTTTGTCCGTGTAGACTAGACATATTCAATGAATAACCCCCGTGCTCATCAGTGCAACTGAACTGCATGTCTTCAGAAGAATCTAGTAGAAAATTGGATTTCGGAAAAAAAAGCGCCGGAAACTCACTGCCAGGGATGTGCTTCTGAAACGTTGACAGTTGAAGCGATGTTGACGATTACAAATTCAATGACTTCTCCCAATTTGACGGGATAAGCATCCAATTTCGAGTCATAGCCATTATTTTTTGAAGCTGCTTCGTAGTCAGGCCTCAGTCCATCGGTATAAGCCTGAACTAAGACTGGTAACTTGCGCTTATTTTCGACATACTGGTAACGTAGATGGTTTGATTAGGAATCTGTGGAGATATATGACCCCAAAGAAGAAGAAAAATTGTGCTCTTACGGTCGAGTTATTCACAAACCAGTTCACGGATCCATCGGCTGCTTTTCTCTGCTGACTGGATATGAATATCCTGCGATTCACCTGCGCGGCAGTTGGGGCGTCCTTCTTCAAACTCAAGGGCCGAAAGCGACTTCCTACCCACTCAATGTCTTCGTTTGGTAGCGGTACAATCTTGTCTAGATCAGTTGGATTGGTGATCAAGGTGCGCGAATAGTTTTTTTGAATCGATGAGAGTGCCGATCCGGACTTGTCGATGCCATTGGTTGACTTGGATGCAGATGAACTGAGGTCGTATCTTAATATAAAGGATCCCATGTCGCGTTTTTCTCGCCATCGGCTCTCAACCCTCCCGTAAAATTCGTGCTGACCACCTTCCCTTCGAAGTTGTTTCAGCGTCTTAGTTTTGAGAAGGAAGGAATAGCGCTGCCCCGATCCAATTTCGATGTAAGGCGTGCTTGTTGGCTTGATGTATCCTCCATCGACCTCAATTATTTTGAATTTCGAGTGGGATTCGATCGCGAAGTAAAGGAATGTGAGGGCGCTCATACCGATAGTTCTAAAGAAGAGAGTCGGGCAATGCTGTTAGAAACAGTAAATTGAGAAAAGAAGCTTGAACCCCTGTCAAGGAAAAAGTCACTCACCGGACCCGATAAGTTTTGCCAGGTTTCACGTGTAAGACATGAGGGCCACAGTTCTTGGTGCATCCGAAGAGACTAGAGGAATTGCAGGATCCCAAGGCTTGTCCATTGACAACAAGACTCTGGGGCTCCCCAAGAAACTTGATTGGGGTGGAAGCCAGACCGGAGATAATCTTACTATCAGTGGCATGGTAGTAATCGCTAAAGATCAGGGTGCGCTCCCCGGCATACTTATACGGAGGCGATGGGCCATTCTCTTCGATTACAAAGGAACCATATCCGGTTATTGCTTGGAATCTGTGATGGGTGTGATAAATGCTTATTTGCAAAACGCCAATATTGATTAAAAACTTCAGCGCCAGTTCACCAGGATGATCTGACTGATGAGCAAAAAGCAGACCCACTATGTGCCTGCTGAATCATCCGGTAATTGAAACTCATAATCAAAATAACCACCTTTAGGGGGGATGGGGAACTGAAAGTCACAAGGAACAATCAGTGTGAGTGTCATTTTTTTGTTTGATTGACTTGTGGCGCAGGTCTTTAAGATCTTCACAGAAATTCGCCTGTCAAGAAGATGGGTAAATCAGTTACCTGTGAGATCTTGACTGTGCCATCAGCAAAGGGTGAGCCAAACTGGGCCAAACCGTGAAAGTGTATCGTTGTGGTTTCGTCTTCGAGCTCATTGATCACCCTGATCCAAAGTTTCTGGCCGGCCTTGAATCGAAGTTCGGGTCCAGGAAAGGTGCCATTGATGGTGACTGAAGGCCGAATTGTGCAATCGGCCGATATGTTTTTGCGAGAGATAACTAAAACGGTTGTGGGTGCCCAAGGAGCTTGAGTCTGAGAGATTGATATCTTGCTTGCATCAGCTGGAAGAATCGTATTCCAAATTAATAATAGAGATAGGAGGAACCCAAATGGGCCGGTGAAAGCAAGCGGATTCATTGGATAAAGTGGACAAAGTCATACCTTCCAACCTATCGGCCAGGCTAATAAGAAATACTCAGGATATGGCTCATGATTTCCTCCTAGGCAAGTTCTGAGCTGTTGAGATGCTCTACAGAAGACTTGAGAAGAAATGCAAAAGTTTGTTGCGACGTGAAGATAGGTGTTGATTAGTCCATGCCTTTATCATCGTGGCGCAGGTCGTCCTGGTAAACGATTAGGACACAAGCCCTGCCTTTCTTACTATGGGAGTCAGGCGGCCTGTCACCAAGCGACCCTCTTATCAGGGGGAGGGGGCCTTTGGAGCTGGAAGCTGACAATGGATGACTGTGTAAGCTTGGGTTTTCGTGAGCCTCAACAAAAGCCAGCCACATCCGAGCTCAGTTGTTGTGGATTGTCACTACCGCTGTCCTTGATCAGGGGGGGCGGGCGACCAGTCGCGAAGGGAAACTCGGAAGGAGGGTCTCGGGATTTAAGTCCGCTCGAAGTTTGGTGTACAAGCATACCAGATCCCGAATGGATGAACTGGAACCAGCCGACCGGGATGCTCGACTCCGTAGGGCTCAAGCCGGCTTCTGGGCATGAGTCAATTGTTGAAGCTCCACCTGAGCCACCCGCAAATTTCAATACACACAATGTATCTCTTGGCAGTGATCTTTCGGGGAATTCCAGGCAGTACATAGATGCTACATAGAAAGTAAGCCCCACTATTAGAATCGCACGATCGAATGTCCATGTCTCTTCAAGGGCTTCGCAAAACAGCCCCAGGCATTTGTTTATCCTGCAAAGAGACGCGACGGAGCTTGAGGGAGTCCAATCTCCAGGGGACCCCATCGAGCAAATGAATTATGAAAGGGTGAAAGGTTTTAGGTGGATTTGTAAGGGGCCCCCTTTTTTGCTGCATGGAGGGCTTAGCTGGGTTATGCATTTTGCTTGCCCTGATATGCATATGCACGCCGCGCCAGTGATCCCGACCCACAAGCTGTCCGGGGAAACTCGCCGGCCATCATCAAATTTCGCCCTCGCCCTGCCCATCCTACTAGCCTCAACCACCACATACAGAAGCACCAGGGCTCTCTCCGCTTGACCAATCGAAAATACGACCAGCAAAGCAAAGTGTTGGCGAATTAAACGACTCGATCAGCTCAGAAGATTCATCATCCCAAGTTCATCCGGCTTGTTGTTTCCAGCCGGCTCGTGCTTGCCCCACCATGGCTCAACTCCAACTCCCATTCACTCTTTCCTCTCACCCGGCAATCGCACCCGTCGAGCACGATTCAGATAATCGAAACTCAACCAGCCCTCCTCCTCCATCCTTCTCAACTTACCCCGTACTACGACTGTCCGACTCTCAGCGTACCTCAAAACAATCCCTTCAGGTCATCGTCACCGTTCCTGGTCAGGGCTGGTCTATCCACAAGGTTGACCATTCCTTCCTGAGTTCTCTGACGTTGTTGTGCTGAGACTAACCATGCTGCTTCTTGATTTCTCTGCAGGTCTCCGATCAAACAATCCTGTCATCCCAAAAGGTGTCCCCAAGCTTAGTCTTCACCGCCCCGTCCGTTGCGCTCTCAATCCCTCAATTAGCACCAGCGCAACAGCAATCAGAACGATCCGCCAAATCATCAACTCAAAAAATTAAAAAAACTCGGACCCGATACATCTACGCAGCCGTTGCTTGCTGCCCATCCGATCCCTCGCCGGCTGTCAACGGAGGCCGTACGATATGGGTATGGATCGAAAACGAAGTTAATGGCGGCTTCGGTGAACGTGACGCGTCAAATGCAGACCCTTCAAAATCCAGCTCAGCCAATGTCATCAAGGAATTTCCCTCTCGGGTCGAAATGGTTTATCCTCTACCCCCCACCGACCCTAAGGATGGCTCAGCAACTCAACTGGCTCGAATCCTAGTCCTACTCCAATCTGGAGAGGTCCTCCTCTGCAACGAACAGTTAACCACCATCGCCACATGTCGTGTACATTGCAACCCCCCGCCCTTGATCTCCTCCGAATTCCCTTACGTCCGCATCCAAACTCACAACAAAAATCAAGAATCAGATCTCACATCAAACTTGATCAGCCATCCAGGGATATCCATCACCAGCTCGCCCGGACTGCTGATCTACATATCCCGCTTAAAACCTGAATTCCCACCGTCCCCAGAACAATTGCCAAATGGGTCCACCCCAAAAGGACGCTCGAAGAAGCGTAAATCTGTCCCAACACAACCCTCAAAACCTACTTTCGGTGGTCTCACTCATTATTCGCACCTCGAACTTTGCGTCTTGGAATTACAATCAGATAGATTACATTCGTTGGGCCGGACTTCTCATAAAGAAGATTTCTTGGACGTGGCCATTGGCGCTCAAGGTTGGGTTACCATCATGGGTCAGTGGTCATCTTTATCATCCGGAGTGAATGCATCATCCTAATAAAGACTCCAATTTTAACCGAACATTTCGATTCAGCACGGAGTCATGTTTTATCAACATATACACTATCACACACCCCTACTCGTTCCTCTGACGACGAAGTGTTACCTTCCCGTGATCTGACACTAATTCCTCATCCACAGTGCAGTGCAATGCAGCTTGCAGCAAAATTTCGATCAGTTGAAGCGGCTCCCACTTCAAGTGCATCAACACCAGTGCTTGTAGCGCTCCCCTGCTCTGTTCCACTCGTATTCGTATTCATGTCACATTCCGCCCAACCATCTACCGGCTCATCTACCTCTTGTCTAGGCCTCGTCCTTGATCTATATCATAAAGCTGTTCTATTCGTTCTTCAGTGCCCGTGGCCAACTGCGCCGAAGCATAGCCAGTCATCGCCTTCTGACTACGAGCCTGTGACCGTCTCAGCAACTCTGTCCTCCTTATCACAGCCACCACATGTTTATCTGTGCTTATCCTACCAAAGTATTCGAATTGTCCAAGTCCTTCAAGCACCGGAATTTCCAGCGGATGGACCAACTTGGCTTGAAGTATTGAACCCTGTGGTAACAGATGCCACACTCGCTTGGTCAATCCCGGAATCTAACGGCGCCATCACACACGCGCATACTGCTCCGGATCGCCAGAAGAAACCCATACTGGCAGAATCACTGTTGGACTGCTATTCGATGAGTTTACAGTCGGATGCGCGCGCCCAAAAAGCTACCCATCTACCAAGCTTAAAGTCATTCATTTCCCGTTTCAATGATATCTCTCTTACCACTATCGGAAAAACTGGACATTGGGACGCTGAAAGCGCTAGAGCAGCTGAAATCGCTTGGGCAGAATGCGTGTTAAGCCCTCTGAGTGGCCAAGAGGCAAGCGAAACACAAGACGTGAACATGACGGGGGATGATTCATCTGAAAATTCTACAGACCAGTTGGTCGCTGCATTCCTGCGAGAAGTCAACTCAACATCAAAGCTCGGCGTGAGTGACAAGGCCTACTCCAAGTTTCCTGTTCTCTTTTGTTGACTGTTTCACTGGGTTAACAACCGGTCAATTTCTGATTTCCCCGCTGATAACAGTCAGTGCTTTCGAAAGCGTTTGTCGAAGTCCTACTTCAACTATGCTTAGCCCAATTCGGAGACAAAGTAGGAAAAGACCTGACAATTGCGTCGAGTTCAGGAAACAAGCCTCAAAATCTGAAGCCTTACCCAGCCCAGATTGTCGTTTGTTTATTGCATTCGGGCCTTGTGGAACAAAGCATGATTTCTGGTGGTTTGGTTGCTGCGCTCAGACGGACCGGTGATGTTGGGGCGGTTGAAGTGGCGATTTGCAAGTTATTTGATGTCGATGAAGTCGAGTCGATCGAGACCATTCGTTGGGCAATTCAATTCCACAACTCTCCGTCACCGGCCCCTGCCTCGAAGAAGGTACCAGATTGCAAACAGTCGCTCTTCCAGCGTCTCCTGTCCAAGGTCGTTTCCCAGCCACTTTCTCCCGGTCCATTGAAAAGGGCGCTGAAACAAATCTTGAGCACAAGTGACATCCTCGTCGTTTTTGGTATCCTCAACGAGTGGATCGATTGGTGGTTGGAAGAAGGCATGCAAGTTCTCCGGATTAATTCAAAAAGTAGTCAAACCACGACCGATTTGACTTCAAAACCTCAACCGACTAGCGAGGCCCCCGACTCTGTTTCACCTCCCAAAGATGTATGTTTGCTTCGCTCATCTAATTCAATATCCATAACCCTGATCTAAGGTCCTTTCTTTCGATTTATCAAGGCAAAGGAGCATGAGCACGAGTCAGGCCCGAATTCCAGCGGTCTTCCTAGCCTCCGTCGTGTATGTATTTTTTGTTTGCTCGATCTTGAACCTCTTTTTTTTGTTCTTGCTGTCGGAGGCCGAGCTTGGGTCTAATTCAGTAGGATAAACCTTTCCGCAAATAGATTTTTGAGTTCATAGAGTGTTGCTTGGACGCACACCTGATTGGACTGATCCAATACAAGGAAGCCAGCTCGATTCTCGAGGCTCTCAAGCTGAAACTCAAGCAAGAACTCGAGCTCGACACCGTTTTACAAGCGTTACATGGGCCATTAACCCAGTCGACCAAGCTACATAAGCAACGACAACGTCGACAGAGAGAGAAGCTCGAGAAATCCTCCAAAGGAACCCAGCCCACGTGGCAGAAATCCCAGATCAAGGTCCCCAAACCCTGCAAACCTCATACCGCTGATCCTTCTTCTCGCACCGCTCCGCCACCGTCCAAACCTCCTTCTAAAAAGATCAGCAAGAAGCGTGCCGTACATCCCGATGCCCGTCGGTTGCAGGGAGAGACTGGCAATGTTCAATCGGTCGCTGAATACACTTTGGAACGTTTATCTTTGAAAGTTTTTTTCCCTTCTTCTTCTTCTTATAATACCTTGGCTTCCTATGGTATACATCTATCTTACGAACACCTGGTCAAGAGTAGTTCAAAATTTTTATCTCCTTTGGCTTTCTTTCTCCAATTTTGATTGGTTGAGTGGAAATTTAACATGGAACAAAAAAAATAGACTTGTCTGACACTGGGTAGCTCAATCCAGTCGTCATTTGTTTTTGGCCTAGCGTATGTATCTCCAGTAGAAGCGTTCATGGGTCCAAGCTGGGTGGAAATGAGAGGAGAGCTGGATCTGCATATATTGCGTAGTGGCGGAATATAATGGCCATGTGGGAATAAGATTCAAGAATGAGTGCTGCAATCCAAGATAAATAATTTCAGAATCTTGTGTCACTTTGTTTTTGGAAATGACGGTCACTGGTGAATTCTCACAAAGAGCCTTGGGGCCGGCTTCTGTTCTTCTGGATGATTTTTGTCAGTTCCTAGGCTGGAATCAAGTGTGAAGTTTTAAGCTTCTTTTTTCTGAGTAGATCCAATCATACATATTACATGGATTTGAGATGATAGGAAACACTGAGTGGCAATATATTATTAGGGGTCTGTTTTATGGATCTAGATTCCTCTGTTAAATTTTTGAAAGAAAGGATGAAAAGACTGCAATGATTCGTTGCTGAAAGAAGCATTCATTTGATTCTTGCAAGGTTTGATTGGATTGGTGGTGGATTCTGATAGCTTGAATCCTTTGGCACTTTGTCCTGTGGGCTACTTTATACTGCCATACTTTGGAGTTTTCTTGATTTATCAGGGTTACAACTTTGACCAAAATCCTTTGGTCCATCTGGTGACTCATGAGTGATTTTGGGCTTTTTTTTTCCCATATGAAATTATCTCCATGCCTTTGATTGAAAAATCATTATTCCAATCATTGCACTTCTTATTCAGGAGAACAAAAGTTCAGCCAAACAATCAAGATGAATGAACAATAGAACGTTTTTCATTTTTGTAAACAAGATTGGACCCAAAAAAAATAGCCTTCCATCCAGTAGCTTGATATATATCAGGTCAAAGAAACAGAGTATAATATAAGACTAAGACACCACATAGTACCCCCAAAAAAAAGCACGGCATGAAAAATAAAAATGAAAACTACATGTGAGTTTGCAAGACAAAAGAAACAATCAGATTGCTTATTAGATCCTGATTGATGTCCTCAAATTTTGTGGCGAAAGAAACAATCAGATTGCTTATTAGATCCTGATTGATGTCCTCAAATTTTGTGGCCACGTGTTTCAGTCTAAGGAGATGTGACAAGATCTTGACTTCATCAAGTTGCATGTGAATTGCCTTCAATTCAGCAGTGGGGGTGCTTGATTGAAGCTTTGCTAGCTCGTCTGCCGTCATATTCTTACACTTCTCCAGCAGTCTGGAATGGAAGGCATTTCTGAAATGTGAATGAAAGTGTTGGACGGTTATCCCAAGTTGCACACGATCAGAGATTTCGCCTTTTTCAATTGATTTCGCTTTTGTCTTGTCCCATATCTTATCAAAATTCTCAATGATCTTGCGGAATTCCGGAGACAGATTAGGTTGTTCAACTGGCAATCCATCTGTAGTTTGTTGGAATGATTGTATGTGAACCAGTAACCTGCCCGAAGTTCAAAAATCTCTTGGACCCTCTCAATGACATCATGAGCTTACAGATTGTTATAAATCAGTTTGAGACCTGACATACATTTTGTTTTATTTATATCTCAAAGTGATTGAAATCTGGTTTTCATTAAATTTACTTACAGTCTTTCTCCTTGAAGAGTGTTGAAGAGGGTTGTCCAGAGGCACGGCGCTGAGCAATCAAAGCTGTTTCTGGGGTAGGCTCTAAAACTGCTGGGTTCTCAATAAAATCAGATAAAAGCTCGTTTGCGGTTTGGAACATCACGTTTACAGCATCATTTTGGTGGCCTATTGCTTGAGACCTTGAATCACCCGTGTTGGCTGATATCATATGATTGATATGAGCCAACCAAGAACCGATCAGCAGCCAAACTTCTTAATCAAAGCTTGAACAAGTTGCTTACCCTATGCGGGAAAAACTCTGGGGATAGGCCTCCAACTGGATTGCCTTCTTTCGTGGTTTGCTCTGTGAAGCTCATGACTGCAGATCCTAGTCCTGCGGGAGCAGCTGATGTTTGTATGAGTATGAATGGGAACAAAGCAAACAAGATATAGCAAGAGAAGTGCATGTTTTAAAGAATGATTAAGCAATTTTCGTGGCAAGCTGAAAGGTGGGTAATCAGAAGATTGATTGGTAGCAGGTCGAAAGCACTAGAATGGCCAGTTCTTGAGTCTGCTCAGCTGGACACATCTTTCGCTGTCCCATGAGCTCTAACGGATTCTTCAGCGTTGCATTCCTTAACGTGGTTTCAACACCTTAAGGTGTCTTCATGACTATGTAGAGTACAATCGTTATACATGCAAGTTCGGATGTATCTGTACCGCCAGTCTTAGCGAGCAAGAAAGAGACATCGCTCGCAAGATAATTACTGGAAGGTAGACTTCTTTTGAGACCTCTCATTAACAAGTAGCTGTCGACGCCAAAATGTGTGTCTGGCTTTTGCACAAGTTTTACGGATATGATTTGTATGTCGAAATCCGTCCCGCCTCCCTGCAACGGAGTGAATATGCTTCTCAACGGAGTGAATACCGACATCGCTCATTCATTCTCAACAGTAAAAGACTTCATCAAAATATAGGAATGCACAACCTCATTGGAGGAAATCAGATATCGTCGTTTGTGTGTATGTAACTTGCTTGACGGGAAGCGGTTTGCTATACTCACGAAAAATGACTCCATGCATGTGGTTGGTACCCTTGCAATGTAATTTTTTTTGCTCAACAGATACCTTGGTGATATATCAGCAAGCTTTCAAAAAGAGCAGAATTTGGTTCTCCATATGAAGGAAGCCATAGAAGGGACGCAGTTATAGGGGAATAGAGCTGTTGGTGTTGAGGCAACGAGCGCAAGAGGATGTGTTGGTTGATAGAAGCAAAGGTGTGAGCACAAGGCTTCGGCCAATTTACCACTCCAATGCCATTGACGTAGGTGTTGTCTGGGATGGCTTTCTTTTGAGGAGCAAGTTGGAGTGCTTATCTCTGAAGTTAATGTTATAACAGTTTTCCAAATCGTCACAATCACCTCCAACTTGTTCAAAAAAGCGGTTCTGCAGTTGGGATACCAAAAGTCCCCTGGAGTTGGTTGTTTTAAGATGTAACTTAACTTAACTTAACTTATTTGATTTTGGTTTTGGTTTGGTGGCCGGTTGGCTTATGTAAGCTGGGGAAGTGGCGTATTACATTCATCGGTCGAATTGCTCTTGATCCTCTCTTTTCCAAGAAACAACCAACAAGAGACGAAACGATGGACTACTACCTCAAGGCAGCTGCATCCTACCTCGATCGATCCAACATCTCATCAAACTATACCAACATCAACAACCCAGCAACAACAACAGCAGCAACAACAACAACAACAGCAACAGCAACAACAACAACAACCACTGGCCAGAATCATAATACAGCAACCACAAACGAAAATTCAACCTCAAATTGGTCACCACCCACTCGAATAGGGCTATGGACCGTACACCGGTCAGTCTACTCATCATTTCCTCACTGGAAAAGAAAAACAATTGACCTGCCCTGAACTACATCACAGTGCCATCCATAATAGCACCAACAAACTCGTTAGCATCTGGACGGCGGAGAAAAGACTCGTCTCATCACCATCATCATCACTCTCCTCACTACCCTCCCTCGTCAATGCTGCCAACAGCTGGGCTAGTAGCAGTATGAGTAATCATGGGAGCGGAAATAATCCAAATCAACCCAAGACCCCATTAGAGAAGGTAGTCGAAATCCTAAAGAAAGAGGTCAGTCAAAGGAATTTCTATCATCGTACATCAGCTCACATCATGGATTACCCACAGGTCTCCTCCCTATCTCGTCTACGCCATCCATGTATCCTAGAAGTCGTCGAACCGTTGGAAGAAACCAGGCAAGTAACCCACAACCTCGATGGCTTTATTCCCATTCAGCTCAATCTCTCATCTTTTCATGTATGTAGGACAAGTATGATATTCGCAACCGAACCCATCACCGGCTGTTTGAAAGATGGAATCGAACAATCCGATCGTCGAGCTAGCCTCAATCATCCCACTCGAAACCAACCTCAGATAAACATGGAATTGGATGAAGTTGAAGTTGGTCGACATCCGCTTACACACCCTACTGGTATATCCAAGCTGAAAATTATCTCCGACAATTAATTGTAATTCAGACTCAGAAAGGCCTAATGCAGATTGGGAAAGGTCTCCAGTTCTTACACGAATCGGCCAAGTTGGTGCATTGTAATCTAACACCCGAAGCAATCATTATTAATGCAAAAGTGAGTGATACAAAAAAAAAATTAAAACAAAAAATTCTAAATCTTGATTTGATATGTTGACCCGAGAAACATTTGAATTGACAGGGTGATTGGAAGATCTCTGGTTTTGGATTATCGACTTACCTCAAACAACCAGATGGACAAGATTCGAAATGGCTCTTCCCTGAATATGACCACCGATTACCGGACTCAGTCCAACGAAACTTTGACTATCTTGCACCAGAATACTGCCTCGATGAACATCTCTCGACGAGTAATGATATGTACAGTCTAGGCTGTATCCTACACTCCATCCATACCCGCAGTGGCCCACCATTCCAAAACCATCATAGTCTGGATAGGATCAGGAAAAACGTCGAGAACCTTGGCGTCCTGAGAGCCGCTTGGAGTCGGGTACCCGATGATGTACAAGGTAATGAAAAACAACATTGTCAAATTTTCGAAATTCCAGCTCAAAACAAAAAAAGCTTTCAAGTGATTTTTGACGTATATCTTCGATTTTTCTTTTACTTGAAACGTTTCCTTGCGGATATCTGGTCCGAACGAATTGAATCCCAGAGGTTCTATCGCAACTGGTCACGCGAACCCCATCCACTCGATTGGTCGCCTCAGCATTCCTGAATTCACGGTACTTCAGCAGTAACCTGTTGGTTTCAACCTTAGCCTTCTTAGATCGGGATACCTTCAACTCTAAACAAAACGAAGAACATGTTCAGTTCATGAAAGGGCTCCTCAGACTCCTGCCCCAATTCTCCCAAAAACTCGTCAAACAGAAAATCTTACCTTCCTTAATCGAAGAATGTCGGAAACATGTTCTGTTGCCATTCTTGTTACCCAACATCTTCTTTATTGCACAACAGATGGAAAGTGTAAGAGGGGGTTTTGTTTATCTTGCTTTCTGACATCTCACTTGCTCACGTTCTATTACCTACTATGTTGTTGATTATGATCAGGAAGAATTCCGCTCTGAATTGCTACCCCATCTAACCCGATTATTTTCGATCAAAGATCCACCTCAAAACATCTTGATCTTATTGGACAACTTGTCGATCTTCCAAACGAAAGCTACCCCTCAAGTCTTTCGAGAAGATGTGATGCCCCTGATTTATGTCGCTCTGGAATCGGATATGCCCTCTCTACAGGAGAAAGCATTGAAAGTTATCCCTGGTCTCTGTGAAACACTCGAGGTTCGTTGTCGACTATTCATTTTTTGTGTTGTTTACGGTGTTAACTGCCATGGGTGTGCTTGTTTGCTGAATGCTCATTTCTATCTGGCCGTCTTAGTACACACATGTGAAACAAGTACTGTTTCCCAAAGTCACAGTTCAGTCTCACCTCTTTTCTTATTAAATTTTGATCAAGAAAGACGTAGATATATACTGACAGTAGTGATCAGATGGTATTTTCTAAAACTACGTTACTATCGGTCAAAGTAAATACGTTGATCTGCTTCCACTCTATGGTCAAGATTTTGGACAAATACACTCTTACCGAGAAATTGGTGCCCCTATTAGCAAGGATCAAGACCAAAGAGCCAGCGGTGATGATAGCCACCTTAGCGGTCCATGAAGAGATGGGAAAGAAGGTAGAATTGAACGCGATTGCCACCTTAATTTTACCTCAACTGTGGGCGATGTCGATTGGACCTCTGTTGAACATCGATCAATTCAATCGGTTCATGAATTCGATCGAGCAACTATCTACTCGAGTCAGACAGGAGCACACTCGACATTTGGTTGAAGCTAGAAGATTAGAAGAAACTACCGCTCGGAGCAACAGTCAACCCAGTGTGAATCATCAACATCTTGGATCCCATGTGCCCAATGAGGCGGTCGACTTTGAGAACCTAGTCAAGGGCTCCCGGAATTGGGCCTCATCATCGAAACCCAATCCGCCCATCCAACAGGACACCGCGCCGACGAGTCCATCGGCCAACAGTGGCTGGGGCTTCGACGACCAACTAGGAAGCTTGAATCTAGGCGGGCAATCTACAAGCGATGGCGCAGCGCTCAACCGGCACCATTCGAACCCCGTCCCGGTCATCAATGCCAGGAAGTCACTCACACCAACCGGGCTCAACGCGCTCAATCCACGCCAGTCAACAAACAACCTGCGATCCTATCCGAGCATCTTTGACAATCACTCTTCCGGCGCAAGTTCTCACGGCTCAAGACTTGATCCCTCTACAACCAACCACCAACAACGGCCCCACTCACTCTCCTCCGATCTCCTTCCTCTGTCACATCCATCCTCTTCCTCTACATCACAGCAACCCTCAGCCTTTGTCGGCTTACCCCCTCTTGTCCCTCAGACTTCCTCCCTCACTTCTCTCACCCATCAGACTCTTCCCTCCTCCTCTTACCAAGCCCCTCCTGGTCAGATCTCGAAACCCTCTTGGAACGTCATTGCTCCCATCAAACCTTCTCAAAACCATCCTCCCTCCCTGCAGAACTCTAATCTCAACAATTCGTTGGCTGACTTTGATCCTTTTGCTTAGTTCTTCTTTTTTTCAAGATTTCGTTCTTCTTTTTTAGCACTTTGTTTTTGGTATTCTAATCGTGTTTTCAACTATTAGTAGTTTTGTATATATATATATAAGTAAATAGATCATTCCAAGGAAGCCGTTCTCCCTCCCCTCTACTTCTGATTCAATTGCAAAAAAAAAAAAAAACTTCCGCTGCTCTTTCCCCCGCTTCCTCTCAAAAAAAAAACAATGTCAAAACCGTGTTCGTATTGTTATTATTATTTTATTAGTGTTGTGTTTGAGATGTGTACTTGCCGCGAAATTCAACTCACTTTCTATTCTTCCGGGGTTCCACTGCAAAAGGATCTGGAGTGGGCAGCTGCGTGTGGACCTTGCCCACACGGATGCCGATCGGCTCCTGCTCCACGATCTTGTAGCTCTCGGTCAGACTCGAGCTTGGAGGTATAGCTGCTAGGGCTTGGGTCACATCCGCTAAATCATCTAGCCGGCGTAACACAGGCAGACGAACACCCATGACAAATCGCTCGAATGTCATTTTTTTTTTCGTCAATTGGAACCCGGATCTCGGCGTTGCGTCATCGACCTGACCTCGAGTCAGGTGGGGTTATGATCGATCATACCGAATTAACAGGAATTAACCTTCCATCGGCATGTCAATCGAGCAAAACTAAATCTGCCCCTCTAGATGGATATAAGCAGTTGCTGAGCAGATAGCTCTTGACTTCATGATGCATCATAACAGCGATCGTCGCTCATGGCAATCAAAACACGGACGAGGCATGTATCTTCAGATAAAAAAATTATATAAATACATGAAACCAGCCTGTCGGGCGAGCTCCGAAGGGATGGTATGGGCAAATCTTGCAGGTTTCGAACTTACAGTGCGATCTTCCTCTCTCCAATTTGCAATCCATTCACCGTGCAGACGGGTCGCTGCCACCTTGGGCCCTGGGTGTCTATACGCTATTTTACTCTCCAAGCCTAGCCTACGAGGCCGAAATAAATATGGCCCTAAGTATTCCCGTGGTAGATCAGTAAGAGCCTCACAGAGAAAACATCTTGGATTCGAGATTCGTAGTCTCCTAGATGCATCGGAGCATGCCTACTCCTAGCTAACCCGACTAATCTTGATATGGGTATGTAATGCGATACGCTAGCATCGCTATCTTCGTGAATTTGCGCACAAACTCTGTAAAAGTGTGGTGCCAATGAAACATTTTGGGCCCATTGATCAAGCACCTTGTGAGATTGGTAGTCCGCGTCTCTCAGCTATTCCATAGCACAATATATAAACCTCCCGGCCCCGCTATTCTTCCATTTCCCTCACCGACTTGCCATCTTCACATTCTCCTGCTGAGCAGTTCATTGAAGGCCTTCCTGCAATTTTTTCCCCCCGATTTCTCCACACCCACTCACCAGTTTCTCGCGATGTTCTTGACTCATCTCGCCATTGCTTTAGCTACAGCGGCCACCTCCCTTAGCAATGTGGAGGCGCTATCCGATCGCAGCGAATGTGAGTCTTTCAACGCTCGATTATTCTCTTATTGTTGTTGGCTTTCATTTTTCAAATTGACTTCCACAAGAGGAACTGAGGCATTCTACCTCTCTCCCCCTCTGTCAATTTTTAGCCGCCATGCGCCCCATGAGCCTCAAAACCATTCATGATGCAAAGAATATGGCGCTTCTTGAGAGGTACCAAATGGGCCGTCCCGGAGCGCAGATGAAAGCCACCGTCGAAATTTACGCTTTCAAGTCATCGGCCACTTTATCCAAGCGGAACAATACTGGCGAGGTGCCAGGGATAACTAAGCCCTTGGACATGACCCCTTCAACGTGCACCTCCCAAGTCTGCTATCCTGGTGAGCACATGTGTTTATAACTCGTACCGCCACGATTCTGATGCAACCTTGAGGCGCGTTTGTGCAGGCTCTTTCGAAGCCCCCAAGAAAGTGCGCATTTCCCAATTGGATTGATTCTGAACCAGCAGCTGACGTCGATGCTCATCGGCAATGTTTTTCAGGCCGATTGTGACGTTATCGTTGATGCACAACTCTACCACTCCATCGGAAGCTTGAGATCCAAACCTGGTGCGTTCTAACAATCTTTCATACTTGATCGTGGAAAATGAACATTTCTGTGCTTGCAGGGCAATATGTTCTTGTCTACGCCGGAACCTGTGTGGTTGTCTTGTGAGTCAGACTTGGGACTAATCATCCAAAGATATTAGAGGAAGAGGGTGCATAATTGACACCCGCATGTTCCGCTCGTTCAGCCAACATCCCATGGGCAAGGGCGATAACAAGTTTACCTTGGAGGTAGGTTCCAGCTGGAAATTAACAATTGCATTACATGCTGGGGCTCATGCTTACCGATGTCCTCCATTTCGCTGTCTCAACCAAAAAATGATTAGTACAACTGGGCCAGCTTGGGGAAGATCATCCTAGGCATCCAAAAGCAATGCAACAAGCCAGATGCGTTGTCCGTCGGAGGTGTGTGCAAAATTGATCACTACTTGAAGTACAATTTCGAGAATGTAAGTGCCACATATACGACTCTCAATTACATAAGGGTCCCAACATTTGCTGAGCGGAAATGCTTATTCTTCCTTTATCAGGTTCTCATCAGCCTTCAGCGATACGTTGCGCCGGAAAACCCACAAACGCCAATGAAGTCAGGTCAGCCAGGGAAGCCAGCAAATTCGGACAAGTCGGCAAATTCGGACAAGTCAGCAAAGTCAGACAAGTCACCAAAGCAAGACAAGCCAGCCAAGCAAGACAAGTCAGGAAAACCACAAACCCCGGCTCCCCAGCATTAGTGCATTTCCCCTCCTTAATCTCTTTTCACCTATTGCGCTTATTGCGAATTGTCAGGGAACCGATAGCCGCTCCTCATTCTGAGTGGTGTAATTGCTTGCGGATTCAGTTATGATTTGTTTGTATGGGTGCGAGCCCGCAATGTTGTAGTATTGTGTCTTGACTGTGTCAATCAACTCAATGCAATGTCATTTGGGAAGACCCCTTTTCTTATCGGTCATCAGAACATGCATCATCCATGGCTCGCTTCAGCTAAGTCAGCTTAGTAGTCAGCTTACACGTCAGAACAATTAGGCAAGTTCGAATAACAAGGAATTCAAGGCGGAGGGAGGCATCTTGGTGTTAGCAAGCAGGTTTCCGGTTATTTTCGGAGGGTCTCTACACATCACATAGTCCTTAGTGCACAACATCTCCAACTCAACCTCAATCAACCCCACCCGTCATAATTGTGCCAAGACTTTCAAGAACGCGCCCATCACGCGCAAATGACTGCCTATCTTTTGATGGGAGACGGTTGTGAACAGCTGTCATCAGACTCTGCCCCGGAGGCTCAGATTTGTCTATCTGGTGACTGAGTGGGGTCCATTTTTGGGTGTTTATTTCGATTTTGGCTGTTCACTTTACTGAGGACACCGTGATGTACATGCCCAAGCAAGCAATTCCGTGGTCCCAATTGTCACTTAAAAAATCTATGACTATCACATGCGGATTCGAGACTGTAGTCTCTCAGGTACAATCGAAGCATGTCGACTCTTTAACTTAACTTGGCTGATCTTGACGCGGGCCATGACCATGTTTACGCACGCATTAACTATCTAGATAAAATGGCACACTTAACGCAGTAAAATTGCGGTGCAAAAGAAACATGTTTGGTCCATGGATCGAGCGGCTTGACGTGGGATTCGTAGTCAGCGTCGGTCAGCTGTTCGAAGCAGGCTGCACAATGAACAACACATATAAGACTCCCGGCCCTGCCTTCCCACTGTACCCAACCAGCCGCCACTTTCCCTTCTGCCATACCTATAGCTCGCTGAAAACACCCGACCAATTCTTCTCCCTCACTTGATATCACCAATTCCTCAACATCTCGCGATGTTTTTGCGTACGGTTCACTTCGCCATTGCTTTGGCGACAGCGGCTTCATCCTTCAGCAAGGCCGAGTCGTTATCCCCTCGTAGCGATAGTAAGTGCTCCAGCGCCTGATTATGTTCATCTTTTTCTCCCATCGGCTTCCATCCAAAAATGACAAAATGACTGGCATAATAGAAGCTGAGCCCCTGTACTTTTAGCTGCTTTGTTGAGCCCCATGAGCCTCAAAAGCATCCATGATGACGATAGCATGGTGCTTCTTGAGAGGTATCAGATGGGCCGCCCCGGCGCTCAGACGAAAGCAACTGTCGAAATTTACTCGGTCAAGTCGGCCGGCACCTCACTCGCCAAGCGGAATTCCACCACCGAGATGCCAGGGATAACTAAGCCACTAGACATGACCCCTTCAACATGCACCTCCCAAGTCTGCTATCCTGGTGGGTACTCACATATGTCAAACAGCAATTCCTCAACATCTCTGATCCAACTTTTTGAGGCGCGTTTTCAGGCTCTTTCGAAGGACCCAAGAAAGTGCGCAATTCTCAGTTTGATTTACTACAAACCGGATGTTGACGTTTATGCTCTTCGGGCAAATTTTCAGACCGATTGCGACGTTGTTGTTGACGCACAACTCTACCATTCTGTTGGAAGTTTGAGGTCCAAACCAGGTACGCTCTAATGATTCCACGCACTTCAGGGCTGAGTGGCAAACTAAACGCGCGTTGCCTGCAGGTCAATATGTCCTTGTCTACTCTGGAACCTGCGTGGTTGTCTTGTAAGTCAAGCTCGGAACTATTCATCAGAAGAGAACTGAGGAAGAGCACGGAAAACTGATACTAGCGCATTCCGCTCGCCTAGCCAACATCCAATGGGCAAGGGTGACAACAAATTTGTCTTGGAGGTAAGTCACAGCTGGCAGCCAACAGTTAAATCACATTCTTGGGTTCATGCTGATCAATCACCCCCACTTCGCTGTCTGAATGATAACCATTAGTACAACTGGGCCAACTTGGGGAAGATCATGGTGGATATCCAAAAGCAATGCGACAAGCCCGAGTCTCTATCCATCGGTGGTGTATGCAAAATTGAGCATTACTTGAAGTACACATTCGAGAATGTAAGCACCGCATCCACCCATTTGCTCAACCTGGTTACAATTAACTATTGCTGATTGCAAACCTTCCATTTTATTCAACAGGTCCTGATCAGTCTCCAGCGTTATGTTGCCCCGGAGAAGCCGCAAAAGCCAATAACCTCGGGACAGCCGGACAAGCCAGAAAAGCCTGATGACAAGCCAGCAAACCCGGATGACAAGCCAGCAAACCCGGATAAGCCACAAGACCCTGCTGCTAAGCCTTGAAGCTTCACCGCTCTCCTGTGCCATTCTAATGATCCATCCCTTATCAACTACGATGCGTTCTCCAGACCTTCTCCATTCTCCACGAGGAACCTGATAGATAATTGGACCGTGTCTAACGCTGAAGGGGTGTGGACATGAAGTGTTGTAGTATCCTGTTTTCAGTCATTTTATGAAACCCAATGGAATGACACTCCGCAATATATTCTGTCTTTTATTTTCCTTTTACATATTAACCCAAGCAAACCCATGATTAGATGATGAATAGGGAGTTGTTGCTTGTCCTGAGCGAAAGCAACTCTGAAAAAAACCTGAGCATTCAAACAACAAGGAAATACGTGAGCCCAAGCTCCTCGGTGGGTATGGAATAAATGATTATTTGCCGGTTCTCAATGGTTTAGCAGAAAGCAAAACAACATTTGCTCTGTGTACAGTAGAGCAGGTCCACATGTAAGGAGAATCACGACTACGAGTCTACTGCAGCCGAGCCTGAAGACGCACCGGAGGCTCGGAGCCACCTTGAAGTTGGACCCTGGGGTGTACAGCCATCCATTCCCCCTCTCGAAGCCTGCGATCATACATGCGAATGAAAAAATGAATGTCAGTACACAAATACATTCCTACAGAAAATTATACACATCATGTACTATCAAAGTGTACATGCTTGGTGGCGCAGAAAAAGAGGGACACTAAAGAAATATTCAGATCTATTCAGATGGTCCAGGATTAACGGCTTGAGGTGGGCTTGACGTGAGGCTTGGCAGTCATCGTCAGCTATGTATTCAAGGCAAACAGGTACATATATAACCCTCTCGGCCCAATCATTCCCTTCTCCCTTCATCCACTTCCAATTTTCATATCTTCTTGTTGTGAAGCCCGCCGAGATCTCCTCACTTTTATTCCACTCCCTTACATACCTACTGACAGCAACTTATCATCATCTCGCGATGTTTTTACGCATGATTCATTTGGCCATCACGCTAGTGATAGCAGCTTCATCTCTGAGCAATGCCGAATCACTATATCCTGGTAGCGACAGTAAGTATTTCAGCGCTTGGTCATGTTTTGTTTTAGAAAGTTCCCTTCCTGAAACGACGGACTCAAGAGAAACTGGCATATTCTGACCACCTTGTCATTTCAGCTATGTTCAGCCCTATGAGCCTTCAAAGCATTCATGGTGCGGACAGTATGCAGCTTCTTGAGAGGTATCAAATTGGCGGCGCCGGCGCGTCAGTGAAACCTACCGTGGAAGTTTACTCCACCAAGTCAACCGGATCTTCATTTACCAAGCGGGATTCTACCACCGAGATCCCCGGGATAACTAAGCCATTGGATCTGACCCCTTCAAAATGCAAATCCAGAGTGTGCTATCCAGGTGAGCACTGTCCTGATGTCTAAAGCCAGCCCTTGAACGTTTCTGATCCAACCTTGACGCGCGTTGGTTTAGGCTCTTACGGAGGACCGAAAAAAGTGCGCATTTCCCAGTTTGATATACTACGAACTTGACGCCATCGTTGATGCTCATCGGTAAATTTTCAGACCGATTGCGATGCTATTGTTGACGCACAGCTCTACCATTCAGTTGGAAGCTTAACAGTCAAACCTGGTCCGTTCTAATGATTCCTCATTTCTCGAGACTGAATATCAATCTAACGTTACGTTGCTCGCAGGTAATTACGTCCTTGTCTACGCCGGAACCTGTGTGGTCGTCTTGTGAGTCAAACTTGAAGGCATTCATCTGAAGATACTTGAGCAGGAGCAGAGATGATTGAAACTAGCATGTCCCCGTCGCCTAGCCAACATCCAATGGGCAAGGGCGACAACAACTTGACCTTCGACGTATGTACCAGATCTTAATCAATGTGTATATACGCTTCCTCTGGAACTCATGCTGACCTGTTATCCATCTCGTTGTCCGAATGAAAACCGTTAGTATAATTGGTCCAAATTGGGGCTGGACATCATTGAGATCCAAAAGAAATGCGACAAGCCAGAGGCTTTGTCTATCGGTGGCGCATGCCGAATTAAGCGTTACTTGCAGTATAATTTCGATAATGTAAGCAGCGCACCCATGCATTTGTACGATCTGGATGTTCTAGTGTTGCTCATGCAAAACCCTTAACCTCCCCTAACAGATCCTTATCAGCCTGCAACGATATGTCGCACCAGAAAACCCGCAAACGCCAATTAAGCCAGCTCCGCCGAGCATTCCAGGAAATTCGGAAAAGCCAGGAAATTCAGGAAATTCAGAAAAGCCAGGAAATTCGAAGCCAGTAAACTCGAAGCCAGGACAACCGGAAAAGCCAGGACAGCCGGAAAAGCCAAAAAACCCACCACAGTCACAAGACGCCGCTCCTAAGCCTTGAGGCGTTTCCCCTCTCCTATCCCATTGTAGTGACCCATCCATTGCTCCGGACGAGGAAGTTGCTCCAAAGTAGGGTTCTGTTTAGTGTGGTGTTGTATGGGCTTGAGCCCAAAATGTTGTGTAGTATCGTGTCTTCAGTCTCCATGAAGACTTCGAACATAAAGGACAATCATTCGGAAAAGAGTCCTTCTTTTGTTTTCCTTGAATTAACTCAAATAAACACCTGGTCAGAAGATGATCAAGGGGCCCAAAATCTAGGCTTATGCGGAGCCAAGTGAGCCCTCCAGCTATTTGGCAAACGAGAACAATCAGAGGATGTGAATAACAAAGAATTCTATCAAATGAGTAAAGCTTTTTGGTTGTGGCCCCGAAGAGACGGCCCTGCAATGTCTGTCTGACAGAGATTTACTTGGGGATGTCTGGCCTGAGCGACTCAACATGATCAACCTGTCTTGTTTTTTTTATCCTCTCTTTTCGAAGTACAAAACATTGGGCGGCTCAATCTAGCCACAAGACATAGTGACAATGTATAGGGAAGTCCTTGTCAGTGTGCTTGTCATAGACTTGTGATCCCTTGTCACCAGTTGAGGGAGATAAATTGACTGTCATGATGGCGGCAGGGGGCTGGGGCGAAAAACTGGTGTTTTGGACAAAACCAGCATGTTCACTACCACATAGTAGATCCCACAAACCTTTAGCTCAACCCACCCCCTTGCCCCAGAAAGTACCCCACAAAGTCTTGTCAGCTCTCCAACGAAAGTGTCTTTTAAGCCAGCTGCCACATTGGCAAGCCTCTGAGATTTTCTCTTGATTTTTGTAGCTTGTTTCTCTTGCACAACCATTCACTGGAATGCAACATTGGGAAAAACAGCTGAGCACAAATGCATGATAGGCCACTGTACCAGAATGAAAGGAAGAGATTCTGTCTGTGTATATGTACCTGTCAAGTTCTTGTATCAATTGGTTCCTTACAAGACTATCAGTTTACTTGATTTTGAGCATAAGTTGGAGAGGATGAGACGAGTAGAGAGAAGGATAATGATCAGAGAGAATTAGAGACTAGTGAAGTGATTGTATGGTAAAACAAATCATCATCATAAATAAGAATAATTTAATTCAGTAAGCTGAGAGAAAAAGCCCAAAATAAAACGATTTTACAACAACAACAACAGCAGTAGCAAGGACAATCACAAAAATCAGTAGAAAAGAGAGGCAGAATAGGGAAAAAAAAGAAATATGAAAGAAGCTGGGGTTTAGGAGGAAGATTTTTTAGGGGGAGCATTAGGCCAGACACCATCCTGGATAAATTTTTGGATCTGGTCCCGGATGGCCTCTTCGGTCATCGATGGGAACTTCAACTTGAATCCGACTACCTCCTTGACCTTCGTCCCGTCAAATGCAATGTGATTCTTCGTCAACAGTGCCCGTGGGAGGTTCGGCGTGAAAGGCGTGTTGGTGATCGGTGGAGTTGATTTCGACAACATCTCCGGCCATGGCTCGCAGTGCTGACGATTTTTGATAATCAATAATCAGCATCTTTTCTTTCGTGTCGGACTCCGGTCTAAACATGATGTGTTTCAGAGAACGAAAATCCACTTACTTTCTCGTTGACATCCTCAATCACATCGATCATGTTCAACTTGATACCATAGCATATATTAAGATAAGATCAATCAAAGCAAGACATATAAAGATTTCGAAGAGGGGAAACGTAGACGAACCTTAGCGAATTGACAGACGACTTTGTTATAGAAGCCGACCTTGACGCCGACGACTTTCTCGGCAAGGCTAGCCATCAAGCCCTGCGTAGTATCGCCGTCGTCGACGAGGTTAAAGAAGGGGGCCTTGACGACCTGGTCCCGGGCGGGCATCCCCGCGGGCAGCTCTTCCGCGTTCGGCAGCAGACAGGGGATTGGATTTGCATGCGCCTCCGCCGCCGCTCGGCCTAGCCCGGACATCCAGCCCGCTAGCGCCCATAGTCCCGCCGCAAAGTCGTGGGTGTGGATCGTGTGGAGGCGGAGATCTGATGACCATCTACGCAATCCCCCCAATCAAAATACAATCCATCAAGTTAGTTTCTTCACAGATCCAAATACACAAATCTGATTTGATGCTTCTTTCGCTCGTCTTGGCGTCGTTTGAGATGAGAGAAAGGCAGACGAACAAATGCTCCATTCGTTCGCCGATGTACTTGTAAATCTCACCGATCAATAACCGCGGGGCATCTGAACAAGATACAAACAAAGCCACATACACATCTAATTAGTCAAGAAAATTAGAGCAGAAATCTGTTTGTGGGGTGGGGGGGTTCGATTGCCAAAATCTAGTCACCGTACATCCGTCAACCGCATATGGTCCATACAGTAGAGCCGGACGAGCGACGACAATATTGAGACTGTACATTTAGGTTGAGTTTTGGAATTGATAGAGAGATTCGACAATGTGAGTATCTCCAGAATATACATTAGAGTGAACAAATGTCAAAGAGTGTGTGGGTGCTTACTCGGGCAGAGCAGCCATGGCACGTACACCCTCATGCACCCATTTGGACCGCATACTAAACGGTTTTCCCTCGCCCTCCTTGAGTGGTTTCTTGTTATCACTGTGGTAGAGCGCCGGTAGCTCGCGGATGTAGGCCTTGACGCCCATCGCGGCAGCCACCCGGCCGAGCTCGGGTAGCAGTCGACCCGTGCGCTCAACGTGCACACCCTCCTCCGCATTATAGTCTGTCTCCCCGGTGAAATCAAACACATAGTCGTACGTCTCCGATCCCCCTCCTCCGGTCTTGGTGCGATACTGCTCCGGTAACGTGAACGCTTTGCTTCGTGAACCTACACAATTCGGGGGATGCTTTAATCTTCAGGGACTACTCTTTTTTTCCCCTTTTTCTGTTGAACTTACTCGCTACTAATAGATTGGCTTGCAAATATTCCACCCCGATCGATTCTCCTGCTTTCAAGATTTTTTGACATTCTGAATCCTGTGGTTGAAAAAAAAAAGCGAAAGAATAACACCACTAATGAATTTTGCCGATCGAGGATTTTTTTCCCTTTTTTTTTTCTTTGAGAGTTTGTTACTTTTGATGAATGAATGTACCATGTATGTAGTATAAGCGTCATCCTGGGGCAAACAGAGGTACTTGTCAACCAACCTGATGTGTCTGGCTGATTGTCTATAAATTGGTAAGATCAGGTATCATGATTAGTACATTGGAAATTTCTATCAGAATGGACAAGTAAAAATAAGGGAGAGCTTCACTGGGCAGGATCTGCTATTGAGGGGACGAGAAAAGCCAGCAGGGCGCGAGCATGACCGTCTTGCAACCCGCCTGTGTGTCAGTGAGGATGGAAGATAGCATCAGTATCTCGCAGGTTTTAAATGACATCAATTAGATGGGAGTTGACTGACCCAAGATCAAGACCGACGGCTTCGTGCTCGAGGTGGATGGAGACATTCGGGAGCTGACCTGTTGTGGATGGGGATGGTTCCTTTCTTTGTAAATATTTCAAGTTGCAGTCTTTTCTTTTCTTGAGGAAGGAGTTGGCGAGATTCATGCACCCGATTAAAGTTTCAGTATTCTCACTCACTGGCTGCGAAGTGAAAAGTCAGAAACATCAAACAAAACCCCCTCAGAACACCATACACACTCCACCAGAGAGAATCCGATGGAATAATCGCCGTCTTGATATCTTGTAAGTCCATAAACTGAAACCTCAGACTCTTCACAGGCTCTCAACCAACCCGCGGATCGGACCTTCGGATATACCAGGTTCATTCACACTCGATCTCTGAAGCGTACATAAAAATAAATAACATGAGGACAACCCGAACGTGTGAACACCTGATAGAAGCTTCATCAAGCCCGATTCCGGCGCTCAGAAGGTCAAACTCAACGCAGGCACCGGCTGCTCCGGCTTGGAGCGAAAGGCGCTCAAGACGAGAAGCCTAGGCAAAATATCTGACTCCATCAAAAAACGAAGTTTTTCACCAATTGTTGATGACTAAAAGTTCGTCCCAGATATTGTGAGAATATGTATGCAAATACTTAAACAAACTCTGGTTGGTTTCTTTGTTGTTCAATAATTCCTACCAAAACTCAAACGCTGGTATCTAGCTATGTGGAACGAATTACATCTCCCAGACGATTTGTAAGGGATACGCTAAGCTTGAGACTTTGTCTGCTTTACTTTTCAGTGTGGCACCGCGGCTTGCAAACATCAAGATTTTAAGCGTGATTTATTCAAATAGTAACAAAAGATAATAAATCGCAGGGACAGAAGTTGATCATTAGGCAAGAAACAGATTAGGATTTTCGAGTGGCGGTAGATAAGTGGATTAGGGAAGAAAGTGTCAAGTGGAGAGTGAGCAGGAAAGTAACAGAGATTATCAATCAGATTAGTGGAGAAAGTATTAGGTGAAGGATGATGAAAAAATTAAAAATTAAAATGATATTAGTGGAGGATGTATTAAATGAAGAATGAGTAAGAAAGTAGCAGAAAATATCAGTCAGATTAGTGAGAGGGTGAGTAAGTAGATAGGACAAGAACAGTATCATTAGATTGCAACAGATAGTTTCGTGAATGGATAGGTGAAACGAGATATTAAAGTGAAGAGAAAAAGGTATTAGGTGTGAAATAAAATAAATGGTTTTGATCAGAAGTAAGGCCTAGGAGTGTGAGAATGTAGACGCTCAAGACTTTTGAGCAGGTCTCCCGAAGGTGTCCTTGAAGCTCTGAGAGATCTTTTTGCGGAGGGACTGGTGGCCTGAACGAGGATGGTCTTCAGCTTTGGGGACTCTCAATGAAGGAGAGAGGGAGTTGAGGTTGGAGGGTGGGATGAAGAGTCCGGCTGATGATAGGGCCCCAAAGTTTTGACTGGAGTTGCCCAAATCAGAATGGGTGTACATGCAGAACGGTGCTTCGATGGGCGAGTCGCCAAAGTAGCTTTGAGTTTCTTCTCTAGTCATCGAACACGACTCGATCTCCCCTTGAGGGTGCTCTGATTGCTTTCCAAAGTTGTAGGTGTTCAGGAAAGACGGCGAGGCCATTTCGGAAGAAGGTGTGGGACTGAGGAGGTCGATAGGCTTTTCAAATCTGATCCAGGAGGAGTAATCCTCCTTTGAAAACCTGTTGTTTTCCGGAGCCTCCCAGTATGGGGATTGTCCTTGTCCCTGTGATGACTCCAAGTGGTAGCCAATCTGTTTTCGAAACATGCAATTTTGTTGGTCAGATTTTTGGAAGCAAGCAAAAGATACAAAGCGCATATGGTCACTGACTGAAGAAGTTGTTTCAATCCCTCTTTCCATCTTCGAGGAAGCTGCGTAAGGCTGCAGTGACTTGGCCCTTTGTCTGGGTGAGAAGAGGTAGGTGACGTCCTGGAGAGAGAGAGAGAGAGAGTTTGGTTAGAAGATGGTAATTCTTTTCGAGATAGATAGTGACAACTTACTGCATCGCTTTCTGGAGAATTTGGCTCATCCAAAATCGGACTCAGGTTAAGTTGACCGTTGAAAGCTGCTTGGAAATCTGAAGATTCCACGATGCTCTTGATATCTTCGCACATGATGAGTTGCTCCATGCTGCGGCTGGAGTAAGAAAGACGCTGACTGGCCACTCTGTAACCTTGACTGGAGGAGTTTGTGCTCGAGCTGGTCTTTTGGTAGTGGTATGAATGTGGTTTGAGTAAGGATTGTCCAGTCGCCGCGCTTTTCGTGTTGGCCATCAGAGCGCTCTGATTGGTCACGATTCGGATATCTTTCCTGGGGGAGTTCTGCTCCGGAGAGGTGTGGACCTCACGGAAAGTTTCCACAAGGATTTGGGAGTTGGCGGTCGTAGTTTTTTCACGTTTGCCTCGAGTTGACCATCCGTTTCCCATCATGACTTCATCGGAGTCTGAATCCTCAGATGCGTTTGAGATAGGATCACTGGTGTCGAGTAAGAAGGAAGCCCGGTGGTTTGCGAATGGGCTGGCGATGTTGGACAGAAGCCCGCTGGCTCGACGGATAAGACTTTTCTCTGCGGGCACAGACATACTAGGGGAGTTTTGCATATTGCTGGTTGGTGATGTGAAGCGGTGTTTGCTGCTTGGGATGGAATGACTATTGGGAAGTTGTGTCGGTTCGAATGGTTGTCCGGTATGAAGGAGATGGAGAAGGAAGTAGGTAGAAGTAGAAGGCTCTGGAGTGTGATGGGAATTTGATTTGACAGCCGAAAGGGCCTCTTATTTATAGGCGTTTGGTTAGGTGGGCAGTTGGCTACAGAAGCAGCACAGGAGATATTTGGCGGGGTACCTTACCTCCCAGAGAGATGGCAGGATGAACATCAACCTGGACTGGACCACGGCTTGCGGGACCGGCAAGCCAACTCATCGGCCGCCTGGGAATGAATTGCAAGAAGAGAAGGCGGGTACTCGCGGCCGGGCCAATAAGACTTACGACCAGAAACCTGGGCCGATTTAAGCCTTTACTCCGACTCTTTGGATCGGTCAGGCTCACGGATGGGCTTGAATAAAGATGGCGGGTAGTAAGTATTTAACACGAAATGACTGGGACACAGCTATGCTGCAGTATTGTCGGTCCAACCAATTGGTGCCTGGTTGCAAATTGGCCACAATCGCAAACGCGATGGAAGTCCCAGCTCATGAATCCTGCCGCATGTGTCGAAGCTCAGTTTTTCAGGGTTCAAGGTACCGTCTGCGTCGGAATCCAGTCGACCAGTCATACTGGCCCAGCTAACAATCTCCCAGCTCGTGATGTTATGATCCTCCTCAAAGGGAAGAATCCGTTAAATACTTGACTGAGTGCAAGGAAGCGCCAATTGCTTCCAGCGCTCGTTTATGTGCTCCTGACAGAGGCAAGTGTGCCCGGAATTCGGGCTTGAAGACTAGGACCTGTCTCTCTGCCGAGCTCCTTCAAGCAGAACTTGGGAATTCCTTGCTTCTTCCACTAAGGTGACCGTGACGCCCATACTGTTTGAATTGAAGGCACGCGACACTCTGACGTGGAAATATAATTGCACATTCTGGCCAAGTTAGCACTTCACAAATGGGCAGGGGAGAGGAAAGGTGTATTCGAAGTGAGGTGGAAGGCGGGATTCAGCGCGTGTTGCGGGGTCTGTTTCCTTAGACAACCGTTCAGAATTCGCTGGGACTGATGTCAAGCAAGATGATTCCATTTTATAATGCTGATGATATTCAACAGTGTCCAGTGGACAGAGCAATGCTAGGAATTGCTGCTAATCAGCTTGTTTCATGGCTCTAGCAGCATTCAGTTTCTGGTCTGAGGCTTGTTGAATCAATTCAAACTGAAGGGGGGAAGGGGAAAAGAAAGATAACGAGACCAAATTGAAAACAAGCGTATCAATGAAAGAGTAACATCATAGGTGATAGGAGGTAAGATGATAAGAAACTGACGAAAAGAGTTACTGACGTTCAATATTAATTCGTGGTTAGCAATGGCGAGGCGGTTATCGATTCGTTTGTAACTTTGTATGGCGCAGCTCATTGCTGGTGGCTATCCACCGCTGCTCCCAATAGTTGAATGATAGTTTCTAGAGCTGAAGGTGTTGCACAATTAGTAGCTGTGTCATTAACGAGTGCCAAACCGCTTTGCCAATGTGGTTCCTCGGGGAAGGAAGAGTGCAGCAAAAAGATACAAATAAATCACATTTTGGCACACAATCTGCGCTGAATATGTGCATCATACAAAATGGGAACTGCGCTTCGTCACTTGCCTCCAGTGAACCAATGGTACTTTTATGTGAGCAAAGGCTCAATCCGAGGGGCAGATTTTCAATTAAGATTAGATCCACCGTGGAACTAGCATAACTGGCTTTTGATTTACCATGAAACGCTTCTTGCGAATCTCAGCAGTTTTTCTACCTCAGCTCTTCACCAGTCTGGTTAAGTCCGGAGGGCCACCACGGGAGCCATGTTCAGTGGAACAGGCGGAGATCTGTAAGGATAATCATAAGTTGAGTCGCTTCGCGTCAACTGAGTATCTATGGATATGCTACTCATCGGCAGCCATTATGGTTTGGGTCAAGTTGGTAAACCAAGTGACATCTCCTTCTGACACCTTCTGTTTCTGTGTTGCCGGTGCGCATTTCTCAAGATCCCAAGTGTTCCAGTTGGATCAAAGGAAGCACCCCCATGGCCAAGGATTCGGATCATCTAATGGTTGGTCTTAATCTGTCGTTTTCCTGTCGGTCTCAATGTGCTAATCAGATTTTGTGTACCCTGACAGATGTCGAGGAACCGCTTTCTGGCGGTGTGGCCTCTGATTGGAACCTAGACCTATCATTACAGCATGGATATGAGCCAATCTCATTGAAGACCCAGATACGTGAAATCGACTTTTTGGGTGAGCTGAGTAGTTTGACTTGGGTCTATTATAGTGAAATCTGCATAGTCTCCTCAGATGAGCGAATGATGTGTTTTGACTGCAAATGAATTGAAATTCACAAACCGTGTTAACCACAGGAATGTTGACGCAGAAATCGCTTGACCATCGGGAGAAAAACAACGCAGGGGATTCTGAAAAACAAGAATATGAGACAAAGGGTTCTCACTACTTGGAGAAAGATGACATGGGTGAGGAAGGTTTCTATCAAAATTCATGGATTTTCTTTCTCAAATAATGGTGCTCATAGTCAAAAACAAATGGAATTGACTATCTTGAAAACTGATAATTATTGACAAATCAATTTTTCACCCCAGATAACAAGATTGATCTATCTCTTGGTTTGCCTGTAACAAATTCACAACCCAAAAGTGAAAGACCGAGGTTTTCCAACACGTCTTCAGTATTCGAGTCTAGGAAGAGATTTGAGGCTGAATGGTACTGTACCCATAGTCAGTCTGAAAAAACAGTTGTTGCAGTTTTTTTTATATTTTTAAAACTTAGTTCCCAGAAATACTGACTGAGGTCAACACACTCGGTGGCCACTGAAGAAAATCCGGTTGTTCATATTCCTTCAGATCATTCAAACCACAAAAAGAGGAAACATAGGAATTTTTTCACAGACCCAATTGCTGAAGCTGAGAAGATATCATACAACCAAGGTCAAGAAACAGAAAAAAGCCATTCAAACAGTCAGTACTTCTCAAAGAGTTCAATTTGTATGAGACTTGTACATGGGCTCAGATGTTGGTTTTCCTTCTAAAAAACTTTACTTCTTGTTAACATCTTTAGTTTATCATAAAAAGAAACTTCCTCAAATGAGAAATAATGGATTGAATGCAATTGAAGAAGTTCAAACTTTGAAAGATTCAGATTTGGATGGATCCTTAAAAGTAGCAAAGTCTATCCAACCTTTGAATCCAATTGATGGGTCAACTTCTTTTGAAATAATTGATTTCCACCAAAAAAACAAAGGGGAAGCTTTGAAAACTGGGAAGCATCAAAATAAAACAAAAGTATTCAACATGAAACATGGTTTTTTTTTGGCTGGACTATCTGAAATTGAACACACTGAAAAAATTTGGGGATTCATTTTGGGAGTATCACAATATTTAGCTAGTTTAGAAGATCAAATGTTGAAGCTTGAAAATGACGAGATAATTTCACAACTCAATAAGAAACTCAAGAATAAAATTGGAGGCAAATTACCCCAAGGAACACTTGATTCTAATCATATTGATGAGAACTTATCAAATTTCTCCCATATTCTATGGTTTATCAACCTGAGATTATTGAGAACTTTAGGAAAAGTTGTTGATGCAGAAGAGCACTTTTTGTTTTACATGTGGATACTTGAATTGTTTGAGGATGAGAATATTTCTTCATTGATTTCTATCTTGGAAAATGAAAAGGAGGGTAAAATGGAAACAATTACACATGAAGATCATCCATTAAATCTCCTTGTTCAATTGATCACTTCAAAGCATAATAATGAACCATTCTATTTTTTTGAAAGGACATATAGAGACAAAAGACCAACAAAGAAGAATTCCTACACCATCTCATATGGTGCAATGTCAAAGAAACAGCTCTTGATGACCAAAACCATAGTGTGTTTATTGGCTTCTTACTATCAAGCAACCAATTCCACAAAGTGGGAGAAAATATTTCGGGATAATAAAGGATTCTTGAACCACTTGGAAAGAATACAAACAAGTTTTATTTATTCCAGATTGCAATTTCAAGAAAGAAAAGGGGAAAAAATGTCTTCATTACACCTACTCCCATGGAAACCTAAATTTGATATTGGAATTCAAACAGAAAACATAGAATGGACCAAATATTTCAGTAGGAAGTCAACAGCCAATTCAGACATGCTGTTGAAGAATGCATCAGACTATAAATATCAGCTAAAACGGTCAAGTATTACTGAATTGATAACTCCACCATTTAATGAAAGCATCACTATGGCTTTCAATAGGTGGAATGATATAATAAAAATGGTTTTTATTCATGATATTCATACTATAGCAGCAAGAAAACTTTGCATGAATAAATACAGATCTGAAATACAGAATTGGGATCAAAATCACCTTTACAAATTCAAAGATACTGGTAATTCAACTGAAAAGACAAACCTATTTGTCATTTTGAATGAAATGGAAAGGTTTTTGAAATTGATGTGGGGACTCAATTCATTATTAATCCAGTCATTTGGTTACAAGGCAGATGATCCTGGTTGTCTGGAAGAGCAAGAAAATCTTCAAAAAGAATTCTTCTGTATTCTTAACCTTTCTAAAACTTTGGATGAAAGTAAATTTGAAAATAAGACAAACCAGAAAAGAAATGATAAAGAGCAAGATTTCAAACTGCAAAAATTGATTATATTATCATTAAAAACATACAGAAACAGAAAGCTATATCAGTACGGAACTTCATATCAGAAAGAATCATTTACAGAAGAAGGACTCAAGGCAATGGCAGCTATTGCAATGATGTCTCATTATTACCAGAAAACCAACCCAGAAAAATGGGCAACTATATTTGTAAATGAACCTAATTTCATCAAATCCTTTGAGAACATACATTCTGGTATCATGAATGGCCTTCATTACAGTAAAAACTTTCTCAAAGAGGGTGCAAATAATCTGTTGATTTGTAGATTGATTCCTTGGAAAAATCCTTTCAGTACCAACAAATCTCAAAGAAGATCTATTGATCGACTTGTGGGATGATTATTTGGAATAGATCAAATGGGGTAAGCAATATTACCATTTTGTTTGAGATAAGCTATGCTTTTATTAGAATTGTCCAGTTGTTTTGGAGAAATTGACAGAATTCTTAGGATTTGCCACAATTTTATCATCTTTCCTATGGTATTTCATTTAGATATATTTTTTCATTTCTCAAGTGCTGTCCCATCTATAAATCTATCACACATTTTTCTGTGTCATTCTTTTGGGACTTCATTTGTACATGAAGAGAACTTATTTGCATAGGCTAATAACAAAAAATTCAAAATTTGGCCTAAATTCATACTTTTTCCAATGCCATTGATGGATTCTACCTTTTCTTCCTACCCTTCTACTCAGGCCCGTGCAGAATGCTCAGTAAGTTTCAGTCTGTCCAATTATCTACTTTGATAAGATAAGCCTTTCATCTGTTTCATATGTTAGCAGTGGAAAATTTAAGGCTCTGTTTGGCAGTCCATGATATCATAAAATCTCATAGGAAACTCCTGCAAATCTTTCCGGGGTACCACATTTATTATTGCAAGTGAAAATTGTGTTTGGCTGGTCACACTACAACACCAAAAATCCACTGTAATAAGCAGATGATTGTCTAGCTTTGTGATAGTTGGTTTACGGTTTATCAACCTTATATATTCTGATTATCCGGATTTACATATTTTTTTCTTATGATATAATGGACTGCCACATGGAGCCTAAGATTGTGGCTGGAGAAAATGATAACATTAGTGACAGATTATATCGCAAATGTGAAAATCTATTCTGATGGCCAATTGGAGCTGGAGATTGGCAGAACGTCAAAAAATCTCGGCTGGAAACAAAGCGAGTAGATGGTAGCGACGAAGGTATTTTGTTGGCACGGGGAACTCTTGAGGAGCCGAATGGACGAGGGCTTTCACGGAAACAGGTGGCTGAGCGCGTCAAGGCCCTCTATCTCAGCTCCAGCTGAGCTACGTCGGCGTCATACATGCCCATCGGCCCGGGCCTTCTGTCCCCATGCTCGAGATCGTTCGCGCGTTAACTTATCTTCTCGATTAGGGGTTCGCCCTTCATTGGGGCACCAGAAAATGGAGCGGTCAACAGATCTAGGAAGCTGTCACCGTCGCTGAAAAGCTCGTTCCCGTGGTTGAATATGCGAACTTGACCACCACGCGGTATGTCAAGTTTGCAATTGAGCCTTACTTTCGGGCAAAGTCCTTGCCGACTTTGTCAAGTTTGCGATCCAGGACTATGTCTGCCTTCAAGTCCTCGCGGATTTTGTTAATCTTGCAACCAAGGACTTTGCCCGCCTTTGGGCGCAGTCCTCGCAAATTTTGTCCAGTTCGTGATCGAGGACTTGACCCACCTTCTGGTCAAGTCTTTACAGACTGTGCCAAGTTCGCGATGGAGGACTGCACCCGGTTAACCAGTATGAACCCGCCAGCTTCGGGCACAGTCCTCGTGGATTTCGCCTCGCGAGCGGGAACTTCCCCCCCTTCGGGCACAGTCCTCGCGGAATTCGTGAAGTCCGTGAGGACTTGGTCAAGCTCGCAATGGAGGACTCTACCCGCCTTCGGGCAGATTGCGGGCAAAGTCCGTGCGGAATATCAAGGTCACGATGGAAGACTCTGGGCACAGTCTTCGCGGACTTTTTCAAGTTCGGGACCGAGGAGTTTCTTCGATCGCAAACTTGGCAGAGTCCGCGATGATCTTTCCCGCCTTCGGGTCAAAGTCTTCCTTTGCGGATTACTCGCGGGCGGTAAAGTCCTCGCTCGCGAACTTGGCAAAATCGGCGAGGACTGTGCCCAGATACGGGTACTGGTGTAATCCTTAATCGCGGACTTCGTGGAGGATAAATTCGTCAGTCGCAAAATTGTGCCCAAAGTTGCTCCATCGCAAACTTAAAACAGTCCGCAAGGAACTGACCCAAAGGCCGTCCGGTCGCGAACTTGACAGAGTCCGCGAGCACTTTGCCTGTGATAGCGAACTTGGCAAAGTCTGCGAGGACTGTGCCGGAAGGCGGGTAGAGTCCTCCTTTGCGAACCTAAGAGCATCTCCACCGGGGGGACTAAACCGCGGGACTAAACTACATTTAGCTACCCAAACCTGATTTAGCTTCTCCACCGGAGGCCCTAAATGGGGTTCTAAACCAAGAAAATCCGTTTCGGGCCCTACACCATTCCTACATTTAGGACCACATAGCACCCCATATAGATCCTCTGCTTCACATTTCACACATGTGATATTCCACACTCCTCCAAACACAACCCCCGATATCCACCCCATATCTATTGTCGGTACCATATCAATCAACTACCCCTGCCTCCAACCAATCTCAACTCGCTCGCTATGGCCAACAACAACGAGGTACGTGATGACGATGAAAACATTGAAATTGGTGAGTTCCTATTTTGATCCCTTCATCATTAACACATCTTCGATTTCTAACTATATTGCACTACCGATTAACCAACTCAGTCACACCCGGAGCCCCCAAGGAATCCCAAGATAAGTCGGGCGAGGAGAAGAAAAAGGCTCCAAATTATACTGAACCGGAGGACTACGAGTTGTGTCGAGCCTGGGTTCAGGTCTCCGAAGACCCCGCCGTCGGGACAAATCAAGAGGGGAGTACCTTTTGGCAACGCGTCTGGACAGTCTATCGTGAAGCAGTACCTTCTCCAAAACGACCAGTATCCAGCTTAAAGAAACGGTGGAGCAACAATCTGCAGCCCGCTATCAACAAATTCCGTGGTATTGTTCACCAAGTCGAGGGGTTCAACGAGAGTGGGGCATCAGTAGAGGATCAGCTCAACCGAGCCCTTCGGCTGTACACCCAAGACCAGGAGACACACTTCAAGCACCTCAGATGCTACAATCTACTTGTTAAGAGTCCGAAATGGAACTCCTACTGCCGCGATAGTAATCAAAAGGAGACCGGGAAGAAAAAGCGAGCCCGAAGTCCTAGTAGCGAAGCACCTCAATCACAACTTGCGTCCACACTGGCACCATCCGATCCCGTCTCTGACTTTGAAGGCACTGGGTCGACTCCATCAATGCTAGAGCGACCAATTGGCAAAAAAAAGGCGAAGATGATCAACCAACTTGCTGCCAAAGATCAAACCTGGAAAGACGAAGTTTCAGCGGCTCACAAACAGATTGCCCTGGAATCCAAACGACTAAACGATATCTTTGCCCACGATTCAACCTCCATCGATCGCATCTCGGGGAATGGGACGACTGCTTCTGAGCTCGCCATCATGACTACAGATCTTACAGGTCTTGATGACGAGCAGAAGGAATACTTTCGGCTTAAAAGGGCTTCTATTCTCCAATCGCTCCGTAATCAACAGAACTCCAGTAACAACTAGGCATCCTTTTCTTTTTCTCTCCCTCTACTTGCTTGTTTTTCTTTCTTCATCTGAAACCGATTGACTGTCAACGCCTCCATCAATACAAATCTCTCACTGTTTTTCATGTTCATCTCTTAGGATAACCAATCAGTTGTGTTTTCTCTTCATCTCATATGACTCGCGCAATCAAATGTTGAATACTATTCAGATGAATTGCAATCAAACTCGAGCACAAATACAAGAATTCAAGTAATTAAGAACAAGAAAATGTGAGCTCAGAAACCAGTTGAAGTCATTCCTCTTGTTGACCTTTGATCTCCCATTGGTGCTTGATGATGTCATTGCGCAACTGAAAATGAGTAGCCGAGTCTCTCATCGATTGGAAATTATCGATGAAGTCGGCAAAAGAGATTGAGGACCCATCTCGCAAGACATCAACTGGTGTGATGATGGCACCAGCGGGGGCATCGTCGTAGGCATAGTCTAGATATGCCCCTCGTTCATCCTCCACAATCATATTGTGGAGGATGATGCATGTCTTCATGATACTCTTGAGGTTATGATGCTTCCATCCTCGCGCCGGACGAGAAACAATAGCAAATCTCGCTTGAAGCACACCAAACGCCCGCTCCACGTCTTTTCGTCTGGCTTCTTGAAGTCTTCACATAGTGTCTCTGGTCGGCTCCGCGGGGCTGCGACAATGTCTTGACAAATTGTAGGCCAATCAGGATAGATTCCATCGGCAAGGTAGTAACCTTGCTTGTATTCGTTTCCATTGATTGTGTATTCGAACTGAGGTGCTCGACCGTGTAGTAGATTCTGAAATAATGGCGATGTATCGAGGACATTAATGTCATTATGTGATCCTGGCATGCCAAAGTAGGCATGCCAGATCCACATGTCGTGCAATGCCACAGACTCAAGAATGACTGTTGGAGTCTAGAAAAGGAGCCGGTTAGTGGATTAACAGAGAATCATGCAGAGTGAGATGATCTCACCTTTTCTTTTCCTTGGAATTGTCCTGCCCAGCCAGACGGACAGTTCTTCCACCGCCAGTGCATACAATCAAGTGACCCAAGCATACCTGGGAATCCTCTTTTGGCACCTTCAGAAAGCAGTCGCTCCAAGTCGCCCGTGGTTGGATGTCGAAGATATTTGTCCGAGTAGATGGCTACAGTTGCATTGCAAAATCTATCCATGCATTCCAGTGATGTTGACTCGGCTAGTTGAAGGTATTCATCGTTACAGTCGGCAGCCGCTCCATACGCAAGCATCCGTAGGGCCGCAGTGATCTTAACCAGGGGCCTCACCCCCAATTTCCCCAATGCATCGGCTCTGAGAGTAAAGTATTCATCACAATTTTCAACAGCCTCGGCGATCTTCAAGAAAAGGGGCTTCGCCATTCGAAAGCGGCGCCGAAAGAGTGATTCATCGTAGAGAGGACGTGCACAAAAATAATGCTCCATGAGCCTCTGATAGCTGCCTTCAAAGTCGCGGGGGCGGTTGGGCTGTTTTCCTGGCTTGGATCCACCATGTGGAGGAAAAAGTGAGTCATCGATGTCTTTGTCTTCGTCATCAAGTAGCAGAGGCATGATCTGGAGGGCGGTATTGATTGTTGTTCTGAACCGTGCTAGTAGTTGCCTTCGTCGGATCAAAATGCGCAGGAATTCTGGGTCGACCTCCATGCTAACTGTGTTGAATGAGGATAGCCAAGGTTTTGTGTGGTGTGCCTACACAATTGGCCGATGGAGCAATAGGGGGAATCGGGGGCATGCCCTTTCACACCCTCAAGGTGCTACTTTGAGACCTTGCGGTGTAAAAGAGCAAATGAGTGGGGTTCTAAATTATGCGCCGCAGTTGGCCGAGTTTGATATTTAGGGACTCGGATAGTCCTTTGCGGTGGAGTTGCTCTAACCGCGGGCAGGACAAAATCCACAAAGACCTAGTCCGAAGGCGGGTGCCGATAAAGTCCTCGCTTGCGAGTTTGGTCAAATCGGTGAGGACTATGCCCAAAGGCGGGATAAGTCCTTGCTTGCAAACTTGTCGGAGCCCTCAAGGACTGCCGGAAGGCAGGAAGAAAAGTCCTCGGTCGCAAATGTGACAAACCCCGCAAGCCGCTCGCCCACACCTCACCATAGAGTCCTTACTAGCAAAATTTGTGAGGACAAATTGATCAGTTGAATTAAAATTGAAAGAGTCCGCAAGAACTTGACCAGAAGGCGGGCAAAGTCCTCAATCACAAACTTGACACACCATGTGGTTGTCAAGTTCACATATGATTGCTATCTGAGCCTCACTACCATTGCCAGTCTATAGGTTAAATCAAGTGATCAGTTGATTCACCATCCAGTGATCCTCACCAAATCTTAAAACTGAAAATCATATGAGTGTTTTAGCTCTGGAGCCATGATATCGCTCTCTTCCTATACATACCTACTCAGGGTTGGCTGCCACAAATTATACATACTCATGACACAGTAACAAATGTGTCAGATAAAAACTAATACTGTCATTCAAGGTCCAATTGCCACTCTACATGTGTCTCATCCTGAGTCCATTCCAAGCACATACTGTATCTGGATGGTAAAAGTTCCTAAATCTTGAATCTTTTGTTGATCTGATATTCTGAATGAATTTCCCTCCAGATTGATTGCAGGTCTTGAAATCGGTCAAGGCTTTGGTTTTCAGATGTTTTTAGTTTTATAAGGGATGGAAAAAAGATGAGCTAAGAGGACTCAATCATTCAAGATGTGGATCTCACAGCACACTGAAAGCCTTACCCTAAAATCTTCAAAATCTTTATATCTCTTTGAAGTTTGAACACATTTTCCAAGATTTTGGTGAAAATACTTTCAGTATTACTATTTTTAATGATATTGATCAACCTGCGGCTATAATCCAAGTCAACAGTAGGCCTAGTTCCTGGAACAGTTGATTCCCCACCAGTTTTCACAAAGGGAAATCATGCTCATAATTGAAGATAGGGTGACAAAGAATCACATTCTATTGGGCTTTCATTGTTGTGATTGCCTAAACAAAAAGCAAACTGTTTATGCCTGTGTAGATGTCACTTCTGCTCACCATAGTGAGAGTAAGAATGTCGTTTCTTTTTTGCAACCACCCCATCATCTTGCCCCTGCTCTCTCCTTCTGCTTTTTAGTGATATATTCTTTTCCTTTTCCCATTATCCCATTGCCTTTCTTTCTCATTTTTTCCCCCTCATCTCCCTTGGTATCTTCTCTTTAGGGTATTCCATCTTCACGAAGAAAATCAAGCTTGATACCTAATGAAGAACATGTTGTATACATAAAGCTACAAAAACCAATGAAAGACTATCTTGCTAATTAACTTACTCTTTTCTTCCAACGGTATTGTTATTCCCTTCATGTTGTAAGGGAAATGATTTGGATGTGTCTCGCTGCCGCAAAGGCAAGACATGTCACATGCGTGTACAGGCTTCGACAGGCCCCGATATAAGCATATCGATTGAGTATGCTTGTAGCCAGTCACCCTCTAAAATCATCCCCCCTCCAAAATTTGACATCCTCATTAAACTCGATCTTCCACCCAAATCCCTGGTAAAGTCAAAGTATCAAACTTCAGACAATTACATATTGCTATATGATACTCATATCTGACTCCTTGTCACCGCACGAATCCCACAGGAACCTCGCCGTCGTCGTAATCTGCAACGTGTTGAAGGAAGCTACATCCTCGTCATCATAATATACATTGGGTCTGGTGGGGGAAGAAGAGTTGAAAGTGACGCGAGCACGAGATGAGCCTGCATCCCATCCACGATGATGATGATGAGGAGGACGAGGCGACCCCACTGCTCTCGACTGACAAGGATCACTTGGGAATACACCAACTCATCCATCGAATCCGGTTTGACTTGCTCACTCTGATTGGTTAGTAAAGCAAAACCATCTCAATAGATCCCCCAGAAGATATCCACATAACTAACCAGACACTTGACCATCTAGATACCCCACTCTCAACCGAACAACTCACCTCGCCTGCAATCACCTTCTCCATCACCAGACCACTCGAATTGACCTACTTCAACCTAGCACACCATGCCATCATCTTCGCACTACTCGTCAATCGAGTCCAATTTATCACTGACTCAACCCATGCACTCACCCTGCACTCAGTCAATGCAACCAGAGCATCACTCTGCGAGATCCTAGCCACCAACATCCTCAGGAGGGTTCACGAATCAGATCTCCACTCATTCCAACCATCCAGCTCAAGATCAAAATCAACCAACACCACCACCACCAGACATACCGTCAATCAGAAACTCACCCCAGAGGAAGAAGAAGCTTGTCTACTCAAATCTGCTAACGTCCTCGCAACCGCCTTCAGTCCATTCGAAGGCGCACCCACTCAGGTCATCTCCTTCCTAGAGGCTGACTGGGGTTCCTCCGATGCTAAGAACGTACTCTCCAGACAATCTAATGCACTCGAGATGGCCATCGTTAGTGAAGCCAAACAATTCATCAGAAGCCCTGCCTGTCAAAGGGTCATTGGTAAATGATTAAAATCAATCTATTTCTCATAAACATCCCCCCCAAAAAAAAAAAAAAACTTATCATCATCCTTGTTTTTCAGATGCCATTTGGTCAGGTAAGATCGTCTACACATCCACCGCCATCGTTGATATCCTCTCCGATCGATACAAACATCGACCCGTCTCCCTCTACAATCCACGCAATGCGCCCTTACTGAACCATTATCGACTGACCGTGCCCCGTAATCGAGCCGCCCTCGAATACTTCCACTATGCCGTCCTGATCTGTTCCTATGTGGCCACACTGCAGACCCGCCAACTAGAGAAGATGAATGGGTTTGAGATCTGGTTTAATATCTTCACCGTCGGCTTTGCGGCCGACAAATTAGGCTCGATCCTCGAACATGGGTGGTTGGTCTTCATCGCCAACCTCTGGAACGGGTTCGATGCGGCCTTCATCCTCGGCCATACGGTCTATCTAGCACTCAGGATCACCGGCTTAGTCTATCTCTCTCACTACGAATTAGACTCTCATTGGCTCAACGAACAGTCCCATCAAGTCTTGTCTTGTCTCGCCATCCTCATCTTCCCCAGATTGGCCTTCATCACCCTCTCCGATAACATCCTCATCCTCTCACTCAGATCTATGCTCAGTGATTTCGTCTTCCTCATGCTCCTCGGCGCTTGGTGCTTCCTTGGCTTCGGCTATTCTCTCTACTCTCTTCAAAGGGGTAAGGTTGAATTCGGTGAACAGGCTCCTTACTCTTTGGGTGAGATCGCCATTTGGATGGTCTACATCTTCTTCGGTCTCGACGCCACCGGAATCTCAAATGCTCACGAGTTTCATCGCATCTTGGGTGAGTAAGAATTCTGCCCCTCCCTTTTGAAAGCAAACTCACGCTCTTTACAATTCTAGGACCCGCGATTTTTATAATATATGCTTGTCTATCTAACACTCTACTAGGTATTCTTCATAATCTATCAGTCGATTTATGTTTTTGAAATCACTGACTCTGAAAGATCGATCTAGTTACTGTCCTGGTCTCCATCCTGTCGAAGATTTTCAGTGATATCTCGAATGATTCGATAGCCGAGACGCTGTATAGGAAGGCGGTCTTGACCTTCGAGGGAGTCAAGTCGGACGCGTTATTCTCCTTCCAACCCCCGTTCAACATTCCAGCGATGATGATCCTGATTCCATTGAAGCCGTTCCTGACTCCGCGCAAGTTCCATACCGTCGTGGTGTTTCTTTGTCGGATGTTCGGATGTCCGGTACTCCTGACGATCAGTTTTTTTGAACGATACGTTGTGGGGCCGTTCGACAAGGACAGGAACTCGGTCGGGAACTCGCTCAAACTGACAGTCGCCAACAGTCTGGGAGGCTTAGCCCTGAACCATTTCAATTCGATCATGAAGGGGAACAGTCCAGCGGGCGCGACAGGCAGGAGACGGACGACGATGTCCAAGATGTCTTCGCGCATCTCGCGAAACTTGCGCAAGTTTGGTGGCCTGGCGGTCATCAATGCCTGTTTCGATTATGAGCCCTATCCGCCGGTACAGAATGACACGGATGCCCAGGAGGCTGAGGACCAACTGACCCTTGTCCGCGACCGCAAGGTCTCCTATGAACGTCCGCTTTATCAGGAGCCCGAAGAGCTCGGACATAACGACACCGTACGGAAGAAGAAACCCAGCTCGCCTGTACAATCATCTAGCGTCGGCATCCAACCCTCGGATCTTGAGAACGGTACGTTGCGGAAGGCCAAGCAGGCCAGCACAACCGGCCAGCCAAGTCTTGACTCGAAGATGAAACACGCCCCTACTTTTGGTCCACTGGGCCCCACTCCTGGCAGAGATTTGACGACCTTGGAGAAGTTGTTCTTGCCCCATGCGGGCATGGTGTCTTCATTTGTGGGTCCGGTCCCGACGGTGCCGGTGGTGCGCACGGAAGAGCCCAGTGAGCCGACTGCCAAGCCGCCCGAATTGACTAAGCGGGAGGAGGGATCTGATTCGGACTCATCCTCATCGACGATCGACGAGGAGCGTTGTTCGCGGCCGACCTCTGACCGGCCCGGGCCGCCCCGGACTTCCTCGACCCTTTCCTCCCGGCCAACCACGATGTATCTCGACCCGCCTCGGACGTCTCTCGGCGGGAACCATAAGCCGGCTTCGATCATCCAGGACGAGTTCGAGGAAGAGAGGCTGGAGCGTCGTCGACATGGCAGGAGAAGGAGGACGACCACCCGACGCTCCGCTGGCGGATCCTCCTCCGACCTCGACGTCCTTCATATCGCCGCCCGCTCATCTAGACATAGTCTCATCGACCATTCTTCTCTGCTCGATGATCATGATACTCAGGAAAGCTTGAATGCCCGCAGAAGTAATAGGAATGAGGATCGCTTGCTGCTCGTCTCTCTCTCCGAACTCGAGAAACTCCTCCAATCTCACTTCCATAATCTCGAACTCAAACTCGCCTCTTCTCTCAAAAATCATCTCTCAAATCTTCCTTCCCATCTTCCTCCTCCTCCTACTTCTTCTTCGTCTGCCACTTCATCTTCTGCTTCTGCTACGCCTTGTCCTTCTGAGACTCATTTGACTGTTACTCCTCCGGATCCAGCGCCTATACTCGATCATCTTTGACCCTTCTCCTCTTCTTCTTCTTAATTCTATCCCCCCCCCCACTTTTTTTTTCTTAATATTTGTAAGCAAAAAACTCTCTTTGGTTGTTTTCTTTCTTCGTTACTTTACTTGTTGACGCATACTTATACGATTAGACTTTTCCTTCCTTACAAAAAAAAATCAGACGTCATGTTGTACAAAAGTAGCAAAAAAAAAAAACTTATCTGGTTTACGTATTTATTTATGTGTTTTTTTTTTGTTATTGATTACAACGAAGTGTGGTTTCTTTCAATCGTCTTAATCAGCCAAGCTTATTATATCATCAATTGAGGACTCTCGATGAGATGATTTTGTTTGTTTTGTTTGCCCGATCTTGTGATAAAAAAGTGTTTATATGAAATCTTTCTTGTGATCAGTATGTTGTACATAAATAGAGACATAGCAATCACAATAACCAAGACAACAAAAGTAAAAAAAACTTTCATTGGTGTTTGGTTTTTTGGCACATGGTACTCGAAGTAATCTCGAAGTTGTGAAGCTTTCGGACAATGCCGCGGGATCTCGAAACTGTGCGGGAACAGCTCCCTGGCTACTCTCCATTCCATGTGCCTCTTAACGATTGCGTGCATCCTCTTGGCTCACCATAACTTGTCTGTTGTTTACGTCCCTATGCCTGGGGTGTGGATTTCAGGTTGACAAAATACACTGAACAACACTCTTCAATACTCCAACTTTTCGGACAATTTTTTTTGGCTTGTTTAATTGAATCCAAAACTACAAACAATGAAAAAAAATGAAACACCAGTTTTCTGCAGCCAAGGCCAAAAAAGACGAGAGAAAACGATTCAAAGAGAATTGGTTCCAAAATCAAGTAAACTACACTTCGCGGAAGTGTCTTCCCACTGTGTGACGTGGGGTAGATGATTATACATGATTATTCTGGGATTCAAGAATTACAGACATCAGCAGAGGGATTTATAGTGTTTGTGTACCCGGCTTGGGGTTTATTTCTACACCTTGAAATCTACCAAGAATTATTAAAGACCACCTGATGGGTTATGGACAGTTCGAGCACTGCTGATACCGACGGAACTAGGAGGATGTCCTATGCACAACGTGAACGAGAGACGCGCTTGGATTTGGAGGGTGTGAAGTAGGCTTTCAGGCTATCGAACGCCGGCTTGGGCTTGTAGTCTTTGTCGAACATTAGGGCTTCACCGGCGTCTGGTAAAAAAATAAGGAGAAGAAGTGATCAGGTCAAGATGCTTGTAGAACTATGGTGCGTGGAGGTGCCTAACCAGTGGTTCCGGGGTTAGTCGGGATCCACGAATACTGGTCCGAGACCCCCCAAAGAGTGATGCCGACACAACCCTCGAGACTTGAACAGACTTCGAAGGCCGCTTCGAAGTCCTTGGTCTGTTGCAGCCTATCCTGCGCTATCTCACTTTCACTTCTTCCTTGAAGCTTGATCCGAATGTCAAGCTCACTAAGAGCAACGAGTAAACCTATTAAACAAGAGCGGCTTTAGTCGACTGCTTGTGATGGTGGACTTGGGTCAGGACAATGACACTTACCTGCATCCGTGAAACGTTGCAAGTTCTCCTTGAAACCTTTGGGGAAAGAAAAGAGATGAGTTAGTGGGAGACAAGGCCAGGCGATGGAGGAAGCCTTTGTGAGAGGTTACGAAGATTTTTCGAGCTGAATGGTGAGTTGAAGTAAATATGTACCTTTGGGAAACTTTCCGACCTCCAAGTGACTTTGGAAACCAACGGCATCCAAGATGCCCTTTTTCTTTAGGGAAGTAGCCAATTCGAGCATCTTGTCCGACTTGGCATTCTTGTCTTCGATACTAAAGTCGTTGACTGCAACCGCCAAAGCAAGTAAATAAAAAAAAATAAAACATGTAACCGGGTCAAGCATCACTTACTAAAGAGCAAGACGTCAGGGTTATACATCTTGGCCAATTCTCTGGCTTTAGTGAAGATGTCGACGACGAATTCTTCGCCCCAGGTTTGGAGCCAGATCGTCTGACGGAGCGCACCCTCGTCGAGGATCTCGTTGCAGACGTCCATGGCTATCATGTTCTTGGCATACTTCTTGAAGATCAGTTCCATGTGAGTGTATGCTGCAGTCTTCATATCCTCCTTGTTCACGCCTTGGATCCAGTCCGGATTTTGGGTGTGACTACCCACAAAATCAATGATTATTAGCAATTTGTGGATGGGAAGAAATTGGTGAAGCAGCAATGGCCTACGCTAAGATGGTGTGTGCTCGGAGCTTTTTGTTTGTCTTGATGATGTACTCGTTGAGAGTGTCACTGTATCGGGACAACCAGAGAAAAGAGCCAAAGGTCAGATGCCAATTCACAAAATCCTCAAGTCTAAGGACGACTCACGCGTCCTTCGTTTGCTCTTTTCCACGCTCCTTTTCTGTGACGCCCCACTTCATTTCTATGTAGAACGCATAATTCAGTCCAGTCAGCACACAGGGAACAATTACCAAAAAGAACAAAAAAATGCCCTCGAAAGGCTCAATCAGGGGCTCCAGCGAAGACTCACCGTTCTCGGCAGTGATCACGCTGAAGTGCTGGTCCACCAACTGCTTATACATCGCATCCTGGGTCAGATGATTCACACTGACCGCCGTGCCCACATACATTTGCTTCTTGAGCGCCGAGCCGCAGCTTGCAAAAGCAGCCATAAGAAATGAGATCGTAAGAAGTGAACGTGTCTTGGCCATTTTTAAGTCTAGGGTTCAAATGAAAGCGAAACGGAAGAAGAAAGTAACGGAAAAAAAAATATTCAACAAATTGAAAAGATAAAGCGATGACCGTGATCGAGAAGGATGAGGAAACAGTCTCAGACTGCGGGATCTGGGGGTTTTAAAGCCTTTTGACCAACTAGGAAAGGGCGGCTAGAAAAGGGACGCAAGAGGAGATGGACGCATGAGTTAGACAGGCATCTGTTGCCACCTAGCCAACCTAGTTGACAAGGAGCTGAACACGCCGGCCCTTAAAGGGTACACCGATACAGGCAGGTAGGAAGGAGAACTTTCGGTACGGAGTCACTACCTAGTTCCTACGGCGTTAATAAAGGCTGGAGGGGTACTTGGATACTACACTCAACTCACCATGCACCTGAAACCGAGAGGATCAACCTCCATGAACGCCACCCTGGGATTACAAAATATCTGCATACCTACGTAGGATGATGGCTTCGTCACTGACCTTATCAGCACCCTACATCTGTGTACATAGTCCAGACAAACCCGGAATCCCTTTGAGCAAAGAAGACGGCCTAGGTAGCACCTGATGGCACCTTAGAAACATGTACGGTTTATCAATTTATGTTGTACATGGACCCTGGAGCAACAAGAATAAAAAACTAATCCGCTTAGAGGGGAGCGGTCAAGGACGATCTAGTCAAATGTCGTCGGCTAGTCCACAATTGAAACGAGGCACATATAAGACTAACGCATATTCCTCCTGGAATTGCGATCACGAGTCCTCAATACTCCCTGAAAGCATCAAGTAAAACAGGGCTTTCGTTTTCACGTCTCCACCTGTCACATACTGACTTCGCTGTAGAGCGGCAAGGGATGCAAATTTCTCAAATAAAATCGTTCTACTTTTGATACATAATTTTGTGATGGCCTTGTGTCTTTTCCAACGCCCAGGTTTGGTGATTTTCAGCTGGGCAACTGCACAGCTGTTCAAGTATAGTGGCCACTGCATGAGATGAACTTTTTTGGAAATGGTCTGTGCAAAAAAAATTGGACTGTGTCTAGCCAATTCATGCTTTCTGGGAGTTCCACTGGCCTTTGTAATATGCATCTCAAAGGTGGAAACAATGTCTCCTTCATTGGAGAGCTAGCAGCTGTACTTCCAGTGTGAATTTAATAATGTAATTGCTTTCTTCAAGGGTGGCCAACTGATTTATTATTTTACAAGGTTCACCAAATTGTGCACCAAATCAATATTCATATTTAGGGCCTCTACCATTCATAGCACCCCAGCCAACTTTGATTTTCACTTTTGATATTTTTGTTTTTTGCCAACAAAAACTCATTTGGGGGCTAGCACTGAAAATCCAGCTTCTGTACTGTGGGAAATTGGATGTGTGTGGTAGATCATTTCCAGCGGGCTCAAATTCCATCTTGAAAATTGGAAATTGAACTCAAAATTGGGGCTGCAGCATAGACACTTAACAATTTGGAAAAGTAGCTCAAAGATTGTAAGCAAACTTGACACACAGTCATTTCCCTTACAAAGGGGACTTTGTAGGTGATACCAACAATGGGCCAGTTACACTGAATCTGATGATAGTGTTAGTGCAGCATAACATAGCAGAATTCCAATAACATTTAGCATAGCACAGCAGAATTATGTCATAACTGTGCTAACAATACGTGCATGGACACCAAAAGGGGCCCACTGCAGCACATTTTAGAAGTTTTTTTGGCCTTTTTTGCCACTAAGGGTGTAGTGGGGCTGTCAGCACACTGTATTGAGGGGTGATACACTAATATTAGTGGGCTGTGTAGTGTAGTTTAGCATGGTGGCCCATCACTGATCAGTGATACTTCAAACATGAGTAAGGGGAATTTCATTTCATTTTTCTTGTGCTCCTTGTATGCAATCAAGAACCCAGTGGGAGGAGGACCATTACTGTCAGCTATGTGTATGAAACTTTGGCTTAATAATATAAAAGCCAAGTACTATCACTGTGCTGAAGGACTCAGGTTAAAGACCAAGATTACTCCTAGTCACCCTCAAAGTATTAAGTGGTCCAAACTTCCCACTTAAGAGGTTATAAAGTCCACACTCCTCAGTTAAAGACACTTGAATAATCAAGAGAGCACTGTAGGAGACAATAACAGAACAAGTTATTGTAGAGTGTTTGGAAGCAATAATTAATATTGCAAGAAGTAGCTGGCAAGCACCTGAGCTGAAAGGCTACAGTCAGAGGTGGTGGTCTTGCAGCAACTACTTTTTAAGGAATTACTTAAGTGTTGAGTCTGGGATAACTCTCAGCTTAATAATAATTCCAGTAAGAAGGTAGGGTTGGATTGGATGATAAAAAGACTACTCTAAAAAGTAGGAGGAGAATATTCACTGTACTCACTTAGTTTGTTGGGGGTGAATATGCTGAGGAACCAATCCTAGGCAGGAGAAGGCCTCCTTAAATATTCTAGAGGTCCCCTTGAGGCCCTCCTTAGAATATTCTAGAATCTCTCTTTTAGTGTACCATGATAGAATTATTCCCCTGATGTAATGGGAATAATTCAAGGTATTTCAAATAATGTATATTCTATGTCCCATGACATCATGATGCATGTTCATAGCCAATTACATCATGTGTCTCCTTAAATAGAATATTACTAGTAGAAAGTGCCACACTCTTGACATAGTGTGGTAATTTCTTTTCTACAAGTTTTAATAAATTGATTATGCTTGTAGAATAAAATTTCTAAGGTTACTCTAAATGTATATTTGACCCTAATTTAATATACATTGATTTTATTCTGTAATTTTATATATTTTTATTCCTTTTGTCCTTCAAGAGTTTGAATATATACAAAGTCCTTGAAGGAGTGGGAATTTGGGGATACTTCCAGTGGACAACCCCCTTTAAAATCTTATGAAATATTGTTTTATTAAATAATATTCTTACATATTATATTACATATTGAGTATTTTAATACTTAATATTCATTTAGAAGTCTTTTGGATACTATGGAGTATCTCTAAGGCTGACAATTACCAACCACTTTCATGCCAATTTTGCACATGTTTCTGGTTGTTCCTAATCATTTGACAATACACACAGAGGGGGTTACTACTTTCACCAATAAGATGTATGAAGAGAACCCTCCAATTTCAAAAGAATAGATATTAGGCAAAAACCAAAAGAAAATTAGTATGAAAAATGGCACCTGTGAAATGATTCAGACCATATTCAACTAAGAAATCAGATTGAACCCAAAAAAAATAGAGAACACCTCAAACTTAAACAAGAGATGTGAAGATATTTATCAGAAGCTTGGAAAAAAGTGCAGTGTAGCATAGTGGCACTAACAGCACACTAACACTACAGGTTTGGTGCGCTGTTTTGAGGGCCGCTACTCTAACGTTAGTGGGCTGTTTAGTGTAGCGTAGCTTAGCGTATCATAGTGGCCCAGCATTGAAAACAGGTATGAATGAATGAATGAATGAAACTATATCTAAAAGAAGAAAATCTTGATTTGAATTTTCAGGTATCAAAAATGGAAGTACCATACACCAGGAAATATCTGAGGGCAGTAGGTGTCAGGTGAAATGAAGTGATGTATTTTACAACTCCATTTTTACTCTGGTGCATGTCTGCTCAAATAACAATTTTCCCTTTGTGGTCATCAGGGAGTCCCAACCCTTTGACTTTGAAGCAACACTGGAATACAGGCAGGAGTTAGCTTCATGTCACCTGGCATGTACTGACCTCAAATTTTTCATGGTGATAGTACTATATAAATCGTGATTTTTAAATGGAAGATTGTGCCATAGACTGATAACTATTGAACCATTTTATTTGTATCAATCAAAATATTTATTTTCAAATATTTTGTTTGCAATTAAACTTGGACAGATTGAGAAAAAAAAGAAAGATCCTTCCAACACTAATTGAATTTATGCTCAGTTAAAGTTTGACTTGATATTGTTTAAGCTCTCTAATCAGGAAATAGTTATACAATTCTTGATGTTTTTTTGGATCATTAAATCTTTCACTAAGTTTCAGCATGGTTTTTGGAAATTCCTCATTACTAAGTATTCTCTTGTGCATATTACTAATTTTATAATTGCCCATCTGGTCCATTGCTGCCAAAATCTGACCACTGGAATACATTGTATCATATTTCTCCCAGAATGTGGGCGGTATTTTTGGATCTTCAAACAATTCTTTGCCATAATTTTGAACAGCCCAACTGATTATTGAAAACAGAAGTGTGTGCATGAATTTGAACTCCATGAGGCCTGGATCATCGCCCATCTGAACAAAAAGGATGGCTGAAATGACAAGATATCTCTGGACAACCGATATTTCTGGATATTCATGGATCAATTGTTCTCTAGTGTATTCTCCTGATTTTGATTTTTCAAGATAATTTTCTAGTTCAACACAAAATTCATTATTTCTGAAAATTGATTTCATCAAGTCTTGAAGATCTGTTACTGAATTTGGTTTTATGCTGAGTTCTTCTTTTGTTAAATCCATTCCAAACTCATCATCCAAATGAGCATCTAGTTGTGGTGCCCTGGAAAAGAAATCAGAAAAATACTTTATTTCTTGTGATTTGAGAAACAAAAAGTAAATTCTTCTCTTTTGCTTGTCATCCATAACTTTGATTCAAATAGAAGAAAAAAAGAGATAAAAATATTCAGCTGCAATTAGGTTTGTGGATGAGGATGAGTGGATTCATGATTAGGATTGTGCTCACTTTTAGACATGAATTTCAGACCTGCTTCTTGCATTATGCATTCAATTCCATAGCTGCTTGGATAAAGCATAATATCCTTGTCCTCAAAAGGATATTGTGCAAAGTAATGCAAAAAGTAATAGTCCAAATTTCCATCAACTTGAAATATATTCTTGTAATCAGATATAGTCATAAACTCAGAATTCTTCATGTATTTGAGCAGCTGAAAAATGTTTTCTTGAATTTGAAGAGATGCACAATTGACTTCAAGATAATCATCCCCTGCTTGAGTCTGCTTGAAATACAGCTTAGACAACAGAATTTTCAATCTTTTGGTTAAGTTTGTGCATGTCTTTTGCTCTGCTAAAGGTAGCTTTGAATCCATATTCAATGTGCCATAAGAATCCATAGAAGAATGTTCTTTTTTGTCAAAAATATCCAGCAATGAACCCATATATTTTTGATCTCTAAAGCTCATTGAACTTCTGCGGACTGGTCCAAAGAAGAAATCAATGCGGGATTTGCTAAATTTGATTGTTATATCTTCAATTTCTCTGAAGACTATTTTGTTTGATACAACTCCCAATTCAGTCATTTTATGTTTGACATGGTTCAAAAGTATTTCATGAATTAGTTTCAATTCTTGAAGATCTTGTATAAACATGATAGCATTCATAGGATCTTCTGTCAAACGAGTTTTGTATAGTTCATGAAAGATCAAATCAGCACATTGGATGAAATTTTCCCTCAATTTCTGAATATTAGCTGCTAATGATGTGATTTTGTTTGTAGTTTCATGGTTATTTGACAGGAGACTTTCTTTTGGTGATTCCACATTCAAATACAAATCAGATATTGATTTATCTGGTAAGATTCTTGGTGTTCCTTTGGAATTTTCTTCAATTTGATGAATCTGTCCTGTTGCAGTGCTAGGGAACTCCATGTCCTTATCATTTACTTGTGTGTAAAATGAAAACTTCTGAGGAGGTTCATCTTCATTTTCCATTTGAATATCTGAACTTTTCCTTCTTCTGTCATTGTTTGTCTGCACCTCAGCAATCTCACCTGTGGAATCTGTATCCATTGCAGTATGTATACCATTTTCAGTAGGCAAATGCTTCATTTTGTTACCTTGTTTTTTTTTAGAAAAATGTGGAAGCCATATGAGCCCTTCTCTAAAACAGTTATGAAAAAGAACATCAAAGCAAAAAAGGTAAAACACCATACCTGTATCTGCTGCATAATTCATCTGGCTCCCAATGTGTGATTCCATGCCTTGTGCTGGTTGCAGACAGTGCAGGGCTAGTAAGACTATTTGGAGGTATGCTAAGGAGATAGACATTATAAAGCTAAGATGCGGTATAATAAACCTTCAGAAATAATACTTTAATTAATAAGAAATAATTGGTTGATTTGTGTGGAGAAAAAGTCTGGAATATCTCAACAAAAGGCCCACATTCATAGCAACACTGAAGCTGAGGAAAGACAAGACGGTATCAGCTGTATGTTTGTATTGTCTCAGAATTTGAATACTCAAAAATACCAATCCCTGTTTGTCTCACTTTCCTGAGACAATACACACATATTGTCTTTGGAAAGTGATACAAGTAGTTTATATTGTCTCAGAGGGCTGATCCCCCCACAAAAAAATGTATTCAATACACAGGGTTTTGGCTGTTTCCATGAAAAAAAAAAAAAAAAAAAAAAAAAAAAACAGACAAAATACTGATACCAAACATTTCTTGTCTCAGTTTCCATGTTGTTTATAGCCACAATACTGTAAAAATCCAAGCAAAAATTTTAAGGGCATGGTAAGATGTGAGGAAAGTGTGAGCGGAGGACAAGCACTTCTCACAGGAATTGTCCACACAAGTTAGGGACTTGAAACTCATGTATTGAAAACCCGTTGCAGATCCATAAGTAATTCCTTTTTAGCCAGTCATGACAGCTTGATGGCAATCATAATCATGGGGGTAGTTGCTGCTGTAAATTCCAGCTTTAAGGCAAGGCCCACCTGGGCCAAATATAAGTTGAGCAGTCTCCAGGTATTCCAAAAAAAGTATCTATACAGTTAGTGAACCAGCTTGCTTCCAAACTTAAATCAGAGGTTGTGATACTATCCTGAGGCCAGTTTCTCTGATCCCAAAGATTGTTGTTAAGGCTGTTGACCTCAGCTCAACCAGTTGCACTGGCAGGTCCATAATCCAATGTGTGCAGTGCTCATTTTATATGATCACAAGGATTGGTGACTGGTGGCAACATGAAGTGACTGACTGGGGCAAAAGTCTGACTGAGGCCAGCCATCTGAGGCAGCACACCGCCAAAAGTGTGTGTTAAATTAAAAGCGCATTGGTAAATGTAACCTCTGGTGCCAAGAGGTTGCTGCAGGTAGATAAAGTCATGGCCATTGGCTCAAAGACAATGTCCTCCAAGTGACCCTGATACTGCATATTTTGAGTAGAGCTATCATGTATGAATACTTGTTATTGACTGGACACTTCTATCAAACCTGGCTGCAGGCCCATAAGTTGTGGCCATTTGCTTCTGCGGAGGATTAGCTCAAGATCACAAGGCTAACTTGGGACAAGGTATTTTGCGCAGACCTGCACCCATGTGTGGGTGCCAGGTGGACAGATGTGTCTCAACAGTTTGGAACTTTGTTGGCAAACCTGTTGGGACTCCTCATGTCCCTGAGGGTTAAGTTAATCATCCAACACAAAACTCTATGATTATGGCCATCTCCATTGTGGTAGTAGTTAGACATAATTCTGTTGTGCAGACCTGTCATTGAGACAAGTTGGCCACAAAGATCTGTCAGGCTTGACCAGTGTTCTATCCAAATCCACCAACAATTTAATTAATTTTTTTCGGCTGGAGGTAGCAGTGTAAGCATGAGAGTCAAGAATTGACTGTGACCAGTCTGTCTATTTCTTCTTCTTTCTAACTTTTATGTAGTACAGTGGGTAGACAGTGAAAAGTGGCTACTTATTTTGGATTCAATTTCCAGAGCTCTGGAACACAGACTTGCTCAGGTGGTGCATAATAGGTCCCAAAAAATGAATATGAAAAAAAAAAGTTTCAAAATTGGTGAAAAATGGAAAATAAAATTGATTTTTTTCAGATACTTTTGTTGAAATTTCACTCAAGCTCTCACCACTTTGACATGTCACTTGTTTCCACTCTTTTATTCATTGTCAATATTTTGTTTCTTATTCAATATGGTGCTCCCACACTTTGACCATGCTGTATCTAGACTACTTAAACTCTCTAGATGATAAAGAAATTAAAATCTCATTGGTTCTTTATTATTTTTTTGACCGTTCCTGAAAGGAGCACATTAGCCCTTCCTTCAGCCTGTCTAAGAGCACTTGAGCCCTTTCAGCAAATCATAAAAGATATTATTTTCTTGGCCTTTCTGCCTAAAATTCAACAACTTTGATATTCATTTTAGGGGAGTAAGAGTGCTGACTCCTGAGAGAAAGAAAGAATGGAACACGAGAAGAATGATTATAAATGAAAAAAATGGAACCAAAAAAGGTTTGACCAGGTTGGTTGTCCAGATTGGAGCCAAAACAGTGAATTCTGGTGCTTTACTGCAATGTGGACTGGTGAATGTCCCAATCAACAGCTGTTTGAAGCCATCTGGAAACCAATTTTTCCAAAATTTTCATTTATAATCATTCTTCTGATATCCCAATCTTGCTTTCTCTCAGCACTCTCAGTCCCCCAAAATGAATTTCAAATCACCAATTTTGCAACTTTTTTTTTCATATTCATTTTTTAGAAACTATTCTGCACCACTTGACCAAGTCTGTGTTTTGGAGCTCTTGAATCCAAAATAAGCAGCCACTTTTCACTGTCTAACCACTGTACAAGACCACAAATGTTAATTGCTCTTTTGTCTTGTTTCCAAACCGAAGAAGAAAAACAAGGTGAGAGAAAGCCTCACACATATAAAAAAAAGCAAAAAAAAAAACCAAGACCCAAATTGTTTGTGTAAAAAAAAACAAGAGAGAAGAGTAGTCACAAAGTCTTGAAGAAGCAACAAGAAGGCTCTGCTACAAATTGTCTTTTATCCTATGAAATCTTTATTTATTTATTTTTGTGTATGAGAGAGAGAAAGAGAGAGAGAGAGAGAGAAAGAGGAGAAAACAGAGCAGATGAAGAAGGATTCGGTCTACCAACAGAGAGCAGTACATACATACACACATACACACAAAAGAGTCTATGAACATGGTGCGATTTGTAGAACGATGTGAGGATGATGGGAGAGGGTGGGTGGGGGAGGGGTGTTTATTCAATCTATTGTAGCGGGACCTTTTAGCGGGATTAGATCAGAGCCAAAGGATAGTCTATGTCGAGTTTATATAAAAGCATCCATATATTATCCAGATAGTTCGGTTCTCAAGAGTCGTTTGGCTGACGAGCAGAGGTGCAAGAGTGTCCAGTTTTATTTGCCATTTGAGCTTTCTGTAATCCATCAAAACACGATATGCTTGTTAACTGACTATCCCTCAGGGGGGGGGGGGCAAAAAAGACAGTAAGACAGAACTGAGAGAGACAAACCTCGCTCATTTAATGGGAGAGCCTCGTATCTCCTTGCTTCGTTGGAGCGAGGAGACCAATTCGGGGGCTTGGGGGAGCCCGGAGGCACGCTGAATTTAAAGTAAACCAATCCCGATGCCGCCAGACTGTAGCCCAAGACCTGGGTGGTTGTAACATGGGAGCCCAAAAAGACAACTGAGCCGAGGATCAAGCAGATATCCTTAACGATGCCTGTTGTTTTCAATATCAGAAATGAATGATCAGAAAGCTGGAGGAGGGAAGTGACTGGAGTGTGTTTTTTTTTTGTGTGTGTGTTTGATCGATGAGAGCAACAGGATGCGCACCAGCTAGAGTGAGAACGAGAGCATTGGTGGAGCTCACCAGGAACAAGACCACGATGTTCAGGGCGAGGGCAAGGAGGATTGAGCCGATGATCAATGGGATGCCCATCCGAGGTACCATCAGGAAGATTGGCTCAGAGCCTTCAAAGATGGGTGCGAGGACAAGGGCCATCGAGAAGCATATCTGTTTGAACCCCATTCAGATTCACTGCTCAGTCTTCCTAACCAAAGTTTTGAGGAGGGGATGACAGTCAAGACTGAAGATGAACACACTCACTGGAGATAGCGCACTCAAGGCTACCAGTGGATCGACGCTGAGATCCTGCAATAACCTCTGGGTGGCAATCAACCTGGCCACCTCAGCCAACGAGCCTGCCAACTGGAAGAGTACCCCTATCAGAACGCTGCGAAACATCTTCCGTCAGTCCTCTTCATTTTCTTTTGTCCAGTTTGTATCCAGGGGATCGGAACAACACAAAAGGGGGGGTAAAAGCTCAAGACAGGGGGGGAAGTTCACAATTGGATTTCACCATAAGCAGCGATCGCCACGCCCGAGGAGATGGTCATCACCACCAAGGCCGTCCGCATCGGCGGCAGTCGATGGTCCAGAAAGGCGGTGGCTATGACGAGGATGACGGGCGTGAATGCCTTGAGCCTGAAGAAAAAAAAAGGGGTCGTGGTGTTTTTTGTGTGAGCAGGAGAGCAGGATGAGGGGGTGGATGCGGTGAAGGATGACGAACATCTGGACGAATGAGACGCTGAGGCTTAGATAACTATGATCACGAAAAATCAATATGGAGAGCCAAATGAATTAGTCATGAACCCTCGATTGATTGCTTTGATTGGGGAAGTGAATGGCTTACGCTAGATTAGAGCAGAGGATAGCAGAGCCATAAGCCAGTCCGACGGTCAACACGTTCCGAGACCAGAAGCGCCATGTGACCCGTTCATGATAGGCATCGAGTTCGGCGGGCCTGAAAGTCTTGGCGACGATCCTAGATTGGAGAGATCGGCTGAGTCAGCATGTATGTGTGTAGTCAATCAAGATCTTGAGAGGGGTTACCTTGAGGTGAGTGAGATGGAGGCAAAGTGGAGGGCGAGTAGGTAGAAGGGGTAGGGGAATTGGAAGGTGGTCTGAGAGAAATGCGGGATTGGTAAGTCAGTGCTGAGGATGGAAGCTTATAAGGAGGTGGGACATACATAGATCGATTTGTTGAGCAGGGTAAGTGAGGCGGAGAGAGTGATGGTGACGATGAGGGTGAGCGAGGAGCGGTTGGCGTGAGCAGGATCGGAGGAGTTGAGCTCGGGGTTGTTGGAAGAGAGCTCGTTGGAATGGCTGGGGTTGGTGGTGCCGATGAAGAGGATCGAGCTGTGGCTGAGCTGCTTGGTATGGTGCATGTTGCTTGATGTAGGGCGGCGATCCAAAGTGGCAGTCGAGAAAGTGCTGCACCCCTTCGATTTTATCAAACTCCGAGATCGCTGTGCTGTGTTGTGTGTGTGTGGGTGAGTTGGTGGTGTGTTTGTTCTTGCCGGACGTTGTCGTTGTAGACGCGGACGGGTTAACAAGGATGCCGATGGACTCGGAGCTGGAGAAACCGATCGAACGACTACACATAAAAGAAAGCCAAGGACGCCTGCAGACTCAAGTACGAGGAGAGTGGTACCTATAGTTCTCCAAGCTTCAATCGGAAAACTTAAAGCCGATATGTTGTATACAGCCTCTCATTGAGAAAGGCAAATCAGAAGAAGGGACTACAACCAAAATACAACAGATTCGCCGGGCATGGGAACCCAGCATTTCTCTGGGGGATACGGATCAACGGATTAACAGGGTCTGGCGTGGCTGTCTGTTAAGTCTTGACTTTACCGTCCTTTGGTGGGTGAGCAGTTGTCCCTCAATATGTCTCGCCGAAATTCCACCTCCTCTGACAAGAACCTTTGGATCTTAGACTTTCGTGTCTTGGCCTGTCCTTCATGTCCCTCGACCTGTCTCAAACGGAAACATTTCCTTTATCTTCAACAAAAATAAGCCCCGTCGGTTAATTTGGACAAATGGCAACCAACACCCTGCAGTGGCCAAGAATAATTAATAGCCAACAAGGGGGGGCAAGACATACCGGGCCAACATTCCAGCACCGAATGAACCCAGCCAATCAGGTACCATAATTGCAGCCCCTGCAGGAGAGGTAGGATGGTCTTGAGAGAACTCCAAAGACTTTGGATGACCGGATTCCTTCGTGAATTGAACTCTGCACCAAGTTCCCCAAACCATTAAAAGCTGGTCGGCATCCAAGAAACGATGAAGCAATCCGCACCAATCTTGGGCCCAAAAAACAAACAAACGTAAACTGTTGATGATATGTACAAACAACATCCTTCACCGGCTGATGGCCAAGACTTCTCAAGTTGATTATTGTAGCTGAATAATCCATCTGGGTTTCAGGCATGCGGAGTGCGGAGACGCGTCCAACAAGTCCACTCTAACCACATTTCCCCCGTGGGGATGGCGTATATCACCACCACCACCCCCTTTTTTCTCCAACCCACCATTAAAAGATGGGTTCGGTATTCAGTTTGGTCAGTCGAAATCTGCATCCAACTTGGCTATCACTTCATACCCAATGATTGTTACTCATCCTGGCTTGTGCCTCTTCCTCTTCTCCATCCAGCTCGCCAGCTTGGCTCCGGCCTCCCTCGATATAAGACGTTCTAATGCACCAGTCGACGATGGTCAGGCAGAGAATCAGGACAGGGCTGGAACTATAAAACCACTCGTAAGAGTCTTAACGTCGATATTCTTCATCCAACCTAATTGAGCTCCTAAAAAAGGGAACTCTCCACACAATTTTTCTGATCTTGGGGGTTTTTGTTTTTTCTGAAATGGACGATTTTATATGATGACAGTTGGTGATTTTTGGCTCGGCCAATCGAGCATGGAACACCGAGAATTGGACAGAGGTCTCGGACACGGTCCGCGGAGGCCAGTCGAAGGCAATGTTGAAATACCTCGACCGATCCGACCGGACAGCCGGGGTGAGTTTGGAAGGCATGCTGGACACGAAGACCTTAGGAGGAGCGGGCTTTGCCAGTCAGGTCTATCGGCATCCGATCTCGCTGCCTATGGCCGACCGTTACTCGGCCTTCTTCCTCGAAGTGGAGCCGGTTGAAGAGGGCCATCAGGGCTTGGTGCGCACGTTCACCTTCGGCGCCAGAGATCGACCGCTCGGCTCGCCCAACGAGTCCGCACTCACCTACCAATTCGACTTCCAGCTCCCGGCCCTCGTGACCGTCCAGAGAGACTCTGCCTCAACTAAGCTCGACCAACTCGTCAGGATTTCGATCCCCTTCAACAAACTCGTACCCACATTCCGGGGAAGACCTAAATCTGACGAGAAGCCCTTCGACCCCCATCAGATCACCCAGATCTCCTTCATGGCTCGCAGCTTCTTCAACCATCAGAGCGGCCCGTTCCTTCTCAACATCCGCAGACTAGGCCTCGAGTAGCCCCATTCATCTTTCTTGTAGAACAACCATAAGATCAAGGCGCGGGTCAAGCCGAGGTCGTGATGCGCTTGTTGCACTGCTGTTGATGATTGCAAAAACTCATATATTTCATGAGGCCAAAAAGATATGTATGTACTACCACAAACAATAACTATTGATCTCAAGAGGCGCGAATCGATTCATGTCCATCGCTCTTCATCTCGATCTGAGCACTTTGGATGAACCGATTTCCTCGGATTGTACCTCAGTCTTATTTCCCTTGCTTTGAGACGTCTGAGAGCAAGGGAAGGGAGATGTGACCCTTTCATCCCGGCATCAAACAATCCACACTGTTAGATGGCCGGTTTGCTTTGTGGAAACAGGCCACATGTGTGCTCAAGTCTTTGCGTCCGGAATAGTGGGATTATAGAGCCATCATCAGCCCCGGCTTTTGTTTTTGTTGGTGAGAATACCTACAACCAAGAGAAAAAAAAAATCAAGAATGAGGTTTACAACTGATCAATGCCCAAGAAAACTTGGGAACATCCCGGCAAGTATACATACCAAACTAGATGAGAATAGGAAAGACTGGAGAATAGATTGTAGAGGAAAGATGGCCAAACAGTTGGATATTTTTGGAACTTCTATCTCGCATGCACAAGCCGTCAACAAATACGATTTTGGTGAAATATAGGGATGGAAGCAAGATGAGGAGTGGGAGGAGGAGGTGATCGATAGGCTGGTACTCACCCTCACATACAACCATTCAAAATCTGTTGTGTTCCGTTGATCATAGGATTCGGAAAAGCAAACATGACATATGTCAGATGAAGATTGTGTTGCATATAAGGATGGGCCCTCTTGCTGCTGCCTACATAGAAATCATTCGGATCCACAGGGAAGGTCCAGAAAGATTAGACCGATTGCAGGTCTTCATTGCTCACAATACTCTCACAGATCCATTCGCGAACATAATCACTGCCCCTTGATCCCTGGCTACTCCTATAAGTCAACAGAACAACACGTAAGACATTCCCTCATGTCCATGGATCGACTTACTAACAAATAATTAATCCACCCACTTCACGATTCACGATGCAGGACTTTCACTGGTCACGTTTCTCTCTTTCACTCTCCGCGGCTCATACAAAATAGCCGCATTCCTTTCGTTAACAGAGCCCATCCTACCAGCCATTAGGCAGCCCGGAGGCGTAGGATACACTACTCTTCTCTCGAGCGCCGAATACAAAGCTGACGGCCGCAGTTGCCTGGACTGAGACAAGTGCTTCACCGCACGTCCCTCCAGATTTTCATCCTCTTCACCTATCCAACTTACTGTAGCCGGCTGGGGAATCAAATCTGATCAGGAATTGAGCCCATGTGATCGAATACCCCTCCTGCCCCCCCCCCCCAAAAAAAAAAAGATGCTATCACCCCGGGGTAATGGGCTTTTGCCCGGCCTCCCAAGGTGCGTACTTCCGGATGACCCTCTCATCCCCGGGCAAACCTCTTCAGGTTACATCCTTATCCGAAATACTTGTGTTTTTCCGGATTTGATTATTTTGTTGGTTATTTTAATCGGCTCACGTCCTACCTCAAAACTAGCGGTCTGGATCAAGCACCTATATACTATGTCTTCCTCTCAATCCAGGTGTCATCGGGTGGGTCTGTTTGATACATCGAGTTAATCGAGTGTAAGCAAAGTAAGTGAGGTTGGCGACTCCTCCATCAGCATAGGGAAAGAGAATGAATGTGTGGCCTTCATGATTTGCAGACGGGCGGAAAAGGTTGAGAACAGATCTTTAGGCATTTCCAGATAGTATATTGTCATCGATGCGAAGAAGACTGATACACCAAGATAATTGACATCCCGCTATGAGCGACCGGTACTCTTTGGGGTTCATTCCAAGGTGAAGTCGTTACGTATCATTTTTTCAAGCTTTCAGTGGGATGTTGTGCACTCAGTAATCGGTAGGTTCGCGACATTTAAATGTGTTCTTGTAGTCGTTTTCCGAGACTGTGAATACAGATTCGAAGGGCCTGGGGTTCTAGATAATTGAGTGGATGATTATTGGTGGTCAGGGAGCGCTCTTCCTGACTGTGAAGCTTTCAATGGAGCGAAGATGAGGACGTACACGTAAGCCCACTGGATTCTCGCAGCACACGTCTATTATGGATTTCGAAGGAAGTCTTGAGACGGTACAGGTCGAGCTGCCCTCACGTGTCACTTGGCTGGCCGGGCCGACTGGAGGATTTCGATAATAAGGAAGAGGTCCAGAGATAGGAGGGTATATATAGTTTTGTTTTGGTAGTCAGCTCCAATATTACCCCATCGGTTCAGTTCAGCTTATAATTATCCGTATCAAGATTTGAGAGTTTATAACTTACAGCCATATTGCATTGGCTTAGTTGAGTAGTCTTTGTATGCGCAATAGGCATACTCCCCTTCCCCACAGAGAAAATAGGGGAGAGTGCTCGCGGCGCAAGGGACTGCCAGGTGCAGGAGGACCACCGAGAGTGTCTTGAAGAATTGCATTTGATGTCGAGTTGTGATGTGGTTGATGGGACTTGAAGGGAAGATTGAGGTTTCCGGGGGCAAGAGGTGTGGAATATATATAAGCAAATGGGATGAGTTGTGCAGTGTAAGTTATACAATATCTTTGTATGGAAGCCCTCATAATGGAGATACAGATGGCTAGGCTTGCTTGTACAGCCGTATGTACCTATACATATCACGTTAGGAGGGCATGTGTTGTGGGTCATTGTATGTAGACGGGGTCTAAAATCTCATTTCCTCTTGAGTCCCAATCAATTATATATTGTATATAGAAATCATTCTAATTCAATACAGCTTCTCTTAGTTGCCATAAATCTTACAGTTTGCACAATCATATTCTTTGGAATTGCTTCTTTATTCTTTTTCTGGTCTCTAGAACCTTCACCTGATCCAACACAAAAGCTGAGGCCTACGCGTGGAATCAGTCTCGAATATGAATCCGACGATGAGAGTGTGTCCCTTCCGCCTGTTATAGTAATGCTTCTGATGTGCACCGCGCTGATCCATAGATCATTCTGCGAAAAAAATAAAACAACAGTCTCAGTCCTTGCCTCGCTTCAGAACCATACGGAGGTCACCCCCAACTGCGAGGCCAGAATACAGCCTCGAATTAGGTGCCTTATTTGCACTTCCACACGTGCTGGCTCGCCACTGGTACCCGTAAGTTGCGTTGCTCGGCGCCACCCGTGAGGGGGGGGCCTCCCCTAGCCTGACCAGGTCGTAAGACAGGGCGAATGGGTAGGCTATGGGGCAAGTACAAGGGGGGTTCAGGCACAAAGCCCGGCCTGTAATAGGACTGATAGTCTAGAAGTAGAGGTGTGGGCTAGTGTGTTTCTCGAATGTGCATCTCGAGCACCGGCCCTCATCATCCAACCAGACTGGTCCGCCCAGCGACCGTGGACTGAGCTGGCTTCTCCTCCGGGATAGCCATCAACAAATGCCCGTCAATGTCAGTTGGCAATACTCTCAATCCTTTCCAGAAGAAAACACTAATTCGATGTCAGACTATCACGTAGGTGCATTTGAAAACCAAGGTATGTCGGTTTCAAATTTGACTGATTATCGGAACCCGATGCTAATGCGATGTCTTGGACTTATAGGGCTCTATCTCTATCAAACCCTGGAGAGTCGAAATGGAAATGGCACATTCCTAGGTAATTTTATTTCATTTTTTTTTCTAGGGCTCGACGAAAGGCGAACAAGATACTGATCTAATCTCTGAACATACGACCCTTCCAGGCCCTTCTCGACCTCCGCCTCACCCAACAGTGGCAGCGCATTGTCGGCGCGCGAGGCGTGAGCGGCGACGAAACAAGCGGACGCCGCCCAGCGGAGTCGGAACTCCACCCCGGCCCAGGGACGGAGCCCGAGGAGTCCTTGCAAGACGAGCGAGGGACGTCGCTGCAGATGCCGAAGAACAAGCTAGGCCCACAAGCACAATTAGGCTGGCTTGATTGAACAGAGCGCCATGCTCCTTTATTGTCAGCTCCTTTCCTTACTCTCACAGACAAGAGGATACTCTGAGTAAACTGATCCCTTCATTCTATTATCAGGCTAAAAAATCATCCTACGGGTTTCTTATATCCCTTGAATTGTATCGGAGCTTGTGGACTCTATTATGCCCCCAATTCCTTTTTATTCGTATTTTGTTTAAGTGAAATTGTGATCTTGTTACCCCATAAAAACTGCCCGGAGCCATAAGAGTTCTACCGGACTTCAATCCAGATGGAGATTGATTGAAGATAGATCGGAACCTTGGATTCTTGTTATGAAACAAAGAACGAGCAAGTCTCCCCAATCGTGAGTGACGCGATAAGGTCTACATCGGCTCTCAGGAGACTTGAGATTGAAGCAGTCTGCTGATCACCAGTCAAAATATTTCTTAGAGGTCAACAGATGGTGAGCCTGCTCGTGATTGCCTAGAGAGCAGCCGCTCACTGGATATCAGCCAGAGGCATCGAAGAGAAATAAATGTGTTGGTATGATGAGAGTTGGAGAGAAGAGACGCGGAAGTCGCGTGCGCATCTTTTCGCGAGTTTCTCGTTCTATGTAAATGTATGCGCCTTGATGAATGCGCCCTACGCTGACGCAGTAAATCAGACCAAAAATCTGCTACTACATATATCCTGGCCAGCTGGCTGAATCTATGTAGACTTATCATATCGAGTGCCAAGTCTTGGTTCTCTGAAGACCCATCTTGATCTCTCAACAAAAAAAGAAAGAAATATCTCTGTACTATGGGTCTATAGGTATGGGATGGTTACAGTGAGAGAAGCTTCTTGCTTATCCAGAGTGACCCACTAGTTTCCTACCGATACGGATAGGCCCATTTTGCGTTATGGAAACAGACTGCGTTGTAAGACCGCACGTGAGAAACAGGTGAATTACAGATGCATCATTAGCCGGCTTGTTTCACTAATCTTTTATGTGTTGCTTTCAGTCAGATTGGTGGCAATACAGAGAGAAGATAAAAAAAACAAAATAAAGAATGAGGTATACAACTGATCAAAGAACAAAACTTATGAACATCCCTGGAAGTATACCAAACTAACTGAGAGGAAAATAAAAGAAAAACTTGGAGAATAAATTATAGGATAATTACAAGACGGGATAACGATGTGGGTTTTGTTTTGTTTTGTTTTGTATTTGGGGATTCTTGTTCCATTGTTCTACAGCGAGAACTGCGAGAATAGATGACCAAACAAAGAGATATTTGTCGAACATGTATCTAGTATGCACAGGCCGTCAACAAATACACTTTTGGTGAAAGAATATAGGCATGGATGATTGAGGATACAAGCAAGATGAGGAGTGGGATAAGGTTATGGTGGTGATTAAGCACAAGCCCGAGAAGATCACTGCCTATAGCGAGCTGTCGCGGCGTCAAAGAGTCTCCCAGGGTGATGGTATGGAGAGCTTTGCTGCTAAATCGATTAGACCGCCGAGCCAACCGCTTTACTGACCAGTGCTCGGGCATATGGTATATCTACAGAGAGCGTGAGATGGATCGTAAGTATGATGAATGGTTTGTTGATGCAGACTTTCGTATTGATCGACTCGTTGGAAACTCACATGATAGGGAATACCATGTGTATGCGAAAAACGTCAGAATGGCAAAGACTAGAACCAGAACGTCGCTGTTGATTGCAAAGGCTGCAACAAAGACCATAATTACACTTATATAGGAAAGCGGACAAAACTATGGTTAATGCTTTCTTGTTTCTTTTTTTTTCGTCGAAATGATGGAGCAGAGACTCACCAGCCTAAAAAAAGAATTGTTGCAACCACTCGGACGGGCTTGAACATCTGCAAAACAAAATACAACTTTCAACATCGTGTCTAGGAAGTCAAGTTCTGAAGAATAGAGGCGACGAACCGTCTTGATCTGTCTAGCAAACTAGACAAGGAAATATAAAAGGAACAATCAGAACCAATATAAGCATGCATTGATGATTGGGCTTTTAGGAAGGGGGCCGCACGTACTCCTATTAGAAAGCCAGTTCCAGTGAGTGAGATTAAGATGCCTAGGGTATACAGCAGTGCGAAACTGACGACACTTCCAAACACGAACAGAATCGAGCCGATTATCGAGACCGCGAAGCCCCCTTTATTACGACACCCAACAGAAGAGGTAGCTCATCAGATTCCCTGTACTTCAAAAAGCGGATAGGCTAAGAGGTGGACTGAGAGTCGGGTCGATCGGTGGGAACTGACCTACTAGACAGCCGAAGAATCCGTACAGCCGCTGCTTCTTACTCAGCCCTAAAAACTCGAATGCGGAAGGTTGGGTGGCATCCAGTAATTCGTTATTGGTCACCTACAATTTTTTTCCCCCCAAAAAAGAAGAACATGAAAGGATCCCGTTGATTAGCTTGAAGAGTTTTGAAATTTTAAATGATTGGTTGACATGTGTTATACCTTTCCCGTATCGATATTTGCGAAAACCTTAGGGATCGCCATTTCCGAGCGGCCAATTGGAAGGGATGGTTAGGATGCTTGCTTGGTTGATGGTCAGGAGGGGACAGTGTTTGTATTCTTGAGGAGCGAGATAGACTGGGAGTTCTCTTTGTCGTTTGGTGGAATTTTGGGAGGTGGTAGTGTGGTGATGGTGGTGGTGAAGTGTTTTTATAGTTTTGAGTGTTCGGGTGAGTTCAGCCCGGCACAGCAACGTCCTCGGTCGATCGGCTCCGGACGTATGTACGACTCGCTCGACCCCCCATCTCAATTTGTGTAACCCCGCCCCAGCTTGTAAAGAACCCTGCACTGCACCATCTCGGATCCTTCGCAGGTAACTATACCATGCTCGAAAATTGAACTGTTCATTAACACGCCTGTTTCTTTTGTGAGGAGGCTGCAAAGGTTGATAAGGCTACATACAGCGTGTCTCATTCAGTTACAGATGATACCAAGGATCTTGGCAGGATCCACCCAGAAGCTGGCTTCTCCTACCCAGCCATCTTAACATGATTTTGAATTGACTATTTCAGGCGATGTTCGAATGTTTACAAAATCTATCGTGTTTTTTTGGACTCTTCATCCAGTCCGCGATCTGGTCAAGGCCACTCTTAATTAAGGATCCAAAATGTACCACCACGACGGTATCAGGTCATAACCATTGGCTGTAGTTCTCAAGACTACATCCGACTCTGAATGCTGCTTGAAGGTTTCGCTTTTTTCATGGGCATTCGGATGGCTGATTCTGATGGCAACCTGAGAAATAAGAGGCTTGTTAGATGCGGTGGGAAAGGAGGAAGGACAAGATCTTGCATCCAGCTGTTCCTCAAATGGTTGTTGCCTTGAACGAATTTCAGACTTGGTTTCTGGAATTCCATGTTCACAAACTACGATTCAGTTGCAGTGAAATCAAAATGTAACTGCCCACTCCATAGACAGTTCTTTGTGCCAAACATCACAAAGTCTTTATGTTGACACTGCAGCAAATCTACATTGCAGTTCTTATGCAAGGAATGTTCAGCAACCAAGTATTACATTCCTTAGAGGTGATAACCAAATTGCAGTTCTGGAATGGCTGGATTAAATGTGACTGCAATAAATGGTTTGGATTTCTTGCCCAAGGATTCATTTCAATTTGCCAAGAAAACCTAGCTTTGAATTTGTTTTTTTTTTGTGATAGTTGGGATTCTTGTCTTTCTCTTTAACTCATTCTTAAATCCTTTATGTATCATCCTTCCATTTTGTTAAATCAAGACTTCTTCCTTCAAACCTCCTTGAATTATATTAGGACAGTTCAAATTTGAATAAAATCTGGTTGATTTTGGATAAAATTTCTGCTTGCTGGCTTCATAAAACTTTGAAAATTGGCAGACACTTGGGCCAATTTTAAGCATGCAAATTCAAAGTGCTCTGCTGGTTTCACATAAACATTTTTCTGAAATATTCCAAATCTGAACTATCCTATTGGATTAAAGTTAGCAAGTGGTCTGTTTTTTGTATGTCTGACTGACATGCTCTTTTGTAGTATTTGAGCCCTGATCAACAACTCATGTCTATACACTTGACTTCATTCTTTTTCTATATTACTGTTTTGTTCTCTTATCTTGTTGAATAGGCATATTCATTAAGGCAGCTCATAACTGTACTACAAACTTCAAAATCAGTGACTGGACCTTATCATAACTGCGACTGCTCATTTACCAGGAAAGTGTTAAAGTTTGTACATCTGTTTGGGTGTCCAAATGCTCTCTGGGACAACCCCTGGTGTAGTGGCTTATTTACAGATGACACACCTTGATCAGGTTTTAGTTAGTGATGTATCTTACACAGCTTCTTGATTAATGTGGTATAAATATTGGGGCAGTCTCATGTTTCAAGATCTGAATGATCATGATGATCAAAAATTGACTTTAAACCAACATGTTTGAGAGGAAGATGGGGTGATGTGGGGAAGTTTTTGATAACCTAAAATTCAACAGCTTGCATGCCAATCATGACACTCCCATGATTGAAATCCTTGTGTCACAATAGGGATTGTGCAGTGGACCTAAGATGGGATAACCCTCCCCCACAAAATGCACAAAATTATCTGTGTGAACATTATCCAAGGGACATAAAGATACAAAAAATATTTAAGAGGATGAGAACATATGTTATTGATACCCTTTTTTGTGAATCATTATTATTGTGTTGATTGTACTGAAAATGAAAGTGAATATGAAGTTGAATAATTAGGAGTACCGTAAAAAACAATCAGGAAGAAAATCTGAGGTTCAGGAGTTTATACTTTGAGGCAAGGTGTTGAGAGATTTGGTCAGTTGATTAAATCATTAGAAACAAAGACTCTATGATGTGAACAGTTTGGATGAGAGGGTGAGCCAGATCTGAGGAAATCTTTATGTGTTTCATAAGAAGTAAAACCACAATCATTTCATGCATAAATATTAAATAGCTAGAGTAGCTGGAATCCTTTGTTTTTTTATGTATTTTTAAGCCTTATTCTATAGAGTTGACTGATTTCACAGGTATAAGGGTTTTTTATCTAATCAAACCGGAAAAGGTGTTGATCTGATGGTTCCTTCTTTTTGATTTCAATTTCATAGGGATCTACTTTTTTCAAAAACTTGGGAGATATCTTAGGGGAAAAATGGTTGATTTTTTTGAATACAAAGAGAAATTCTTCTCTCCACTTTCTTATTTCAAGTTCAACTCCATCATCATCTTCACTGCCTCTTTCAATCCATTTTTGTTGATCATTTTTGTTGAATGGTTGAGTTAGGCAACTCATGCAGTTTATCTTTTTCTTGAGGTGAAGAATATTGGTTTCCATGGTCTTTATGGATTCATCTACTAATGTCTCATAGTAGCTATTTAAAAAATGCACCATGTAGTAAATGTTGAGAAGTTGATATTCATGAAATTTCCCCTGCATACTTGAGGGGTTATCAAAGCATTGAAGAATTTCTTGTATGGTGGAAACAGTTTGTTTATTTTGAACATTGTTCAACTTGTCATCTCCAGTTGTCCTAGGGCTTCTCAAAATTGAGTGAAGCTTGTCTGCATTTTCAAGAAATTCCTCTTCACAAAAACCATTGTGGATCCTGAGAAAGTGTTGACAATTCACATCTTGGTGGAACATGATTGTGTCTCTTACAAGTTTTTTCATGATATATTTGTTCAAGTGGTAAGTAAGTATCTTTTCATGTTGATGGGTAAGTTTTTCTGCATTGAAGAAAATTGAAGAAAATATGAAGTAAGCATCATTTCCAGATATAATTATTTTTACAGCAAATCACAATAGGCACACCTTTGATTGGTCTGTGAAAGGGCTCAAAAAATTCATGTGTTTGCAGAAATTTGGGCCCTGGTATAAATCCCTGAGGTTTCCATATGAGTATCTCCATGAGCTGGTTTTGAAATCTCAATGATTGAGTAATGTAAAACTTGATTGCCGGCACAAGGTTATTTGTCTCTAAAATTTTGATTTTTGAGATGAAGTTTGGGGGCAATAAGTCGTACTTGCTGATATACTCAGCTAGACGAAACACAGCCTCCACATAATATAACATGTCCCAGTCTTTTTTCATATTATTCAACCTTCTGATATCCCCACGACTTATAGCGAGTTTCCTACTTTCGTTATACAATCTTGCATGGCGATTCGCGGACCACTTGGCAAGCAAGGGGTCCTTGGCACTGAGATTTAAGTCACAGAGCATGAATGATTCTAATCTCCCCCACATGTCATCTAAAGGAGAAACCATGTATTGAATTATACGAAGTGGTTCTCCGTGCAATTCAATTTCTTCACCTTCATTTTTCATCTTTGAGACTCCCTCTTGATTGACATTTTTGCAGGTAAGCGTACCCAGAGTCCGGGAATTCCTAGTTGGCGCTTCATCTTGTAAGGGTATTGAATTGATGGAGTCGCTCAGTCTGGGGATCTTTGAAATACGAGTTTCATCTTGATTAATTAGGAAATCGAGCCCGAGACAATTGAATAATCTTCCAATCAGGTGGGCTGGAGCTGACAGAGTCCCCGCTTCCTCGCAGGAAGAAGGCTTGGTTAAGGCCGGACTGGGAGCTTGAATAGCGGGATGGCGCGCACAGAGAGCCAATGGTGAATCTGTGCAGAGGTCATACAATCTTGCTCGTGCCGGCATCTTTAAGTGGCCATAAAACTCTTCCAAACTATCCCCAAGGATCTTGTCTCTCTTTTTGACAGCTTCGATCAGGTATTCAATGCGTTTGTGCTCGGCTTCCATTGCGTTCATTTCGGCTATCAAAGGCAATGATCAAGTCTTAGCATCACGAATCTGGCCGAAAGGAAGAAATGCCTCTGGAGATTTACCTCCATTTTTTACCATTGTGGGGCGCAACCTCTCTAGCTTTCCCGGCTCTAGAGCAACGGTGGAACGCGATTGGGAGGTCTCAAGGCTATCCAACGATTTAGTATTCAAATTAAAGTAAGATTCGATTCGTCGAGACCTTGTGGGTTTCTGCGGCACATGATTCACAGGATTGGATAGTGCCTGTTGAATAGCGTGTAAGGTATGCAAAGCGAGGTAAAACAGTAGCTGTGATGCGATCTTCATTTTGGTTGAAAATGAACTTGAGCGGGATTGGTTTCGGTATTTATCCAATGCAATGGTCTAATATGTACTACTTGGTCACTCTACTAGTCTCAAGGCCCTAAGGAGATCAAGATCCAGATGGTCTTGACTATGTATGTACACAGGGTCTGTCCACTGCAGCCTTGCTTGGCGGACGGCGGGTTACGGCGACTCCGATGGGTCAGACTATAGATGTACATTATTGGCAACTTCCCTTCTGAAAAAGTAAAAGCTGTAATGACGACTCCATAAGCCTTGTCTCACCTCAAACCATTGTGTGGTATGTTATGTATCACAAATCTAAAATTCAACGCGAGTGTGCCTTCCTCCCAGCCCCAGAAAGTCAGATCTTCTTTAGAATCGGTATCCTTGACCTCCGTCGGTCAGTAATCATGCGTTGTGTATGAATTTAGACCTTGTGCTCACTGCTCACCGACCACGATATCTTCAGTGAGTTACATCAAAACTCATTGTCACTTCGAGGCAAGAGGTTGCAGGCATTGTATACACAATAGGATGGAAATAGGTGGTGCAGGCTCCCCATGGGTTACCCATGGGCCAAATGAGAAAAGGGAGACTCTAGCTTAACAAAGCCTCTCCCGGGGCGTCCCCGCGGGACGCTCTCCGTAGGAGAGGCTTATGAGTCAAGGCAAAAATTTGGCTGGGACAGGAAAGCCTAATACCACATAATAATTTTTCTAAAAAAAACCACTTACTTGACAGAAATTATGAATAGACAGTTTTTTCAATCATCTCAATGAGCATTTGGGACTCTAAGTTTGATTTCCTTGTGGATCTTGGTCAATTGTTGTTTTGGGTTTTTGAGGAAAAATCATTTTTCAAAAAAATGTAAAAGGGGAACCAGGGCAAATGAAGGGATGAGACCACCTTCAAATGAAAGCTGGGACCCAAAAGTACAATCTGGCTCTGAGCCAGGCTTGTAGAGGATTAGGATAAGGAGCCAGGGCCTTAACAAATTTCACTCCAGCCATTTTGATTTCCTGTGCCAGCCCAAATTTTGACTTTGTACGCAAGTCCCTCCCTGCGGGAGGGCGCGCTTCGCGCGCAGAAAAACCGACTTCAGGCAAGAGACTTGTGATAAGTTAGAGGGAGACTGGGTATTTGTTTTTGATTTTATACTTAAAGCATGAACAATATAGAGGCACAGGCAAAAAAAACTTATAATCAAGAATGAAAAAAAAAAAAAAATCATGCAACCAAAAGGGCCTTGGCAGAATCTTCATTGAGGCAAACATTTTAGTCATCCAGGACAAAGCCACAAGTGGAAAAGGTTAATTTTGATGCCATAGAGGTGGCTGGGTATCCTCAGAAGACTGTAACAAGTTCAGCCATCTAGGTAATCCAAGTTATCCACAGGTTTGCTGAGCTGTCAGATGGGACCACAACTTCAAATGACCACACTGATTAGCAACATTGATGGGTTGGGCTAACTTCTTTATTTACAAGGAAAGTGTGTTGCACATGGACTAAAACCAGCCGGGATTTGGTGGGCCAAAGGAAACCCATCCCAATTATCATCCTTATCTAAGTCAATACATTTCACTAGAAATCAGGAGTTTTAATATAGCTGGGTTAGTAAGCAGGGTAGCAGGCCAACCCAAATTGAAAAATTGGTGCCCAAACCCAACCATTAAAATAGATGGGTCAGAATTGTATTTTTTGATCCAAGTGCTAGCCAAACCTGCCTAGATAATTCTGCGAAAATATAGTATTTTCACTGTATATGCATGTATCTACTATCATGTCATGTATCATTACCTTGATGTAAAATATTTCATGAGCAATGTGGTTCTATTTAAAGTGCCATACAATAAATCTGACTCTTAGCCATGCATATTGCTACAATCCCTTGTGATAAAAACTATGTATTTTATTTGTTGCAATGTTTCTCCAGATATGAAATTGGCCCTGGGGGTCATTCCTACAACTTCTGGGTTTTTTGAATACAAGAATTTCTAATACCATCACATTTGTCATTCAATTTATCCTTCAAAACTGCAAAGAAAAAATCTGTTGAAGGTGTTCATGTGGACCCATTTCTACAGGTATGTATATTTACCTATTTAAATGTATGACATTGTAGATTCACTATCTGTGCATCATGTATATATTGAATCTAGTCAAAAAATATAGATAAAAAAGAAGTAAGTTGAATGAATATGCAATTAGAATGCATGGAAGGGGGTGAAAATTGATTAGAAGCACATTGCAACAAAAGAGTAGAGAGTAGAAGATATCATCTGAAGATATGACTAAAAAAATTTATTCAAGAATTTTTGATAAGATTAAGAGTGATTTTTGGAATTTGAGGGTTTGGAAAGTTAGGATTAAAACATGGATTTAAAGGAAAATATGTGGTAAATTGATGATGTCAAGGGTGATTGGGTAGTTGATAACAGTTCAAGACCTGAGGAGATGTTATTGGTATTCAACATCACTCAAATAATCAAGAGGGTCATGTAAAACACTTTATTTTACCATGTATTTCTTTCCTCTTCTCATTTGATTTTATTCTTGTCTCACTCAATATTGGTGAACTGGACGGTTGTCAATCTTACAAAATATATCACATATTTTATGAAATTTCTGTTCCCTCACAACAGTGTATTACCCATCTCATGTTTATCAATCATAAAATAGATGTCTTATCTTATGTATAATATTCCATTTCTCTTCATCACTCATAGAAGTTTGCTCCTCATAGTAGAAAGGAATCCTGTTTGAACCAGACAAAGCATGTGAAATTCTTGATAAAATTTCACACTACAAAGGATATAAAGTAGAACAAATAAGAAGAACCCAAAAAAATAATCAGGAAGGAGAATTGGGGCTGAGGAATTCAAGGATTTGGAATTAAGAGCAGTTCAGATGAAGTGATAATAAATCAATAAACAATCTTGTATATGCATAAATTGGAGAGGTGAGAAAAAATTTGAGCTGCTTGTGAATGAGTATCATTTTATTAGCACTAGATTAAAATAAGAGGCAAAAATAATAAATTGCTAGCAGGAGTTCATCTTTGGCTTGGATATATATTTATTACCTCCTTGGATTGAGTTGTCTATAATGTGTATGGGGGGACTTTTATCTAATCAAAGGGAGGAAAGTGTGGGTTTGAAGATTAATTCTGCATTCTAAATTTAATTTCATAGGGATCCTTGGACTTCAAAAAGTTTGGAGATACATTTGTGGAAAAAACTTTGATTTTTTGAAATTTGGATTTGACCTCTTCTTTCCACTTGCTCATTTCTTTTGTATCATCCTTGATTCTTGTTTTTATATTCAATTGGCCATTTTCTTTGCATGTATTAGTTAAGCATACCATATATTTTATCTTTTCTTCGAGGATGAGGATGTTGATTCCTATGGTTTTGATGGATTCATCTACTAATGGCTTGTAGTAGGTATTCAAAAAATGTACCATGTAGTAAATGTTGAGGAATTGATGTTCATGAAATTCACCCTGCATACTTGCAGGTTCATCAAAGCATTTAAAAATTTCTTGTATGGTGGAAACAATTTTGTGATTTCTAATCTCCTCCGATTTTCCAATTCCAGCCATGGCGCTGGGGCTCCTCAACATTGAGTGAAGGTTGTCTGCGATTTTGAGAAATTCTTCTTCTTCACAAAATCCTTCACGAATCCTCATAAATCGTTGACAATCCGGAAGTTTTTCTGCCGCATTTGTGTCACTTGCAAGTTTCTCTGTGATATATTTGTTCAAGTGGTAAATTACAATCTTTTCATCTTGATGGGTTAGTTTTTCTAAATTGAATAAAATGTGAAGTGTCATTGCAAGATGTAACAATACTTCTCATTTTTATAGCAAAGAAAATAAGCGTACCTCTCATGGGTCTGTGAAAAGGCTCAAAGAATTCATGTGTTCTCAAAAATTCTGGCCCTGGGACGAATCCGCGAGGTTTCCACATGAGGATCTCCATTAGCTGGTTTCCAAATGGCGATGGTTCAGTGGCGTAACACTTGATCGCCAGCACAAGATTACTTGGCTCAAAAATTTTCACTTTTGAGGTGAAGTTCGGTGGCAGTAGGTCGTAATTCCTGATGTACTCCGCTAGACGAAACACAGCTTCCACATAATTCCGCATGACCCAGTTTTTCTTGGACAAATCCAAACTCTTGATATCTTCACGAGTAATGGCGAGTCCCAAGGTCTCGTACCACAATTGCGAATGGCGAGCCGCGTACCACTTTTCGAACAAGGGGTCCTCGACATGCGAATTTGTCAAGCCCCAAAGCACGAAGGATTCTAATCTCACCCACAAGCCATCCAAAGGAGAAACCATATACTGAATCATACGAAGTGGTTCCCCATGTAAATTAACCTCTCTGTCTTCGTTTTTCCTCTTTAGGATGCCCTCTTGATTGTCATTTTTGCAGGTGAACGTTCCCAGAGTCCGCGAACTCCTAGTTAACGCTTCGTCCTGGGAGGCAACTGAATCGACGGTTTCTCTCAACCTGGGGATCTTTGACCTACGAGCACCGTTGTGATCCATTCGGAAATCATGCCCGAGAATATTGAATAATGGCTCAATCAGGTGGCGGGCTGACGGAGTCCCCGTCCCCTCGTAGGAGGAAGGCTCAGTTAAGGTTGGACTGGAAGCTTGAGTAGCGCCGGGATGACGCGCCCAGAGGGTCAATGGTGAATCTGTACAGAGGTCATACAATCTTGCTCGTGTCAGCATTTTCAAGTGGTCATAGAACTCTCCCAAACTGTCCCCAAGGATCTCGTCTCTCTTTTTGACAGATTCGATCAGGTATTCAATGCGTTTGTGCTCGGTTTCCATTGCCTTCATCTCGGCTATCAAAGGCAATGATCAAGTCTCAGCACCACGAATCCTGCCGAGATGGAAATGTACCTCTGGAGATTTACCTTCATTTTTTACCATTGTGGGGCGTAATCTCTCTAGCTTACCCGGCTCTAGAGCAACCGCAGAACGCGATTGGGAATGGAATGGCTCAAGGCTATCCAATGATTTAGTATTTAGATTAAAGAAGGATTCAATTCGTCGAGACCTTGTGGGTTTCTGCAACACGTGATTCACTGGATTTGATAGCGCCTTTCGACCAGCGTGTAAGGCATACAAAGCGATGTAAAACAGTAACTGTGATGGAAACCTCATCCTGGCTGAAAATGGACTTGAGCGGGATTAATGTCGGTATTTATCCAATGCGACGATCTACTGTTAATAACAATTTCGCTCCTCTACTGAAGGCGATTAAAATTCAGATGGTCTTCACTACATGTTTAAGGGGAATTACTACTGTAGCCTCACTTAGTAGGCGGCGGGTTTGGGCGACTCCAATGGGTCAGGCCCAAGTAAGACTTAGACTTGAATTGATCAGTGTGTGTCAAAAACAACGTATTTACCGGCGACTTTCATTCAGCGAAAGTAAAGGCTGTACTGACGACTCCATAAGCCTTGTCTCACCTCAACTCATCAGTGTGGTATGTTGTGTACGTTTTGCAAAATTTGAGTCCAACGCAAGTCAGCCTTCCTCCAGACTCCAGCAAGTCAGATCTTCCTCAGCATCAGTATTTTAGACCTTCGTCGGTCAGTGCTCATGTGTTGTGTATGAATGCATGCCCTCCGAGCCTATTCCTTACCCCTCAGGCAAGAAGGACTTTGAGTTCGGTCCTTATCGACCACGATATCCCAAATTAGTCCCACTAAAGCTCATTGTCACTTTAACACAAGTTTTGGCAGGACTTCGCGCAACTCAATAACTGGGGCATCCTAGTGCTCAGTCGCGTGACCCAACTTTGAACAGGTAATGAAGCCTCTTTCTATCAGGTATCGGTCTGAGAATGTGTCTAGTGGTTCCAGGCGCATTATTCATCTTTTACTGCTTGCCCTCTCATTGCCTCTCTCTCTCTCTTGGAATTTCCTGGCTGTACTGTGCTTGGCTACTGTGTATGTGGGATTTGCCGGCGTGATCAGGAGTACACTTAGTCCTATGTGCGGATTCAATCAACTTGAAGAAAGCCAATTCTTCTATCGTATCTGCGGATCCAATCAACTTGAAGAGAGTCAATTCTGTTCTCTATGTCGATGCAAAACTAGAGGAGCATTAAATTATGTTTGCTGATACTAGTGCTGCAAGTCCTCGATTGGAAGCGCTAGCGAGATTATAGATCACCACCTCGAGACCTGGCAGTTAGTACAATTGACAAATGATGATCTCATAACCGTGGAACTGATGAGGCTACAATTCACATTTGGTTACTGAGATTACGCGCACCCCGGCGAGGATATTTAATATCTTGCTGAAAAACAACGAAACTCTTGCGATACCGAGCTGGCGTGAGGTTGTGATCAGGCCAGAGATAATGAGGATACAGAAAATCCGACTCGCTGCGAACTTCGTAAAGGTTTTGGAGAGGAAATGAGGTCACGCCCCACACTCTCATATGAATAGGGTCTTGCGAACGGTATTCCTTTTTGTCTCTGTGAAGAAGAGCGCCCGATAGCGTCCGATCAATATTTTGCTTTTTCCCTAGAGTATATAACTGCAGATGGAGGTCCGCTGAGTTGTAAAGCTGTATCGGCTTTACCTATTTCTGAAACACTCAGCTGGATAATGTTGAGCTCATTCATGAGCGCAGTGACCCATAGACTATAAATACGTGTCTAATCTCGACTGGAAGTAGGAGTGATCACTTCAACCTCATCCAAGATGTTTATACCTTCAAAATTGTCCAGGTTCTGGATGATTGCTCTGTGCACATCCACGGCCAGTCAAATGACTATAGCGAGTCTGACTGTAACTCAAGATACTAGGAGTACGAATCTAAAAAATATCTCTGGTTTAAACTCTCCCAGTCTGCTTGGCTGAAGGCTTTGCCCGTCGTTTTACTTTGTAGTTCGTCCTTTGGAAGAGATGTATAGTCATATTGACAATCATGTACATGATGTAGCTTCTAGTGATGCTGTGATTTTGAAAAGCCCAATAGGACATAGCGGACAAGAACAAATGTTGACACTGAAAAGTAAAGGTGATTCCTGCGAAATTTGTTTTCCACTGCATTGTGTCATGGCCATCATGATTAACCTCGATTCCATTTAAACAGAGGATCTCGAGTCCATGGAAGCGGACAGTCGAAGGATCAGCGATAGTGTGGAGGACATTGAGACTCTGTTTGGTGAAAGATATAGACCCTTGGTTAATACATTGAAGGGACTCTGTTGTGACGTCCTAGTTCAGGAAAAACCTCAAAAGTTCAAATTGCATGCTGCTGGTTCACTTGGTCCCAAGTACAAGTTTCCGAAACCAATAGGTGCAGATTGGGTTGAGACATGGAAGGGCTTGGAAACAAACCTCATCAGATTTCAGAAAAGTTGGTTCGACCTCCAGCGTCACATGGAGTTCTTGGAAACTGTCTTTTGCTTGGGTGATTACATTATCAAATACAAATTACTACCTCCAAATGCTATTCAAGAAATTGACAATTCTAGGCAAGAAATGTTTTCCAAATGGCTCCAGCTCTACATTCACCATGAATATAAATGGTCTGGCAGGAAACATTTCTTTGGTCGGGCGGATTCATTAATCCCAACAGTAAAATACCTAACAAGCATCAATTCTTTTGAAGATTTTCCAAGATTCTTGAATGGTTAGTTTTCATTTTAATGGCCCTCTTTCCTGATTCCTGAATGCTAAAATCACTTTTTTCATCTTTATGCTTGTTCCATCTTTCGCTAATGGTTTTGAATTATAAAATCAATTCTTGGGGAAAATAGCATTATGTCTTTCTCCTGAAAACAAAAATCTTATTGCCTATGATTCCATGAAAACAATCTGGCAAATTTCAAACAAGAAAGGAAAATCTGATTCCCCTGAGAGACAAAATTTCAATCAAATTTCTTCATTATTCTTCAGAGATAATTTTATTCAAGAAGCAAATGAGCTTTCTGGATTATTAAAAACCACTTCAGGAAATGAAAAGGATCATGTTTTAGTAAGACCTGATATTTCTTTCATGATGAAACACTTATTCATCATCTTTGAGGAGCCTCCAAAAATCTTTGATGATGAGGATGTTAAATTTCAGTTTTTTATGTCTTATCCAATGCTTGATTTTCTTAACAAAAATTATCAACCAATCATTCAACAGTTTAAATCCAAGAAAGTTGGTTACCAAGTCCTAAATAAACAACTCAATTTCATTGGTGATGTTCTTGAAACATATCATTCTTACATGCAGAAAACAAAAGCAAAAAGAAAACTCAAATACATCCAAAGAGTCATCAAAGAGTTTGAAGAAATTCCAGAAGAACAATCTGTGATGAGAGAATGGATTGAAAAAGTTATACTTCAAATTTCTCAGGATACAATTGTTGGCTTGAGAAGAAAGCTCTCAGTATTAAATCAAGTGGCTGGGTGATGGAATAAAGAATTCTGTTGATAAAATTTTCATAAAAAGAGAAGTGATTTATCTCTTTTTGCAATTTATCAAAACTATTGATACATTCAGCAGTACTAGTAAATTTCAGATATGGAAATTTTGAAACAAAAAACCATGTTGGACAACTTCCTGTCAACACCTGCCAGTCTCCCAGAAGCAATTTAGAGCCTCAAAAGCTACATTTCCCAGAAGAAATCTAGACTTTTTGGGTCTAAATTGACATCTGAAAGGGTACCAGATTTGACAGCAAGTCCTCCAATCTCTTGTAAATATTATTCTACTTATTAAGGCTTGAGAGTAAAAAATGAATATATAATAAACAAATTATGAGTGTAAAAATTTGCAAACCCACACATATGCTCAAATTGAGACCCAGTGGTAGTTAGATTTTGAATTGCCTCCAGCAACAATGAAACTGATCCAATCCCCGGATTGGTATTTATTGGGGATCAGATCAAAAATGGACC